ATTATTCAAGAAGTATAATTCAGTGAGATAATGTTAGAAAGACAAAGGTAGAGGTGCTGACGAATCCAGAAGATTAAGATTTGAGAGAGCACAGCGAATGGATGCACTTGCGCCATTGCAAACGATTTTGAGCAATGTCGTTCAAGGTCTCTAACCATTGGTGTTCTTCTTAAAGAACTCCAACCTGGGAAGAAATTAGTTACTCATTACTTTCTTCTTTTCATCAATTTTGCAGCTGACATCCATCTATTAAAAACAAACCTTATGTAGCACGATTACATTGTCAATGAACGAAACATGAATAAAATCGAAGTGAGATGCCCATATTACTGGTCTTTTAGAGTGACTAATACAACATTCTGTAAAAGTGTGTTATTTCGTTTTTATCCCGTAGACTTTAATGGCTTCATGCAACAATCAACTAACTAATCATGTCAACCATTCAATCAAATATTATTAGGTCATTTTATTCATATCATAAATGTGCTTCAATTTAATGTGAATTTTTACAAATCTTCAGGTTTATCGATCACTTTAGAATACATTAACAGTCAAATCGTATTTAATATAATCGTACTTACTCATCAGAATCAAAGTGTATGTATATATATAAATATATATATAATATCAGTAAAGCTAATTAATTTTCATTATCAGGATAATTTTATTTACAGGTAATTCAATTCAAAACTATGAATTTTTAAACATATATAAAGTACATCCACTGTTTTTCGTTTTAAAATTAATTTGCCTTTTAAGAAGTTGACAAATAACAAGAAGAAGAATATTTGTAACACTTGAAGTAAAATTTAATGAAGAATTTATCATATTTATTTATTTTTAATTAATCATAAGGTTAAGTAGACTTTTTAAAAAACATAAATTTTCGATCATTTATTATCTGATTTTTGTAATCATAAATAATCGATATTTGAAGATATTGATTAGTCATCTCTGAAACGTCACAAATTTTACCACTCTCAATAAGCAATGTTATGAATGGTTATAAAACTTTGAAAAAAATACTTTGAATAGTTCAAATACAGGTGGTCAATGGATTTGAAACATCATAACAAAACATATGGGCTAGTGAAAGGTGTCACGTGCTGTTACGGGTATGAGGGCGGTTGTCACTTTCCGGCTGCCCGAACCATGGAAGGGTGTTTCTTGAGGAACCTGAAAAGGAAGATAGATTAGTGTTGGTCTTAGAGACCTGGGTGCGTGATCGCAGACCCCAAGGGACAAATGCTTGAGGCCAGTCGCGCACGGCCTTTTTATGAAGGGTTTCTTGAGTATTAGCTCCGATCTTGAAAGCCCTTAGTGGGCATCCTTACCGCCGGAGACGGAAATCCGTGAGGTAGGGTGAGGTGTGACATTTTTAGGGTCGACCTTTTCTAACCGTTCCTTCCTTGTGAGAAGGGAGCATCGCTGCAGATGCTGGTTTTCCGAGGGAAACCTCTTACTGCTGTCACAGCCCCCTGCAGTCAGCAGTACGACTTAACCCTTAGACCTTGAATGGCTCCTTTAATCTCATCATTCTACAATCGACCAGCCTGGCATGGTAGAACCTTCAGGAAAATATGTTCCAGCCAATATAGCTCAGTTGGGTCATGACGATAGGCAAGCCCGACCACCACGTCAAGGTAGAAGCTACGGTCGGGAGTGAAAGGTGGATAAGGTGGGGACAATTGTGCGTTTGATATTTATTAAGAACAAAATAATTGAAAGTTGTAACAATAGCTAATTACCAGTTATGAAAATAAATGAAAGGAATTAGGATTAAATAATTTGAAAAAACCGACAAAACTTCGACAAACAAAATGCCATAGATTATGAAAGAATTGACTGGAAGTTTAAGACCATGGAAGAATGAAAAACTGAACATACTGTTTTTGTACGTACAAACGTTAGGCTTCAACTAGTGGATAATTTCCACAGCTATGAATTAATCGGCATTAATATAACTTTCATCAATTTTTTTTATTAATCGATTTCAGGTGAATAACTGCCTTCACCTTAGCATCTTACACTAGTTGAATGTTATATTAACTACCTTTCAATATCTGATTGTGTAAGTGTTGGTCTGTGAAATAGAAATCTATATTGTTCAAAGACACTCTAAAATCGTGTATCTTCAAAATGTAATTATCTTTTTAGTGGCGACTGGAAGTTACGTCAGAGAGGCGTTTTCTTTCCCAATCATCCGCTCAGTGTACCACTAGATGGTTACTGAGATCCAATAGCCTAGTGGATAACTTAATATGATTTGCAGTAATGGGTACCGGACTCAAATATCATTAGGAGAATCAACGCTGGGATGAAAGCATTGGATTATCTCACATGTCACTATTCAAACGGACATCTTACATTGGTTCATCAAAATGCATTTAGGGGAATTGTATTTTGTTACATTCCAGTCGTCCTCTGAGCAATATGTAATTGACTGAGGCATAATTTAAACAGGAGTAATATAGGATCCAAACTGAGATTTGGACTGAGGAATAACTTTCTAGGTAGTTTAAATACGCGGCTTGCCCAGTTGAAATTCGAAAACTTGTAATTTGGGTAAATGATGGTTCTAATATTCATCATAAATATAAATGTACATTATTACCGCTCAGTTATTCCACCAACAATTGTTCAATGAATCAAATCAACAGCAACAAATAAATGATATTCTATCCTTTCTGGATAAATAAGATTTCTTCAAAAGATAATATATGGTTGCTGTATAACACAAAGTGCTTCTTATTCTGGAAGGGTGCTTCAGTTCATAATGAAAATGCACAATCCCAATCAATAGAAGCAAATCAATCAAAGGAGGCACAAATCAATATGGCTGTCGCCATAAATAAGTATCAGTTTAAACAACGTAAATGCAGTTCAGAAAGAAACATAGAAACTGAATGAAGGCAAAATAAGAAATAGAAACTATGGTAAAATACAAATAATATCATCTCAAAATGGAATCAAACAAACTAACAAAATTTACCACTGAAGGAATCAATAAGAATTAATTACAGATATATACATGAGGTGATTTTCACAAACAAAGCCTTCAAAAATGGATCTTACAGTAATGCAATAATTTTTGATTGCTATCCATTACTCTTATCAATGAATTAATTCACTTTTGTAGTTTCAATCGACATGAATTATTGTAAACCCTATTCTGATTATATTTTAAGATTCATTTCTACAGGAATCATGTTCATTCATTTAAAATGGATCCGACATGATTTGTTTCAAAATGGAAAAGAGATACTATCAAAATTATTTGAAAAAACGGAACACAAATGTTCCTAGTAACAAAGTATAAAATAATGTCCATTGTTAATCGGGTCGAATCCTAAAGTTGTTTAACTTGGTGTCAGCAAGAATTTGAATACACCGATGGATCCATGTTTGTCCTATAAGGACTAGTGGAGGAACAGAGAAGATATCGTGAGTTGCTCATTTAAACTCCTTATGAGCTATTATGTTATTGTGACAGAATATAGTTATTCTATCTCTAATAAATAAATCTTGTTCCCGGTCAATCGATACACAATTCACTGATAACAAAATACGGAACTTACTTTCTCTATTCAGAAAGTAAGATCTATGGTAGATAATGAATTTTAAAACTAAATATATAATTAAATCTTTTAAGCGATTAAGGGAAATCTATCAAACATAACATGAATAATGGTGCTACAAAACTGCAGCCTATTCAAATCAGTTGTTAAAAGTTAGCATAGTAATGATTTTACCTAAAGTGGACTATTTGTAAGTAAACCTGCATACTATACTTCATCTAGCTGTTACATCAGTGTAGAATATTATCAACTATTAGCTTATTCAAAGTTAAAAGAATACTTTGAGATTAACGAAACGATAGAATATGGAGCGAGCGATCATTTTTATGATCATGCAGTAATTAAGATTCAAGTAGTTGATTCAGTTCATTTTTATCCAAATGAGTAAGTAGTATTCCTTAGAAAATAAAAGTGTTACATTGAACAATACTCAGACTAAATTGTTTAACGACAGAAGAACATAATTTGTATGATTTGGTCGGAACAAATTTTAATCTAAAGAATTTTACCTTTCGACTGTCAATAAACAGTTCATAATATCATAAGCGAGCTGTCAATTTATGTTTTATGCACATCTGGTTAGACAAATAGAAGCACATGTAGTTGAGTAACAAGTTAAATTAGAATGTCGATACAGAATGTATTTTAATTTAAATGATAAACAAATTCTGCACATACAAATCAAATTAAAATAGGATGGTATATGCTTGGTGCTGTTCATTCACAAAGACCACTTACAGACTCATCAGTATGAAAAGCTCCAAAATAAGTTGCTCGTTACGAATAAGTTGTCGCTTATAACATTATTCGAGTTTAAAATGTTTCAGTAGTAACAAATTTAGCTCTGAAAAGAGTTTGAACACGAGGCGAACTAGTGATTCCTCAAAGACTAAATATATGTCTTATTGACAAGAGTCAACAAGGCAAAAACCTAGACTAAGGGATTACCTTAAATTACTAGTATCAACAGTGAAACTAGACGAACATTGGTCACTTCATAGTTGATTTAATTGATATTGTATTTTCACATATGAGTTCTATCAATTATCGTGTTTACGAAAAATACTCTTGCAAACTCTCGATTTTAATTTTTCTCAAGGAAATATGCTTCTATATAAGGAATAAATGAAATCTGGTCCTGTTTGGAAATCATTAGCTGAATATACTTACATCTTAGAGTGGACTAGCATTTCAGGACTTCAAAACCACATTCAATATACTGTATATAAGCCTATATTATAATAACTATATCAAAACAATTTGCACAGCGATTCATATAATTATCAATCAAAATTCGATTAATTCCAGTCAAAATATCAACACCAACAACATGATAAGTTTGAAGCATGAAAAAGTAACAAATAGTAAACTAGTAAATTTCTTTATACAAAAAAGAAAAAAACTAATTTACAAAAATGCAAACCGTAATTCTGCATTCTGCTTATCAAACTTTCATGTTTGAATGACGCAAACAAATAGTTGTAGTAATAATAATAATTTCAGTATCATCTAAACGCAAAAAAAAATTATCGTGATCAGGAATAATTAATTGTCAATCCATCTATAACTACATATGCGCAACGTGATCAAGCACATTAATTTTTATAACGAACAAAAAAGGAAATCAATAGGTTTGCTCACGTGTGTACTCTTGATAAATTCAACAACAACGAAAATAAAGATCTATTTACAAATTATTGAATATTGAACAAATAAAAATCTGTACTCGCAAAATCGGCCGCTTCACTCAAACAATTAAGATGATGTTTGTATAAAAAGTTTTTTCCCAGTTGAATTTATATTATAGATTTATATGAACATGCAAATATAATCCATGTAATCACAGCATTCTCTGCGTATGCAGTAATACGTAAAGCTAAAGCAAGTTGAACATGATCACCACGACAGCCTAGTATATCTCGACATAATTGAGAACGTAAACAACTTTGTAATATTCTTTGCGGATTACAATGGAATAGCTGAGAAATGAAATTAGAAGAATAGAAATATACTGACAGTAAATAAAATTTGACATTGGGAAATATAAGTCGATTGGACTAAGTATTCAATAACCAAACAATCTAAAGATTCTATCTGTTACACCGTAGTGAATCAAATTGACGAGCCTTTTTCATTGTCTAATTGGGTTATACAATATAAGAATGTATGATTCAATCACGACAATGTGTAATTTTTCTGGATATTATAAAAGTAAGTTTGATTTCTGTGCAGTTACTAAGTACTATTGTAATGCCTAATAGTTAACTATAATTAGATTTGCATTGTAATTTTCTTTGTGCATAAGCTAGTTTCAACAATAATCATGCCATCAGACCTTTCACATTAATTAATCTTGATTAAAACAAGATGAAATTCACAGTTTACAACTATAACTTACACACTGAAATCATTAATCAATCATTGTTAGACCACCATTAGAAATCTGGTAGCACTGAAAGACGGCCGTTTCGTCGTGGTATGTGAGTCATCAGCAGTGCACTTCCGCGACTCCTGATACTCACAGGCTTCGAACACCGTATGTTCGGTCTTGCGCGCGAACGCCCGACCTCCGGACCACTATGCCAGCATCCAACCGTGATGATTTTAATGTGTAAAACACTGATCTCCATAACTTTAAATGAAAATATCACACAATTTGCTCACTAGTGACTAGCTTAGTGAAGAAATTCTCGGAGTTCTAGTGAGAAGACGTGACCAATGGAGTTCAACCCTGTTGGGTATAGGCAGCAACTACCGAAGACAAATGGGTGAGGTCGTGCAAAATCTGTAGATTTATCAGAGTTATACATTAACACCGTTGGATGTCGTCCCAGTGGTCCAGGGGTTAGACGTTCGCGCTCAAGACCAAAGATCTTGGGTTTAAATCTTGCGAGCAGCAAAGGGTCCCGGGCGCGCACTGCTGATGAGGCCTATACCAGGACGAAACGGCCGTCTTTCAGTACTTCCAGGTTTATAATGGTGAGATCCAAAACATGTATCTCGCCCTACTTGGAACTTATTAATTAAATGATCAACCCGAGATTCAAATCTAGTACCTATCCCATCCTAATGATAATAGTTCATATGCAAACTTCATAATCTTTAAGTTTCAAATAATTTATCGATTTTAACTCCATTTCTTAAGTTTTATAAACACTCTCTTTCTCTCTCCGATACTTGAAGTAGAAAACAGCATTCAATTTTTTAATAAGTTTGTGAGAATTGCGTTGATAATTTTTAAGCTACATTATCTAAGTATTATCGGTGACCCTTCACTTCAGCCATGTAATAAATCAATAACTTTAAATTTCAGGTTATTTCGCACAGATCAATTAGAAACTATTCCCTTTAAATTGTCAACAATTTTATGTGATATTACTTGAAGGTTTGAGATTAATTCGTGTTCACCTTTATTCAATAGTTTTTGTTAACATGCTTAATTATCTCATTATTAATGTGAAAGTTTCAAACCAGTTAAGTAATTTTGTTTAGCTTTGGTTTTTATTTACTGTTATCAAAACTCTAAGTTATCAATATTTAATTCACCTCGTCCTAAACGAATGATGTTAACTGAAACATAAATGGCATGAGAAATCCTCTTTTAAACAAAAATGCTATATGAAGAACTAAACAGTGTTTTCATGACAAGTCAGAAGGTTTTTTGGTGGTTAATAAACAAAGGATGAGCTAAACAGGCAAAGAGGATGACACTATGGAGGCTTCTTCGACACAGTAGTATACCTAAGAAGATAATGAACATCATACGAGTTTCTTATGATAGATTAAACTTTAAGATCGTGCATCGACTGTTCATAGTCTCATTCCAAATGAGGACGGGTGTCGGGCAAGATTGTTTACTCTTACCATTCCTCTTTCCCCTGTGGTCGACTGGATTATGAAGACATCAACATCTCGGTGTAATCACAGAATACTTTGGACAGCTCTGATGCAGCTGGAAGATCTTGACTTCGCAGATTATCTAACTGTTCTATCCCACACACAATAAGTGCATGTAAAGACGGACAATGTAGCAGCAGCAGGTTTTAACACACACAAAGGAAAAATCAAGGTCCTCCGATACAGCACAACATGCGTCAACGAAATCACACTTGACAGTGGAGTCAGTATCATTGAGAAAACAAAGTGGATCTGATACGGATGTGTAGATTCGGATTAGAAAAGCAGAAGTAGCATTTTTACAGTTAAACTACCAACCAACGCCAAATTTACAACTTTCATTACAAACGGAGCGGAAACTTGGAGAACCACGAAAGTTATCATTCAAAAGATACAAGTGTTCGTTAACAGTGGTTTATACAAGATGCTGAGAATCCATTGGTCAGACACCATCATCAACAACCAACTGTAAAGGCGAACAAACGAGCTTTCAGATGAAGAGGAAATTAGGAAAGAGTGGGACAAGGCAAGCCCTATCTCGGACTTCTCAATGCCAAAGGAGAAGAGGAAGACCAAAGAACACATCACTCTAAGAACCGGAAGTAGACAGACCTGAAAAGATTGAACAGCAGTTGAGTAGAACTGGAAAGGAAAGACCATGACGGTGTCGGTTATAGAATGCTGGTGTCACCCATTAAGGGGAACAGGTGGGAGTAAATAAGTGTAGATAAACAAATATTTAAACAAGCATGTAATCTCATGCTTAAGAATAACTGAAACTCAATTTGCCACACTTATTCCAGGTTGTCTAAATTAGTTGAACAAACTGATAGGAAACAAAAATTTATCAACCTGTCTCGATGATGCAGCACCTCGTTGAACTTACGTCTTTTGAAACAATAAAGTTTTGTAGTGAATATCTACTTCAAGAAAGATTTTCTAATAACTTAATTAAAAATGTTTCAGTAACAGCGTGCCTAGGAAAAATCAAAGTTACTCAACACTGTTAACTAAGCTGTAACCAATTGAACATTTGACTAGACACTTAACCTACAATTAGTTCGTTCAAGTTATTATATTGCGAACGATTTAAAATCTTTGTATGTAGCCTAGATTAAGCTTGATCAATTTCACCATCATGCACTATCAGAGTATGCAGACATTTATTAATTGTAATCACTCTAAATAGTAAGCACCAGTTAGTTATTAGTTAATAGCATCATATGATTTCATGACTTAAATCAAAGTTGTGATAAATACAGAAGAATTTATTAAACATTCTGTCAAAGTTTACCTGAATTGGATAAGATTTAAAAATGAAATCTTTAGGTATATGACGATGAATTGGTGACGTAATCAAATCATTGTCTAATACTTCATGTAAATGTATAATATTATCATTATTAGTATCATCGAAATTCGACAAGCGTTTTTGGTCCGCTTCATATTTAGCAATCAATGGGAATAGTAGTTGTTCTAAGTTATTATCCCATTTCCATAGATTATGATTAGTACAGTTTAACTTTTCGTTACGCCAATTACTGGCTAAACGACGTAAAGATTCACGACACTGTACTGTAATCTCATCGATCGATTGAATAGGAGGATTTAATTTTCTAAGATATAAACTTGAATGTTTATGTATAGTTTGAATAACTTCAAATGACATGGGACGCCATTGGGATGAATCCTAGTTATCAAAAAGTAGAAATAAGGATAACACTCAGTTAATAATGTATCAAATAAAGTATTTCTTTTAAACTAAGATATGAGAGAATGTTCATCGTTTAGTTATCGGGCCCAGCTGTAGCTCCTACCTTGACGCAATGGTCGAGCTTGTTTATCGTGATGGCCCTACTGAGTTATATTGGCTGGAACATATGTTTCTTTAGGTTCTACCATGCCAGGCAGGTCGATTGGAGAACGGTAAGACTAAAAGCAGCAACTTAAGGTCTGAGAGCGAAGTTGTTCTACTGACTTTAGAGGGCTGTGACATTAGTAAGGTGTTTTCTTCGGAAAACCAGCATTTGAAGCAATTTGGCCCTCTCATCAGAACGGAAAGGGTTAGAAAAGGTCGATCCTTAAAATGCCACACCTCTCCTTACCCCATGGATTGCCGTCTTCGGGGATAAGGTCATTCAAAGAGCGGAGCTAACATTTACAGTCTTTCCATAAAAAGGCTGTGAGTGACAAGTCTCAAGCAGTTGCCTCTTGGACTCAGCAGTCACGCTCCCAAGTCTCTAAGACCGACACTAATCTACCTTCCTTTTCATGTTCCTCAAGAAACGCTGTGGGCATTCGAGAAGTGACATCTACTCTTATACCCGTAACAGCACACGAGACCAAATTGGCCACAATAAAATCATTTGTGACTGACTGATTTAGTTACTGGTGTCTCTTTAGCCGACCGAAACGCTGTTGGCACCCGAGAAGTGACATCTATTCTTATACCAAATCGGTCACAATCAAATCATTCTTGACTGACTGATTTAGTTACTGGGGTCTACTTAGTCGATCGAAAATCACATTAAGTCAATCATAAATAAACAGCTTGGTTACAGATTAACAGTGAGTTATACATCTATATCAGACTTGGAAATTAGGATGCGTTCATGTTCGGTATTCAGGTTGTACGAACAGAAAACTTAGGAAACAGTATGATAAAGAGTACTAGTGACCATCTGTCTGAATGTCTTTTTAATTTTATTTCAGGTTTGTGAAATTGGAAATTCCCCCTTGGTCAATAAACAGTGTAAAATCAAACACAGCAGGGAATTTGAATGGGTTGTTATTAATGGTATGAAATAGTAGCATAGATTCTTTCTTCAATTTCAACCTATTTTCTTCCATTCGGAGATCAAATCTAGAACTAGGAATAGATCATAAAGTCTGTATCAAACGTTCAAGTTCCGAACATGCCACTTTATTAATCGAGACTTCCGATTTTTGACAGCTTTGAAAGATTTTTCTTCATATGCTAATATATTTTTGATTTAAATGTTTGTCTTTTTAAATTAAGTGACATCAATGTATTCCTTTTCATCAGCTTGTAATGAGTGTATTTTTAAGTTCACTTGTCGTGATTGATGAGTTTACGCCAAAAGCTAATTGTTTTTTAGAAAAAGAAAATTATCTACTTATTATAATTTAAGTAACAAGAAGCTTTATAATTCATTTACAATTTAAAATATCTTCACTTACAGCTTATATCTTGTCTGTTTTGTTGACAGAAGATTATTCGTCACTAAAAACTGTCTTTTCAGTTTTTATTCCAACATTCTGTTCTTTAACTTTTAAATTACAAATATTACTGCACGAGTATATATCAGTTTTAAGATGAAAGGCATTTTCAGTACACTAACTTCATATCGACGCAAAGTTGGTCATCTAACTTTAAACGATATGATTTTTTTTACAGTGAAAACTAACCATTTTAAAGGAACTTTGTAATTTATTAACTTAACTAAGATGTGAAACCTTTCATAACCTAAAGTGGAGACTTTTTCATCAAGTCACCTAATTCAAACGACTCTTGGTTAACTAATCATTCTTCTAAATCATATACTTTTAAAATAACAAAGGAAAGTTTCTAAAATTTGAAAATGTCGTTTCATAATTTAACAAGTTGTAAATATGTTGAAAAATCACCACTGAAACAAATATTATAGATATTTCCCTAGAAAATAATTATCACTAGATTTGAATTCAAATCAAAGTAAATAAAAAAACAATTAGATAACCACCTTTAAATTAAAGTGACAATTTACAACTTGATCAGTTGGTTGAATATTAGCATAGAATGAAGTATTATTATATAAACATCCAATTGTAACAAAAGGAGAAGGAAAAATTTTCTGTTCACAACCATCAATTGTATGAATATAATAACGACCAGTGATACTATCCCAAAATGTAATTCGTTGATAATCATTCTAGAAATTGAAAGTTGAGAAACTGATCAAAAAATCGACACGACACTGTTGTTCTTGCTTTGTTACGGTTAAATATCGTTTAGGAAGTGTATATTTTCGTACAACGATAGACTGATGAATGTTCCTCAGGACAGATACAACACAGAACTTCGTACGTAAGTACATGTGTTCAGGTCGCCATGCCCCATCAGCACAGAGACGCAACTGTCAGTTCAAATCCGAGAGTGATAGTAATAATAGAAGTATTAGCAGTAATGGAGAAGATTAGGGAGCGAAGATATGATTCGAGAAGTATAATTCAGTAAGATAAATTTAGAAGGAGAAAGACAGAGATTATGAGGGATGCAGAAGCTTAGAATTTCATAGAACACAAAGAGTGGATGCACTTCTACCATTGCAAACGATTCTGAGCCATGTGGTTTAAGGTCTCTAACCATCGACTACTGTCGCCTCGCGGACCCAAACTACGTAGCCTACATCTACCAACATTACTCAGTCCACTTGTCAGTGACTTCATGGATTTGTGCCATGTTTTGGTTTGGCCGCCCCTAGCTTTCTTCCAATCTACTCCTACACTGAAAAACATAGCTCGACGCGTAATTCGTTGATTATCGTTCTATAATTGAAAGTTGAGAAAGTGATCAAAAAATCAATACGATACTATATCCTTGCTTTGTTATAGTTAAATATCGTCTAGGAGGTGTATATTTTTGTACCACGATAGACTGATGAATGTTCCTCAAAGGATAATTTGGTGAATTTAACTCGTATTCACAACAACATTAATCAGAATCTTAGACTTTTTAGATATGTCAAAATGTTTAAACTATTGATACACGTATGATAATGATGAAACAATATTAAACAGAAAAGTGTAACTATAACATGTGTTCTAAAAATAAGTGCTTCAATTCTAAAACAAAATATTTTTTACGGAATTATCTAAACAATGAAGTGGAGGACTTCATTGCATTATAAAAGCGTAAACTAGTAAGACATGAAAAAAACGTGCTTTTGAATTTGTTTTTGCAATCATTTACAAAGTTACACATTTACATCAGTATCTAGTGTCTTCTAGATTGAATTACTTTTTAAACTTACTGACAGTTTATATTTTGAAAGAAAAAATTATATTTAGATTGAATATAGGGATATGCCATGTTAGTTATTTCATACAATCGGAAAATTTGTATCTCAGTAAAAACACACTAGGATCATAGTCGTTTTCAGTGATTACGCCAGATTCATTGATCAGAGCAAACTTCGTCTTAACCATTCAGTAGAAATTAAATAATGACAGAATGGCGAAATTGGTTGAATAAAACGAGCTTATTGTATTTCGAAGCTTTTCATCATTTGTTAATGACTTTAAGTTACAATAAGTTAGATTATTATCATCAACATAGTTTTTCAAACTTCAGTCAATCAAGTTGTGTATGTACCGACATAGAAAAACATTAAAAACAGGCAGAAGATAAAGTGTAGTTAATGTAGTTGTTGAGAGTGATTATGGTTTTAATATGTTGAATATTAAGTCATGTAAAGAAGGGTTTGATGTCATAGAAAATAATAATTCGAAAGTAATATAAAAACTTTTGAGTAAGTAAGTGGTAATATGTATGATCAAACAACATGTTTAATATGAGATTACACTGAGATTCTGTGGCAGTGTTTGTCATCGAAAGGTGTACCAGAGAATGACATTAACTTTATACAAGCTCTTTACTCGAACACCACTGGTCGAGTTAGAGCTTACAGCGAACTGTCAACGGAATTCTATACTTCAAGTTGTGTCTGACAAGGATGTTCATTCTCTCCATTCTTGTTTTATTTTGTCATAGGCATGCTTTTAGAGTTATTATCTTCGTCTGAATTTTCAGGATTGGACCTTCTACTAGGAGATTCACTGGTTGACTTAGAATGTGCCGATGACATGGTTCTATTTGGTTAAGACGCTGACAAAATGCAGAGTCTTCTGCCTACCCTAAGAAACAATGAAAACATGTTCGGGATGCGATTCTCCCATTCTAAATGAAAAATTTTGCTTCAGGATTGGTTTGCATCGTCGCCTGAACTAGTGATAGGCAGTGAAGTAGTCGAGCGTGTTGATGGCTCCACTTATGTGGGGAGTCTCATCAGTGCTGATGGCCTGGTGTAGGAATAGGTTTGAAGATAGCTAGGAGAAGCCAAACAAAAGCACGGCACACATCCATAAAGTCACCGACAAGTGAACTGAGCCGTGTTGGTAGGTGTTGACTACCTGGTTTCGGTCCGCGAGATGATAATAATTGATGTTTAGAGACCCTGAATGACATGGCCAAAAACCATATGCGATGGTGCAGGTCCATTCATTTTTTGTGTACTGTTAAATCCTAACCTTCTGAATTCCCCATCACCTTTATCTTTTTCTTCTTAAGTTTAGTTCTCTAGATTATACTTCTTCAATAGTTTACTCGAACCCTAATCTCTCCGATTACTGCTAATACTTCTACTATCTCTACTAATATGGGATTTGAAGTGACAATTGTGTCTCTGTGCAAATGTGGTATAGCAACCTGAACTGATGTACGTATGAATGAATTACTACGTTGCAACTGACTGACAGTTAAAACTGTCAGCAAATGTCGATGGAATATAAACAACAATACTCTCCACCGCAGCAATCATTTAATACAGGCGATGAGAGATTTGCCAAACTTTATTCCGGTTTATAAAGGTTAAGTCTAAAGCACTTGATTGCAAATGTCTCTGCAAAAGTGTCGTACGCGCCTTGACATTCGTTTTCAAAACCTTTGGAATATCTACACCATGTCCATTGATTTTTAAGTGTATAATGATTGAAACTGTAAATGTGCTACCTAGCTTCAAAAACAGCTTATGGTAGTAAGTATATAGGAAGTACTGAAAGAATGGCAGATATAAGATTTTTTTGAATATATCTATCGAAGTATTTTGAACCAAGTGGTAGGGGAATAATTCAGAGTTATGACAAAATACTACTTAATAGTAGTCAAATTAGAAAGTCGTTTTTTCTTTTGCATTCACAGCATGGACATTAGTTCTGTAGTGGAGGTATGTTCAACTGACAAGTCAGAAATAGAACAAAACTCAAGTTATGAAGGTAGAAAATAAATTTTCACACTTCCTAATAAAAACTTACAGAACAAACAACAACCCATGCGTACAAATTTGCGGAAGTAGCCATTTGACGCTTATTCATATTGAGTTGACTTGTACCTAAAGCAACATATGCTTCAATTCCATAGCCCAATAGTAGACAGCATAAAAAATTTGCATGATCAGCTACATCACCACGATTTGATGAAACAAAAGCTAGTCCTGAGAAAAATGTAATGTATCATCACTAAAAATAAGTTTTAAATATATATGGATGTTCATATTGTAAGTTCAAGTAAAATTCCATCAATAAACATAAAAAAACGCCTAGTTTGTTTGATAAAATAATGAAATAATAGACGCGACTGGACTAACGATTCACTGGTGGAACCGATCACTAAAATCGTGGGTGAACACACTTCAGAGAACATGATCCCTAGGTAAATGACAAAATCCATCAGGTCTTTCAAGGTATTATAAATAATACTAAGAGATAAATAATTACTTTATAAAATAATTAACTAATCGACATGCATATTTCTTTCAGTGTAACCTCACTTTAAATTTTCCGCTAGTGCGAAAATATTGAATAGTAAAAGAACTTCAAACACACTGTCTCTATGGAATTAATCCCTATTACGGTTTTCTAAGCATTATGGATGGTTGGTAACATCAGAATTTCGTACATATATTACCCCGAGTAGGATATGTCAATCCAAAGAATATTGAGGTCTTGTATAATAACACAATCTAATACAAAAACAGGAGGTAAATTAAAGTCCTTTAAACAATAATAATTTTTTCAGGACTGACTGACAATTAGAACTAATTTTGAATCTAACGATTGAACGTTTGAAATCCTTCTACGTAATTTTTTAGCATACTCAAACATACATCACCAATTTAATTAACTTCTAATTGAGTATAGCTCAGTTAGCAAGTACATGTTCGTTTTGAACAATACTCTTCTATTTATGAAGCAGTAATCTTATTTACAAGTCTAAAATGGAATAGATAGAACAGCTTTTAAACCAACAGTGTCATAATAAAAAATTCAGTCATGTTAATAAGAGTAAGATGACAAAAAGTAAAGTAGAAAGGTGAAGTTTAATTAAACTTACCAGAATACCAACGTTCTTTTATGCCAGTTCCGACGCCATAAAATGGTTCATATGGGATACTTGAAACAAAACGTGCAGCTATATATGGAGTTTCTAGTATATGACTTACACTAAGTGGATTTATAAAGTTACAGACAAATCTAAAGAAATGAAGCAAAAGAAATGAAAGAAGGGATGTAATTTTCAATTGTTCTGATAAAAGTCTAAATAACTAATCATAAGGGTGTTCTGTTCTGCAGTGGACAAGCTTTCTAAGATTGACAAGTACTAAACTGAATTGAAAATAAATACGCATAGCTCATTTAGTAATATATAAAAACATATTAGCTAAAAAATGAAGCTAAACTTTTAACCAAGTGAATATATCTGTTTGATCAGAAGTTTCAGCCAAGACTCACGCAATAGATTGCTCCTCAGAATCTCTCACTTATCGTTTGGTCTAGGTTCGGTTAACGCAGGGTATCAAAAAAATCTTATTAAGTAATTTTCAACTACTGTGAATATCACTCTCACTACTGCACAAATCAATACGGATTTTTAAACACCAACCATAGCTTGAATGAACAATGAACTCCCTATATCATTTGAGAGTTTAATGCTTGCTTTAAAATCCATAAAACAAAACTGTAGAACAGGCTAATTTTCCTCTATTTCAACTTTTAAATACTATAGACGAAAGAAATCATTTTAGTGGATAAATTCTTACAAACTTTATTCTAAATTCAGCCGGAAATTAGTAGGATAATATAACACTAACTTAATGTTACTTAGTAAGTAAGTGCATGTGATGCGAAAATTTCTGACACATGTTTATCTCAAAGAAATATCAATTAAAGGAGATTAGTTTTTGAATAAACTGTTTGAATTAAATTTGCAAAAGCAGTTTGTGATATTAATATACTTGTGGTATTACTTAGAAAAGATTAGTTATTCATTACAGAACTCACTGAAATAATATTCTCCAAAATGTTCCTGATATTTTTTAGTCAAGACAGATTTGTGTCTTTTTTTTTTCGATCAACTAATCTTAGTAAAATTAAAACCCGTTAAAATAAGAATCTTTATTTCAATCAATTCTTCATTTAATGACATTTACATTGAAATAAATCAATGATTTCTAAGACCAATTAGTTTAAACAAACACAAACATCCGTATTGATAATATCTTTTATTGTCAAGTTAAGTCATCATAACAGTTATATTGGAAACAACGTTTAACAAAGTGTGAATAATAGAGTTGCAACTAAACCACTTCGTTAATCTTTGATAAAATTAGAACAACGTACATGTAAGCAAACAATACTGTTTTCAATTAGATTATCGTCGGGCTTTACCCTAAAATACATGAAAATTTATATCAAATTTTTAAATCAATGATTCGTTTAAGTCTATTTATTCACGTTTGACCTGCTACTTACAATGTTGAACTATTGACAACAACTATGGTTACCCTATTTTATTAGTCTTACTTACTATCAATACATCTGTCTTCTTACTAACAACTTGTACTTTTACCTATTATGTGTAGTAACGTCATTTGGTTCATTATGAATATCGACTCGTAAATTGCCTTGATTGGTTTGACAGTTTCATATAAATATTCATGTATATTAGGGTAAAGCCTGATAATGATTTGATTGAAAACAATATTGTTCGCTGGCATATGTTGTTCTAACTTTCACAATGAGAATCTTTAATATATTAATAAAATTAACAAGCATAAGAAATTTATTCACAATCAAACTCACTGTGCATGTCCATTCTCATCAGTTGCAAATATTTTAATAAGACGATCAGAAAAAAGTCCTTCACGTAATTGAGTCAGTTCACGCCACCATTGACGAACATAATTAGTGAATGAATTTTCTCTTTCAACTGATCGATTCGATTCTAGTTGAAAGTGTGCTTGGACAAGTGAAGGTGATAATTGTTTCAGTCTACAAGTTTGATGATCAATTATACCAGACATATTTGTATCGAATGTCTGTTCCACTTGAGGAGATAGTTTTGTATTCACAGATTCATTGGGACATATTAGAGAAAGACGTATATCAAGAATGCCTGCCGGCACCTATAAAAAAACACTCATGAAACAGGTACATAACATGAGCTTAGAAAAATAAAAACAACTTTTGAGCAACCAAATAATAAAGCTACTCAAATCCAAAATTTTATACAGAAAAACGAGTTTGTTTTGTCAAAAAGTAAACTCGCGGTAACAGTTCAACTGACGTTGAATTTTATATAAGATTGGTAAAAATGCGTTTGAGACCATAAACAGTTTGATTATCACAACTTTGAAACCCTAAAAACTTTAATTCCATTGATACTGCGAATTAAAGGTCTTTTGAACAATGAGATGTGAGATGCCATAAAACGCTGAGGTCCTAGATTCGACCTTGTAAATGATCAAATGTCCTTGCTTCTATAATTGCCAAATTACTGAGATTAGACTGACCCCTGTTTCTTGTTGGTATTTTGTTTTCTGTTGATTAGATATTATTCAAACTATTATATCATGCAAAGCAGTTTGCATTTAGTATTGATTTAAAAGTGATCAAAAAAACAATTTATCTGTTTCAATATATTTTCAAACCTATCGATCAGAAATGTGTTTATCAGGCTTAGTTTTTTTAAAAAAAAAAGGAACTACGTTGGATTCCTTAAAAGTTTTATCAATGTATATACTTACTGAGGTAGATGGAATGAAGAATACTTAATGGAGGACAACTTTGTAATTGTATAAAATTTAAACTTCTATGATTCACAAAGCTTTCATTAAAAATCGCAGACAGCAGTAAGTCACAGCAGCAACTTGATGAAATTAAAAACTGAATGGCATAACACTTGTGGTAAATTTTTTTAGTATTACTTCGCTTAAGTATTATAATGAGTGAATAACATTGATAAAAATCTAGTAGTTTGTAGTTAGAAAATTAACTTTGATAATATAACAGTAATGATGAATTTGCATTAAAGACTAAAAGTTTAATTAATGCACCAAAAATCTGTTGTTCATAATGACTGATTTTTAAAAATAACACAGTAACATGCTGTATTCCGTGAATGATTCAAAACGGTTTATACCCATTTTGACACGTAAACTAAATGGACATTTTGAACAAATAAAAGTAAACACATTGATGTTCACCAAATAATCTCAGAGAAGTAGGCTGTAACCATCAGAAAAGCATAGATTAAACGCAACAGACTCTTTATCTGACCTTTCAATGCAATTTGGTAAATAAAAGTTATGGACTTGCTATAGGTAATTCGATATAACTATATGTTCTTGTATACATTACGTTTGATTGAATGACTGCAAGGCTAGTGGTGTGGTTAAAGCAGATGACTAGATGTACAAGGCATGATTATAGATATTTATGCATACTCGAAAAGAAAATCAGTTAAACTTTAGGCAAAACCATCCTAATGTTACCCCTTTCTTTTTATGATCATAATATATGCAGTCAATAACTACTGACTTAAGATATGCGTTTAACTTTTATAATGTGATGATTGAAGCCAAAAGTACCATGAAAATGGGGATGGTTCATGATGCTAACTAGAATCAACTTTATTTGAATAGTTGAATGTGGCTCATTGATTACCGTTTTGAAACTTCCTAGTTGGGAAAATAATAATCTAGCGAAAATTGTTAATCTACCAATTTCTATGTTTTAGTCAAATAATTCTTTAAATTTATCAGGCAAATGCCAACCTTTCTCGAAAGGTAAAGCTAGTTATTCAGTAATTTTCTTCACTACGAAGAGTGACTCAATAATACGGGCTGAATCTACGAAAATTATATGCAAACGACCATCCTTTTATTAGGTATAAAAATTGGCTATAAAATTTATAAACTCACATTACAGTCTGGGTCGGTACTTTGTAGTTCTATGGAAACATTATTGGTCCAGTGGTTTAAATTGACTTCTTTACATTTAGCACTGCCCATAAAATATGGACGCCAGTCAAAGTAGGTTGATGAAACCAAACTTCTTCTTCCAGTTGATAATATATTTGAAATGATCACGATTTGTAGTAAAGCAACTGGTTTGTCGAATAACAATTTTTCAAGGGTCACCTTAAAGAAGAAAGTAAAAAGCACATACTGTTGATAAATAATAAATTCCGTATCAAAATCAGTTTATCAACTTTTCGCTTCATTCTTAACGTCAAACTGATAGATGCTCGGAAACTCATCCCATATGACTATGAATACGATGAGGATCGGAGTCAGCTTAGGCGCAGGCTGATAAAAAGCCTACGCAATGGTCGCAAACAGTGATAGTTAGCGAACGCAAGAGATATGGAGAAGGCATAGACGACAGGTAACAGCAGACAGTTGTTCCGATATATCAAGTAAACCGGTATTAGGAATCCAACTATTAGCGAGACTATCTCAGAAAAGGATGGAACTATTATTCATTCTCAATCCAGGAGATTGGATAGATGGACAGAGCACTTTAGGGGTCAGTTCAACAGGCCTTCAGCCACAGATCGGTTATCCACGATGATCAGTCGACCTGAATGACATGTTGATGTAAGTCCTCCGAATCTTTATGAAGTTGAAAAAGACAAGAAACATAGTCTTGTGACTACCCTAAGCAATAATGCAGGCATTTTTGAGATGCGGTTTTCCCCAAAAAAAAGCAAAATTTTGCTTTATAACTGGTTTGCATCGTCACCTGAACTAGTGATAAGGATTGAAGCAGTTGAGCGTCTCAGCCGGTCCATCCTACTACATGGGTGGGAAAAACTATCAGTAAGAGAATGGGATATAAAAGTAGGTCACTATTACTCGATCAGGAGCGCGTTCAAAGCATCCTGGGACCACCGAGTAAGTAAAGCTGTTGTTATGAAACGGGTCCTAAGTAAGGATGGCAGATCAATAGATGAAGTAGGTTGAAAGAAACCTATGGGGGGTTAGATAAAGCATAGTACAAATCCATGAAGTCAGTGACAAGTGGACTGAGCCATGTCAGTATGTGTAGACTACCTGGTTTGGGTCCGCGAGATGATAGTAATCGATGATAAGAGACTTAGAACGACAGCTCAAAATTGTTTGTAATGACGCAGGTGCATCCATTCTTTTCGTCCTCTAAAATCCAAATCCTTTGGATTCTTCATCACCTTCATCTTTCTCTTTCTGAGTTAAATTTACGGGATTATACACAATGAATAATATCCAAGAACCCTAATCCTTTCGATTACTGCTAATACTTCTACTAACTCTTTTACTATGGGATTTTAATTGACAATTGCGTCTCTGTGCTACTGTGGTATGACAACTTGAACTGATGTACGTATGCACGAAGTTTCCTGTTGTAACAGACTGACTGACTGAAAATAAGTTTTAGCTTATATAAATATATATGCCATTGACGATTAGATTGTGTTAATTTGGCTGTCCTTCTCTAGTCACATTGCTGGTTAGCAATATACTATGATTTGCATGACTTTACAACATTTTTGGGCTAGTAACAAGAACTGGTGAAAGTATGATGTTCCAAATTCAGATTGATATAATTGAAATGTTTCACACTGTAGTTTTGAGCGAAGCACTGTTTTTGTTTTGTTCGGCAACCTTACTAACTGACAATAATGCTTTCATTATATGTGGATAAGATAAAAATATTAAAAATGACATACAAGCATGAAATTTTAATTTAAAAAAAAGGGGAGGTATTTGCACAGCTTAATATTTAGCAGATTTCAGTGAATTTAATTAAATGGGTAGTTGGAAAAATAAGGCATTAGTGTAACAATGGACAAAATATTCTTAATCGTAGTTACTCTGTCTACAAGCCTATAAAAACTTGCAGGGTAGTGGCTATAAGTTTTTTAATGTTTCAAATGCGCTACTGCAAGTTGCTCAAAGACCTAAGGAATGTAAACGGAGTTCAAATGTTAAGTTGCAAGTGCGACTACAGAATACATTGCTTCGGTGATCTATTTATTTAACCAGATTTTACCGAAAGCAGAATTGCAAATTTCTATAATAAACTGAATACCTGCCATGAATGATTTAGAAGTCATCTAGGGTTCCGTTTGACAAATGAGTAAACACAGCAAATTTATTTATTATATAGATTCCAGAAAGCCTTTTCCATTAACCTTAAAATACAGCTTATACCTTGTTATTATTACACTCTTAACAATCTCAAATGATAACAGAACTTAATTTCTTCAAAGCATCGTTTAAATGACTAACGCATTTCTGATACAAAACGGGAGTGTGACACTCATTATTGATTCTTTTATAGGTTCTGCGGAAGGACCTATCACTGAAAAATTGGTGACCTTTGTATTGTTGTTCGTCATCTATTTTCCTCTCAACTACTGAGAATCTCAGGAATTTCATAATTAAGAACATATTTCTCACTTCTAATGTTCTGTTTATCGTGTCAGGTGGTAGAATTTTAGGATCCTGCACCAGAACATATTATCAGCACTATCAATACTTGCTCTTAACAATAATACAAGTCTTAAATAGTAATAATGATCAATTAACCTTCTACCATATTATTGAAGATTAAAGATGGTGATAGTTCGAAAAAATAACGTCAGTTAACTAGACCACCAATAAACAGGGTGATTGAGAAGACAGACAAGCGCCTTATATCGGTCCAGCAAGTTAGAATGAAAAAAGTTAACTAACACTTGCGAATGTTCACTGAGTAATTCATTTTGTTGGTGTTATCTATCGCCAAAATAATAATTACTAACTTTTAAGCACGGTTGTCAATGCGTGTATTTTTGATCTCCAATACACTGTGACAGCTCCTTCCTTAAGTACATTTTTCTTCTTTGCGTATATATGAGAAAGATTTTGATATATAGATTAAAAAAGCTGCTTAATAGATGGCCCTCCTCCAATTGAGCGTTTTGTATGTAAAGACAGGTTAAAATGTGTCAATATTTGTGAATAATAAATAATAAGTAATCTATGATTCAGACTCAAATCCTCATGTCCAAAGAAATGTCTGTTTTGTGAAACACCTGGTACAGGGATATCCGAAAATCAGTGAGTAGAAAGGAAATTCAGTTTATGTGCATTTTAACGATACTCACATCTTTCCCCTTACTTATTTCTCCCGACTGGAGTTCAAAGCAGAAGAATTGATTGATAATAGGGTCTGTCGTACGTTGAAATAACTTGCTAGAAAATCTGCAGTTTTTGTAGGCAATATGCAATTGCAAATTGACATCAGAATTTTTCGATTCTTCAGATTCGAGGTCTTCGTATGTCTGAATGTGACTTGTAAACGCTCTCCCTTTTAGGACCTCAACTACAAGTACTACATTAGAATTCCATTTGAGCGAAGGATATGTTTTCGAATATTCAGATGTACTAATAAAACTATTTTGATCACTCGTGAAGGTCTTGAATTTCTCCTTCGACTTTATTTTAGAAACCAGCATTTTAATTACACCCTTAGATCTTAAAATTTCTAGTAGCTGAGACTTTGTCATCAAGTTCATATCGGAATTCTCTGTACGAATAGATGACTTTATTTGATTTATGACATCCTCATCTGATAAAGCCTCATCGATGAGCCTACGCAAACTAGTCATGTTGAGATCCCTACACAGATGTAGTTACCACCGTTTTGAATTGTTTTTATTTATATCAAGGTTGATTATCCAATACCCAATAACAATGTAGCAATGAACAAATCCACGAAATGAATAGTTTTATATATCCTTGTCACTGTTGCTACCCTCACTAGTTTAAATTCATTCAGCAAACATAAAGTTATTCGGTCGCGCATCGGCATAAGATCAACAATGGATCCACCTTACAATGTAGTGTACTTTTATGAATATCGGCAATTACTGAAACACATTTTCCAATTCCTTGATTTCTGAGTTGCCTTTTTACTAGACTGCAGACTCTTGATTGGGAAGGTGTGACGGACAACAGCGTTATAAATCATCAACTATACATGCCATCTTTAACACTGTGCCAGTATGCTAGATGTGGGCTCACCAATTCTGTGGGTATCGGTTTTCGATATAATTCCTAAACTTCTTTTACTGGTCGTCCTGATAACCGTTACTAGATAACGCCCAACGTTGTATAAATCAAAAGACGGATCAGATTACGTTTATTAACGTATCACACACATCACAAAACCATGGGTACACATAGCAAAAATGATTTGCTAGTGCCGAATAATTTAAAAAGATAACGTTACGGCCATCACAATAAATAATGACCTGGATGGTAAGCAATGGTCAAGCCTAAATTCTCATATAAGCACAGCAATAATAAAAGCACAACCGTACAGATGAGTTGTCGATCTTCGAACGACTGTGTCTGTTAAACATGTTGTTCAAAAGGGCCTTACCTAATTTAATATAAGCAAACTATAATATATGTATGGTGCTACACCAGATCAGTTATGGCCGTCTTCATATCCTGATTTTCTAGAACTCTTCTGGACAACTGATGTTGTCGGTCAAGCCTTTTTTAACTTTTCGACTTCAACAGAGTTGTCGACAAAAAATTTTTCGGGCCGCATATTTGAAACTCAATCCAAGAGTGCGAAATCATTCCTCTGGTAAGTGGATAGTATGTAGGCGATCGTTCCGTATCAGATCTTAAGCAAACACTGAAAATAGTTTCCAGTGATTACTAAGTCAAGCTACCAACCATCCCAGAAAGTGTTAGTAAGCTTTATTGGCAGTGAACTAATAATGACCAGAGCTATCCATAATATCAAAAATAGTGATACTCAAGTCCTTCTCGGTCGTTTAACTTGTGCTAACGATGTTGCATATGTTACGGTTATTCAGAATTCGAAAACCCGTATATCCGTAATAAATTTCAGACTGAGGATAACCAAAGCCAAGCCATACCAGAACTCAGGAATAAAAGATGTCAAAAGTACACTTGAATGACAAAAGAAATATCGAAATGTGTTTGAAATGAGTTTAACAGCTGGAGAGATGAGATGCATCGCTGTGTATCCCAGGTGTATAAAATCAAAATAATGAGATCAGCATCGATTTCTAGGACCTACAGTGTCTTTTTACCGCTACAATATAATTTTGGTGACCAAAAAGAAGCTGAAAAAGAACGGAACAGCTAGTCGAACAGTATCACTCATTTCAAGATGACTCTCAGAAATAAGTTTCAGACCTCTCGCAATCAACTTAACAGAGGGGATATTACCGTGAGGAATAATTGTAACGGTATCAGTGAAGCAATGGCTTCAGCATATTAGGAGGTTTTGTACCACAAGAAATAGATCTTTGTGGATACTCCGGATAAGATTCCAAAAAGAAAATGCAAGAAGACAGCGACCAGTATCAGCCGGACAGTAGCATAAAAAGCCGAAGCGCAAGCTGATTACATAGAACCAATCATGCAAGTGATAAGGAGCATCTTAACTGATAAACGTTAATATGTGGAATATCTATCACTGGCGACTGAAAAAGCTTCAAGAGGAGGAAACAAGAAACAACTATACGATAAAAGAGGAGACGTGTTGGAAATTATTGTAAACCAGAAAGAAAAATGAAAAGCAAGGATGGCAAGGTAATCACTAACACTAGAGAACAGCGAAAAAAGTTAGCCATTGGATAGACCAGCTCCACTGAAGTAACCTAAAATCGAAGCCGCTCGTACGCACCTCCCGACTAGTGTAGGCCCAACAATAGTTGAAGAAATCACTATAGTCTCCAGAGGAAATAAGAGCGGTTAAACAGCAGGACCATTCGGGATGAGGGACTGAAAGTAGACATTGGAGTAGCTGCAAAGTTACTCCATGTTCTCTTCAGCATGATCTGCGATGGAGAAAAAGTACCAACAGACTGGAAAAAGGGACACCTCATCATGTTATCGAAGATAGGCGATCTCAGCAAGTTTGAGAACTACAGAGGCAACATTGTTCTGCCAATACCAAGCGGAGTTTTCAAAAGGGTTTGGTTAAAGAGAATGGAAGATACAAAAGACGTCCAACAGCGAGATCAGCAGGCTGGACCTCGTAAGGATTGATCATGTGCTCAAAAAGTCGCACTACGGATGATTTTAAAACAATCTGTCGAATGTAACTCATCACTATATATCAAGTTCCTTGGTTTCGAGGAAGCATCTGACAGAATGGAGGAGATGATATTATGGTGGTTGCTTCGACATTATGGTGTGCCTGAGAAGATAGTAAACATTATACGGAATTCCTGTTATGAACTATATTACAAAATCGAGTATGAAGGATAGCTCACGAACTTGTTCGAAGTGAAAACCTTTTCTGTTTCTTCTAGTAATCTAATGGATTGTGAAGGCGTCAACATCTATGAGTAAGCACAGGACTGAGTAGACACCGGGGATGATGCTGGACTACATGGACCTCGCAGGTGAACTAGCTCTTCGATCTCACATGCAACAGACAACTCAGGAGAAGACGAACTCTTTAGTAAACGAAGAGGATCTGATGCGAATGTAAAGACACAGAATACAAAAGCAAGGGTAGAATTTCTACGGTTGATAAATATCTGGAAATCAAAACAAATGACAGTAATGACAATAGTTTTCAATGGAGACCTCAAGATAGTTTTATTGTATGCATCGGAAAGTTGAAGAACTATAAAAGTCACCATCCGAAAGATACAGGCATTCTTTAAAAATAGTATGCGCAAGATATCGATTATTTATTTGCTGTATATCATTGCAAACAACCTACTGTATCGAAGAGCAAAACAAGATTCCTTCACAGGAATAAATTACGATAAAGTGCTGGATGCGAATGGGTTGTACATTTCAGCTAACCCTAACCTAAGCCATCCAGCGCCAAGGGAAAATGGACAGAACAAGAAGCTCATTGTGACAAGATGTGAAGACAGGTATGTAAATAATGAACAACACTTGGGTAAAACTTGTAAAGAAGAACATGGGCAGAGTAAAACTGAGAATGCTGATGTGTGTCCTATGCTTTATTAGCGGTAGGTAAGTAATCAAAGTCATAATTTCGGAAACCACTTGCGACAGAACTACATGCAACGTAAGTCATCTGTAATTATATAGTAACTTACAGCCTGGTAATGCAATGGATACAATGAAATTTACTGTCATCCACAAAAGACATAACTTCGAAAATACACTCCAATATTTTTAAAATGTTCCTAACCTATATTAAGTCATACTTTAATTACGTTCATGGTTGTGAATGGAAATGGAGAGCTCGCTTATCATTCTAACAGACATTTACTATAAAACTTAAACTCTTGAGATGTCATCACAACTGGATCTTCTTCAGCTGACATTTCTAGAAGGTGACTTACCAAGTAGCAGCTACTTTATTATTTTTCGGCCGAATTTAGAGTTAAGTCAGAAACTTCTGAATTACTGTCTAGTCACACAATTCTCTCGGAACCTTAAGATCATCGGCAGAATGTCATGTCTAGCAGGATATATGTTGAGAAAGATATCTTATAAGATGTAAAAAGGTTGAAATCCTAGTGCAGCACCCTGAGTACCTTATTCGGACAAACTATTGCTTTATAAAATCGGAAATTTTTCCTGACTTCCAAAATCCTGGAAATCTGTGCCATTAAATTTTATCATAACTTTAGTTTGTTCATTTGAAGTCACTTAAGTGAAATTCGAATCATTCACAGGGCTTAGAAAGGAAGGAGTAATAATCCTAGCATTCCCCATACTTGTTGCAAGTAGTTACATCTTAAAATTCTCTGCTGTGTTGAGGTGGTTCAAGAAACTTTACAAAAGTTATTCAAGATGAAACTTGATACATGAGGACGAACTCCGTGAATTATTTAATTGTAATTTACTAAAATTTATCTTTTCGTTTGTTAAGTATATGATGGTGTGTGTTAGAGCACCAAATATCCACTTCTGTCAGATACGAGGACCTATTAAGAAAAGGTTTTCCATATTATGTTCATAACCAAGTGAATCGTTTTAATACATCAAGTTGTTGCACTTCTTCTACCTAGTAGTTTGGACTTTTTAGTTGTCATGGTTCTTGGTTCAATGATTGTCCAGAGGAGAACTTCGTCAAAATGCCTTTTTAATCCTATTCTGTCTAGCGTGGAACACGCAGATAACGCTAATGGTTTGTATTTCCCAATATCGTTTGTAGACATAAAGGATGTTACAAGCCTCTAATATATGCGCAAAATAAGTTCCTGGGTATTCATCAGTTATTTAACAAAGCGTACCATAATATAGGCTTCACTAGTAACCCACCCAGAGATCTGATGTGAATGTTTGAAACCTAAGTGACCACAGCCCCTTCAGTGGATAGTTTGAAGAAGAGACGTGATAAATACGTACTCATATATGGATTATCATCTTCCTCTTGAATTAACTGTGCCTGATGCATTCCTTGAAACGTGCTAGTCGTATTTACTGCTATTTTCCCAGATCAATGACTTAATATATCTCGCTTACTATATCTTTTTTCTTTCTCTCGCCTACACTTCTTCCCTCTTGCACTATCTTGACTACCGATTAATTTTTTTGTTTGTCCATTTATTTTCTTAGTTCTAAAATATTATTATTATTAGCATTAGAATTTTCTGGTTGCTCTCCATATTGCAGCCAATTTATCTCTTTCCAGGTAACGTGATGGTTGCTGGTATCCTGAAGTCATACTGACTTGAACCGAACGTAATTATTAAATCACGGGACTAGGTTTAGAGCAGTCAATGGGTTATACTACCAAATACTTGGATTCGTGCCAAAGAACAGGAGTCGAGTGCAAAGGAATCAATCGGTTCATACTAGCTAGTGATAAAGATATTGGAGATTGGGACCGATGATGTTGTTTAAGATATCATGATACAATTTTGGTTGCAACTACACAAATTTTTGTTCGATCACTGGCATTGAAAGATAAAGCTTCCAAGACTTTGAAAATGTACCGAATAAACTATACTTCTCAACTCCAATTTTGAAGTATTTTTGCAAATATTCGTACGGATACATTCGCGGTGCTAAGTCAGTAGAATGCTCCATTACTGCAGTTTCCTGATCTATCCATCAAAAGTACTAAAAGGCCTCCGAAGTGCTGCTCTGAAGCGTGACTTAATCACTTATTTAGTTTAGGTTTTAGATTTTGTTTGGAAAGAACGGCAGACTATTTGGCTTGTGTTATTCCTAGCAATCTCCGTCTCTCAGTTGATTCAACTTTCTCTTGAATGCACTACCAGATATAACTTTAATCATGTGTTGAGGTAGCAAGTATCGTTTGTAGATGATTCGATTTAAAAATCAATCCCCAGCTGACAAGCATTTTGTTCTAGGCTTGTGAATTGTTTTCCAGTGTCCTCGAAATTTACCCGTGTGAGATGCAACTTTGTCAATCAGTAATCTAAAAACTATAATTGAATAACATTTGATTCTTAATGAAAATCGGAATAGGTTCAGTTCAGACAGTCTATATTCATTTGTCATCTTTAAAATTTCAAGGATTATTTAGGTTGTGGTTCTTTAATTTTCCCAACAACTCACCGTCTTATTTTAGGTTGGATGCTTGCACGTACCGCTTCAGTTTATAGGAAGTTAAAATAAATATATTTCTTCGCGGAATTACCAATGTAAATCCCCATTAATCTAGAAGTCAAAGAAAAGACTATTCTGGATGAAGGAGTATATTTATCGCTAGCCTCGTTATATAGAAATAATATCGAGACTAGGGGTACAGGAGCGGCTAACAGTAGAGAGGAGAAGAGCGGAATGGGAATAACACGCTTGGTGCGCGAGAGATAGTCTTTAGTACAGATAAACAAAAAGAGTACCATACAACAATTATTGTCAGAATTAAGTACAATAATAAATGTTTATATTTCAGAAATTGTGTTATCTTCGTAAAAGTATACCACTACAAGTTCATGACAAATAAACTCTGTATTTAAGGTTAAAAATGCTTAAGAATCGACCTACATAAAGGCTCTATGTTCTTAACTGAGGGTTCTAAAACCTTTGGTTGCTATTAAACAGCAACATGTAGCAGTTTTTAAGTCTTGACTGTTGAAGTCTTCTAGGCCGTTGTGTTTTTGGACAACAAATAGCTACATTTTCTTTACAGTGTAGTTATCTCTACCTCCGTGAAAAATTGGTATCACGATGCATCTGAAGGCATTTGTCTGCGAATGCCAAACTCTGGACTATTCAGCTAATTTTTGTGAGTCATTTAGAAGCTGCAGGCTATCACAATATTGTTATGTGTGATTTGATACTCATCTAACTCCAATGTAATCAAACGATAATCAGATTCATGAAATGTAGACCATATATGCTTCAAAAAACGCCTCAAAATGTTCAAAACACCCAATTCAAATATGTGTGTTTTAGGATATATTTGTTCCAAAAGTCTGCTTAAGACGTCAAGGATATCCAGATTTTTACAATGCCTTTTACCGTTAACTCTTCTAAACGAGAAAATCAAAACCCATTTGACCTGGTGAGGACTCGTGACCGACTAACTTTATATGCTCACTAAAACTAGCGAGGACGGCATCGATGTCGAAGACTTACAGAACCACTTATTTTATGGATTTACTTACCACTACACTAATGATGCGGACAGACGACAGATGCGAACTGAAGAAGATAGCGGGCCCACTAAGCGACTAATGGATGAATCATATAAAAATGAGTTACGTTGACATTATACACAACTAGAGTATGAATGACAGACACACAAAGCAAGCACATGTAAAGGAGTATATCATATGATTAACAAGCTTACAGATAAAAAAAATACATAGGAAGGTCATAAAATACTTGACCCAATTAAAATGAAGGAATGAACCTTTTAAGATGTTGAAAGGATCTGCTGTAAGTTATTTAATGAAAGTTTCTTCATCTTACCTTAAGCTTACTCAATTATGAGTTTTCTGTACATCTAAAGGTTTCCTGTCCTAAGAAGTAATATGAAATGTCAACATTTGAAAGACTTATATTTAAATCTAATAGCAACATTTCATTACATTTAGGGGATGTGAACTATGTTGATATTCAATTACTCAAACCAACTGTTAATTATCAGGCTATACACTCTTCAACCAAACCAGCTTACAGTGAAAGAATATCTTGCAACACGCTGATGGTAGGTAAGTGAATTACGATAAACAATGTTTGTTTTGAAATCTCGTTTTTGGTGATAAATAAACTCAATTTTTTATTGTTAACATTATTCCAAGTTGCTGAATCGAAGTTTATCTTTCTCGAGGGAAATAGACAAGTGATATTATTGTTATTATTATTATTATTATTATTATTATTATTTTGAAATCAGTTTTAGCAATTTATTTGCATTCACAATCTCTTTCACATAAATAAATCAGTTGCCTAGTAATCTTAATCTGTTTGTAAAAATTATTCTTCAAATTCTTTTTATATTTATTCTTTTCCATATAAGTAAGTAAATGATTAAAAAATTTTTAAAGCAGGATATCTGCTATCATAACTACTTGATAATGCACCACTCAACATTTCAACGATCACTATTGTATGATATCACCAATATAATACTGTAGTGAAGGAGAACACAGGTGAGGGCAACCGAATTGTATTTAACGAAAATTACAGAGTTACTCAGTAAAATAGGAAAACCATATCGTAACCGTTAATTTGCAAATCTTCAATCAATCATCAATCCATTGTCTGACATTTCACTATTCATGCGTTTTATACAAATTCCATTGTGTTCTCACTCTTCCTTTCTTGATCTTCCCCCATCTTCTGCTGCCAGACATTACGTTTACACACGCGTCATATACTACTTATAAGTAGCACGCTCCACAATATTAGCAAAAAGGAAGCGAGAAATTAGGCTGCGATGCAGAGAGTAAAAGGTGCCAGGGAGAAGCTGTTAGGTTATCCATTTTTTGTTAGTAAATTTTTATTTTCTTTCCTGTAGCAATAACCATAAGTATGATTTTTCAAATTGGTATTTCTGTCTATACTTCGTTATTATCTGATTGGTCACTGCTAATTTTTGTTTAACTGACTTTACTGAATTCTAGAGCTATGTTTGATTACTAGTTAGATATAATTGTTTAACTTTGATTTTGTTTTCAAAAATACCAAATGTTTCTAAGCGGTGTTGCCTTCTCTTTGAATTCTATCAGTGGGACTTTATTGTTGAAGGGTTTCGTATGTTAGTTACTGACTTACTGAGATAAAGAGATTATGTTCGCATTAGAATAGTCTCAATTGTTTATAATTAATAATCATCATAGGCTGATTAAAACAAATTGCAAGATTTATGAACTAAATATTAAATACCCAGTTACCTAATCGAGAAGATCATCAGTTGAGGTCGTTGGGACATGTGTTACGAATGCCTAACCACCGACTGCCTCGACGAGCTGTGTTTTGTGGTGTAGAAGTTGGTTGGAAGGAAGCTAGGGGCGGCCAGACCAAAACATGGCAGGAATCCATGAAGTCACTGACAAGTGGACTAAATCATGTTGGTAGATCTAGACTACCTGGTTGGGGTCCGCGAGACGATAGTCACCGATGGTTAGAGACCTTGAACGACATGGCTCAGAATCGTTTGCAGTGGCACCGGTGCATCCACTCTTTGTGTTCTCTCTAATTCTGACCTTCTGAATCTCATAATTTCTACCTTTCTCCTTCTAAATTTATCTCACTGAATTATATTTCTTGAATAATATCTTCGAACCCTAGTCTTCTTCATTACTATTAATACCTCTACTATCTTTATCACTATGGGATTAGATTTGACATTTGCGTCTCTGTGCTGATGTGGTATGGCAACCTGAACTGATGTACATACGTACGAAGTTCTACGTTGCAACTGACTGACTGACTGACTGAATCGAAAAGATCATTTAAAGAAGCAGGTCATCAGAATCAACTGAATTATACTACTTTCTATGAGAAACGAAATGTTTTAAGTGAGACAAAAGCATAGAAACTATCCAGTGTTGTTGTAATGACAACATTTGAAGACTAGCACAACGTTGCTCTGTTATATCTTTCCTAAGAAAGCTCTATTTCTACTTAACAAGACTGTTAGCTAAATACTTCAAACTAGTCAGTCAATCAATCACTGGAGACTAAAGAGTTTTGAATTATTCATTCTGCTAGTTATAAATTTGCAATAAAATACAATCAAAATAGCTACATTGAGTTTTGTAACGAGACAAATCTTTAAATTTCTGACATTTTAGAAGTAAATTAAACTAGTTTCGTTCGTTAACATTTACTGGTTTTTTAAAAAAGTTTTAGAATTAAACTTGTATTACACAAATCATCTCGTGAATATTCGTTATTATTATTCCTCTTCAATAATCAGATGGATTTCAAGCAAACAAATTAAAACGGCCTGTAAATCGTCATTCAAGTAGTAGAACTTTAACTAATTACGAACAAACACATCGTCTTGTTAGATCATCATCATTATCATCCTGTACACAGAAAAATTGTAAACAAGTGAATGAAAATAGAAATCGAACATTGAATCGTCATCATCATCAACAACAACAACAACTCAAACAACAAAAAATCACTTCATTGTCATTCCCACAATCATCATCGATATCATCATCCTCATCCTCATCGTCGTCGTCCTCCTCTTCATTTTCATCATTCACATTCAAAGGATTTAATGGTTCAATGAAATTGAGAAATACAACAACCAAATTAACTACTACCACTAATCTATCTTCACAATATACACTTAACAAAAATGATCAAAGCGGTACTAATAAATCATGTGAAAATGATAATAATTTAGTCAATGATCATGACAAACAGCAAACCATCCTACGTTATGAACAGTAAGTAATAGTGTGATTGGTTGATTGATTGATTGATTGAATATCTTACTTACAGACTATAAAAATTAGAATACATTTTGACAATGTGAATAAGGAGGGGAAAAAAGGTATTCTTGTGATGGTGGAGAAAACTTGTAGCTCAGGTGGATGATTGTGGTGGTGTTTTGTTCTCTGAGCTGGTTGTTTTGGTTGTGGAGCTTTCATTGTTCTTCTGAACAACATCATCAGCACGAACTTCAGATAGAAGTGAAGCATTAGAATTTCTCCACGTTTGACCTGTAGCTTGTTCTGCTAACCTCGATCTTGATTGGTTGTTGTTGACATTTGACCTGCCGTTGTTTGCAACTATGTTTTGATTGCCTCCCTCTTTTGATCTGTTTCTTGATCTAGTGTCACCTATGATTTTCCTGATTGGTTGATAAATTGGGTCAATGTCGATGTGTTTGTTGATTGCTAATTGACCTGAGTGCCAAGCTTCTAAAAATTCTCTAGTGTTCTTTGTCCTCCCCCTACCTAGTATTTCCACGTTGTTCCAATCAAATGTGTGTCCATAATTGTCGGTGTGTATTGATATAAGCGAAGCGTTGTCGTGGCGTTTGACTGCTAATTGATGTTCACGTAAACGGAGCTGAAGAGGTCGTCCACTTTGTCCTATGTAGTGTTTTTCACAATTTGAGCAATTTATTTTGTAGATGATATTTGGTTTTTCTTCCTTTGTCATTTTGTCCTTTGGTCTACATAGGATTGACTGAAGTGATTCCGTTGGTTTGTGTGCCACACCTATTCCAAATGGTTTCAGTAGTCGTGCCGTATGCTCTGATATGTCTTTGATGTATGGTAGGATGATGCGTTTATTTGTTCCTGTGCTTGATTTCAATCCTGATGATAGTTTTGGTTGATGTTTTTTGATGAAGTTGCGTGGATAGCCGTTCTTTTGGAAGATAGTCATCAGATGTTTTTCCTCGTTTTTTAATGTTTCGTATGTGCTGCAGTGTGTCTTCGCTCTCTTGAACAGAGTTTGTATGCAGTTGATTTTGTGGGTTCTTGGGTTGTTGCTGTCGTAGTTGAGAATTACGTCGGTGTGGGTTGGCTTCCGAAATACTTGAGTTTCTAGTTTTCCTGTGTTAGTTCTGGTGATTAGTACATCCAGGAATGATAGGCTGTTGTTTGATTCCTTTTCCATCGTGAATTTGATGTCATCAAAGACGTTGTTGATCTGATTGTAGATGTTCCCCAGCTCATTCCTTTTGATAATAACGAATGTGTCGTCTACATAGCGAACCCACATTTTTGGCTTGATCTTCGTCAGCATGTTCTGCCAACAAGTGTCAGATATAGACCACCAATCAACTGCCCAATGGGATGGCGAATAGCGGAGCAAAGTGGGAGACATATGGTACAATTAATGATCACCGACGCACACTACAGGATCCACAAATACCAACACAACATGGATGAACAAAAAAGAAAACTAGAAGGAATACTTACATCAGAACACTTAACAACGTTGACAACGGCGATTGAACTGTCAAGCAGACGACACAGAGAACAAAGAAGAAGCATCCTCAAAGACAAACTAATCAAGATTTCAAAGCCAGCCACAGAAGAAAACGCAAACAGTTGTGTGGTCAACCTATCGAAGCAACATCTAACGACAACAGAAGTACAACTGCTCCAAAAAGGATTAAACTACAACACGAAGGATGCTTCAAAACTGGAATTCTTCGCGGCATTAGAGTCATCGCTCAAAACGGCAGGAATAAGTGAAGAAACTCAACAAGAAATAAGACAAACCATAGTACCACTAACTCGACGGAAGAGAGACAACAACCAACTAACAGCACAACAACGAAAAGCTCTGAAGAAACTCAAAACCAGGGAAGATATAGTCATAGTTCCAGCGGACAAAGGACGCACAACAGTAATCATGGACAAGGAGGAATATATCAAGAAAGCCGAGGAGCTACTTCAGGACAGAAGCGTATATAAACCAGTCGACACAAACCCCATAAAAAAGTTGGACAATCAAATCTCAAGGACTCTAAATAGGCTTGTCAAAACAGGACAAATATCAAAACAAGATCAATGGAGAATGAAATCCAATGGACCAACAATTCCACGATTCTACGGTAGGCCAAAACTCCACAAACCTAACATCCCACTACGTCCTATTGTATCCCTCCCCGGAACCCCGACCTACAACTTATCAAGAGAGATCTCAAGGATATTAAAACATCTGGTGGATGAATCCAACTACTCCATTAAGTCTGCCACAGAATTCTTGGATAAACTCAAGAGGATTCAAATTGACAACGACGAAATGATGATATCCTTCGACGTAACAGCCTTATTTACCTCAATAGAACCAAGCTTAGCCAAAGAAACTCTTTCTCTGCTCCTCACCAACGACACAAATCTACACAAATATACAAAACTTCAGAGTCAAAGTTTGCTTGAACTCATCGACCTATGCTTAACAACATATCTTCAGTTCAACAACAGAGTCTACGAACAAATAAAAGGAACACCAATGGGATCACCAATATCAGGACTCATCGCCGAAGCGGTAATGCAGAGACTGGAAGCGTCGATTCTGCCAGTGATCAAGCCAAAAATGTGGGTTCGCTATGTAGACGACACATTCGTTATTATCAAAAGGAATGAGCTGGGGAACATCTACAATCAGATCAACAACGTCTTTGATGACATCAAATTCACGATGGAAAAGGAATCAAACAACAGCCTATCATTCCTGGATGTACTAATCACCAGAACTAACACAGGAAAACTAGAAACTCAAGTATTTCGGAAGCCAACCCACACCGACGTAATTCTCAACTACGACAGCAACAACCCAAGAACCCACAAAATCAACTGCATACAAACTCTGTTCAAGAGAGCGAAGACACACTGCAGCACATACGAAACATTAAAAAACGAGGAAAAACATCTGATGACTATCTTCCAAAAGAACGGCTATCCACGCAACTTCATCAAAAAACATCAACCAAAACTATCATCAGGATTGAAATCAAGCACAGGAACAAATAAACGCATCATACTACCATACATCAAAGACATATCAGAGCATACGGCACGACTACTGAAACCATTTGGAATAGGTGTGGCACACAAACCAACGGAATCACTTCAGTCAATCCTATGTAGACCAAAGGACAAAATGACAAAGGAAGAAAAACCAAATATCATCTACAAAATAAATTGCTCAAATTGTGAAAAACACTACATAGGACAAAGTGGACGACCTCTTCAGCTCCGTTTACGTGAACATCAATTAGCAGTCAAACGCCACGACAACGCTTCGCTTATATCAATACACACCGACAATTATGGACACACATTTGATTGGAACAACGTGGAAATACTAGGTAGGGGGAGGACAAAGAACACTAGAGAATTTTTAGAAGCTTGGCACTCAGGTCAATTAGCAATCAACAAACACATCGACATTGACCCAATTTATCAACCAATCAGGAAAATCATAGGTGACACTAGATCAAGAAACAGATCAAAAGAGGGAGGCAATCAAAACATAGTTGCAAACAACGGCAGGTCAAATGTCAACAACAACCAATCAAGATCGAGGTTAGCAGAACAAGCTACAGGTCAAACGTGGAGAAATTCTAATGCTTCACTTCTATCTGAAGTTCGTGCTGATGATGTTGTTCAGAAGAACAATGAAAGCTCCACAACCAAAACAACCAGCTCAGAGAACAAAACACCACCACAGGTATTCTTGTGTCAATTAACATAATATAGTGTACTCAAGATGTTGAGTTTTCGTTGCCTCAAAATAATGAGTCAATCATGATTGAGTGGATTAGTTATAATTCAAATTTCTCTAGGGAAAAAAGGTACAATGCTATGATTTCTTGATTTTGAGCGATATATTTCTGATCGCATTATTCACTTGGTTAGTTGTAAAGCTAATGAACATTGTAAACTCAAAACCGAAAAGTTATCCTAAAAGTTTGAGCTGTTTTTAGATTGTGACTTTAACGTTACCAAAATTTACGACAATTTCCAGCTACGTTTTTTAGTTTTAAACTTGATTTTTTAGGAAACTAACTGTTAATTTAAAGACATTTTTATTATCATAAATTTGGAAAAACTCAAATTTTCAGTTCCAGAGGAATGGCCAATATTTTAGTTTAACTAATCCTTAGTAATCTTGAATAGTTAGAAACTGATTCAGAGGTTTTCCAAATAATAGTCAGATCGAATCATTAAAATTGTACAAAGATATTTTTACAGGCTTTTGATATAAAAATAGTTGCAAGTAAATATTTTATTAATCTGGTGATTTCTTCACAAATGAATAGTTGTGTTGTAAATTTAATTATAATCATTTACATGTAGTTCAATTATTCATTTTAGCCAATAGTAACTGTTTTTTTATTTTTACGAAAAATAACCGAATGAGCTCTAACAAAACAACTATCATTTTCTGAGACATGGGAAAGTATTTAATATCGAAAATCATTATAAGTGAAACAAATTTTAAGAAAAATAGAGGACTTTAACAACCATTTTTAACTAAACTATAAGCTTATTAGCGGCAATTCATCTTAAAAATCAAATAAGTGAATAAAACATTAGTAAATAAATGTTAAAGTTTAAACTCCTCAATTATTGACATTTTTAAAGGAGTATGACGTAACTGTGCATGTGCACGGTTAGAGACCTTGAATGACATGTCTCAGAATCGTTCGCAATGGCGCAGGTGCATCCACTCTTTGTGTTCTCTCTAATTCTAACCTTCTGCATTCTTTATAATCTCTACCTTCATCCTCCTAAATTTATCTCACTGAATCATACTTCTCGAATCATATCTTCGGTCCCTAATCTTCTACATTGCTGCTAATAATTCTACTATTGCTATCACTCTTGGATTTGAACTGACAGTTACGTCTCTGTGCTGACGTCGTATGCCGACCTGAACTGATGTACTTATGTACGAAGTTCTGCGTTGCTTCTGTCTGTCTGTCTATCTGCATGTGCGCTTGTTTGTTATTTTAGGCAAAGAGAATCGAACTAATTTCCAAAGTATTGTAGATCAATGATTTCACAAAAATTATCATAAACTGAGTTACATATATATATATATATATATATATATATATATATATATATAGAAATATATCATCTGTTGTTTAGTGAATACTATAATTCAATCCGTTCAATTTAATTATATACTTCTAAATCTGTTTACTTGTTTTTTTCTATAGAATGAATTTAACAAATTGTCCAATAATTGATTTAAACAAAGTATGCTCCTCTTTAAGTCTTCAATGCAATCAAATTCATCAAATTGACAATTTACAACATTTTACAAAACTTGTCTATTTAAACATATCGAAAAATCAATTGACCACAATGAATGGTCTGGAAAATTTATATTCTTTACGCATATTATTATTAGGACAAAATCAAATTCAACAAATCTGTGCATTAGATAATTTAAACAATTTAAATATACTTGATTTAAATCATAATCAAATTAAAATCGTTGAAAATTTATCACATTTAACAAAATTACATTGTTTAAATTTATCATTTAATTATATTACATCTGTCACTGGTTTATCTGGATTAATTTCTTTAAGTGAATTAAATTTAAGACATAATAAAATATTACGCATTGAACCAATTGAAAATGTGCCAAAATTAATTTGGATATTTTTAAGTTTTAATCAAATTCAAAGGTAGATTTAATATAGTTAGTCTCAATAGTAATTTATGATTACTTACTTAGTAATAATTATTATAATTATTTGCTATACATTTTATAAATGAATTTGAATAACGCTAAAATACTTTCAGTTGAATTGATATTGAAAGTTGAAAACTTGGTTAATGTTTGATCCTATTAACAGATTGAAAGTCAGACAGATTCCGAATTAATTTCTGAACTATTAGTTTTCAATTTAGTGCAACAGCTTTAATAATAGATATTTAACTGTACGGATTTCTTTTTAACCGATTTGGTCAGCTAGAAGTCGACACAACAAGATTTAAAATGAAATAATTATCATATATTTTACCTAACCTTTTATTTCTGTGAATAGGTTATTGACTTTTTCTTTTAACAAAACTACTTTCAATTTCGTGAAACAACAATCAAGTTAAATCAATACTGTCTAGCCAAGACTTTCATTTTACATACAAATTATTCAGTTGTTATGATTAATTTATGCGTTTCATAATTCATATTTAAACCTAATGAAAAGTGACATAATTAATTTGATTAAATATGATGTTCAGACTATCAACCAGTCACTGCTAGATCACCATTAGAAACCTGGATGCACTGGACGGTCGTTTCGTCCTGGTATGGGACCGTAGGTCCTGGGTTCGAATCCTGAGAGGTGTAGGAGTCGTGGATGCGAACTGTCGATGAGTCCCATTCCAGGAAGAAACGGCGTTCCAGTACTTCCACGTTTCTAAAGGTGGTCTAACAATCATTGTCCAATCTGTAAAAATACTGATCTCCATAAATCTAACTGAATAAATATCATGTTCCGAAATCATGCATTGCTGTCTTTTTTATTTCTATACTCAATACATACAATGTAATACATTTGTAAAACATTCTGTACTATTAAAAAAACTAGAAGATTTAAATCGATAGTGATAATTATTTAGTAAATGTATAGAATTTAATCATGTGTATCACGATAAATATGTTGAGCTTAGGAAATGATACTCTTTTTCATTTATCATATCAAATCAAATTACCTAACATTGAACGATATTCATCATAACGTGATGGTCATATATTATGATCGAATTAACTGGTGATAATAATCAGTGGACTGCATTGAATAATGCAGACAGACAAAGAAATAAAGATGTTTATTCTCTCCCTCCATTCTACACATATTACCATATATTTCATTGGGCAGTAAAGATATAGGAAGTCAAGAACGGGGTTATAACTGCACAGAACTACTACCCCGCGGTACATTTACATATATATAACACAACCGAAATGTATCGAGAGAAAGTTAATGATTCAACGAATTTCAACGATATAACAATCCTTCTATTGAACCAATTTAAACGAATGAACAGTATGGATGTAAATCGTAAGCAGAGACGTTTATCTAATCTGTTTAAAATATTAATATATAGTTAAGCTTCTTCACAATGATATGCTAACTGACAAGGTATACTCAAGAACAAACAAAGCGTTTGAAATAAAATTAGTTATCATCTAATGACCAGTTTCTACATGTAATCAGATGAATATTTTGTGAAACTGTTAGGAAATTCATCCGATATCCTAAAAGAATTATAGGTCGATTCCTATTGATTAATTTCTACTGGTCAATTTTATGGTTGTCCTAGATATCAATGTCATGTGCTCTAATGTTGTTTCTTATTGGTTGTCCTGAAGTTCATTGTCACTTCAAATGCTGTTTCTTATTGGTCGTCTTAACTGCTAGTGTCACAGACTACGATGATGTTTCCTATTCAACCTAAATGTATAAATACACATTATGTGTAACGTTTTATGACCAGGACCAGGACCTGGTCCCGGATCCTTAGTCCGGGATTCTGATTCTCTTCTAGACTCGGACCTCGTACACTCTGGATGCTTGTAGAATACAGATTCCTCTTCATATCAAGTCTTCTTATTTTTATTCAATGTGTGGGGGTTGGGATAATCGGATTAGAGTAGCATGTCGTGTCTTCGGATCCTCGATCCTCGCTCTCGTTTTCCGACTAAGTTAACTCGTAATAGTTCAAGAATATCAAAATGATATGTTTACTACGTGCAAGCGTAACAGAAAAAATCTTTGTTTAATGTAAAAAAAATTCTACTAAGATTTCACATAATATGTATAACTTAATCAAATCTTTTTGATTTGATTTCAGATGGTCTCAGATTAGCGGTTTAGCCAATTTAAATTTACTGTCTCAAATTACCTTGGATGGGAATCCTATTGTATCAGATTCAATCTATCAAAAGATGATATCAAATAATAATAAAAGATTATTCAATGATACTACAAATGTTGTTTATCCATTAAGAGTAAGTTCTTACTGATCATGCGGATAAAGTATATTGTTTTTTTAATTGGGTAAAGTTAACTTTCCTATCATGCGTAGAATAATTTTTAAATGTATGCTAACATGTACATTCAATTGGAGTAGATTACTTTTCATAAAGAAACTAAAGCCTTGAAATAATTGCGCCAAGTACATACAATGCGAAATCACCACTCTCATACAGTAAATTTCTCTGGCAATTTAATTTTCGCATCCTATATGTTGAGAGAGATAATTGGAGAATATATAAAATAAAATCATAGGAAAAATATTTGTTATATTTAAGTAAAAGAATGCTTTCGTCAAAATCTTTTATTACTCCTAATAGATAATGATTTGGATAGGTGATGGATGACCTTATATTTGAAATGCATAGTTTAGCTAACTTATTCAATGAAAACTTATTATTCAACTGAATGACATTACCATGTTCAAAATATTACATCAAGTTACAATATTTTTTAATCTTAGAAATACCATGATATTAGTATGCTGAGTTAGAAAGAGTATCGCTGAATAGAATGATAAACATGTAAACATTGTTACAGCTTATTCTGTTCAGTAACTTAACTTCATAACTATCAGTCAGTATTCAATGTAATCCTTACATAAGCAGCAAATGATCCCATTTATATCTATTACATAACTTAGTCTATCTCTGAAAACTTTTCAGCTTCAGTTGATCAAGTAGGTTGTAGTGCCTCCACATATATTCCAGTTCGCTTACATCTAATTTCGTTAAGCTCTTTCGATTAATTTATTTAACCAAGCCATTTGTATTGCAACAATTTATGTGTAGCATTCGTTCTCATTATTGTCTGGTTTTCATGAGCTCATGTGACTTGTCCCACTTATCATTTGACCTTGTCAACTATTCGTCGCTTTTATTCATGTGTGCCTATTTCGCTTGTCGCATGTCTGTCTTATACTTGTCCGACTATATATTCTTAGCCACGCTCTATCTCTTGGGAGTTGGCTCATTAGCCTTCTCCATATCGCTTCATACGATTCGCTTCAGTCGCTCATTCTCTCGCCAGTGTACACACAACAAATGGTTAGCCCGCCGTCGAAATCGGCCACCACAAGGTCATCAAATGTTGAAATATTTAATCCTTTTTTCATAAATTTGTCAAGTATCTTAAGAATACGGAGTTTGAAATTCTACTCAACTTCAAATATCATTAAGCTTTTCAATAACATATTCATAGTGTGTATAACACAACTATAGCAAACAAATGTTTAGTTCATTACCATAACTAGACCTTTTTTACGTATAAAAACCGTTCATAAAAACACATCTTCAAAGCTAATGTAGATTACTGTTCTAATTTTTGTTTGTTTTTTGATATATTGAAGACAATTAACTCGATTACTTTACGTTAACGTTTTCTTTTAAAGCCTTCCACTAATGAATCACTTAGTAAATTAATGACAAATGAACAATGTTTACTCAGGAGAAATTTACCAATTTCATTTTTATTGGAAACTGAAGAATGCTGTCCAGATAAACAAAAACAACAACAACAAGAACTGTCGACGACAACAACGACAACAACAGCAAATATTGTGCATGAATTGTTGAAAGAAAATACACCTCAGACACAGCATGAAAATATGATCCAGGTGGATTGTATGCATAAGTGAGTTATGCAATTTTTAGTAGCCCCAAGATCTGACTACTCAATTAATGAAATAAATCTTTCATTTAATTTCCGCATATCATTCTTAGGTGAACCCCGTTCGTGTGTCGGCTAATAAGGCTTATTTCGGACAGACATAAGGGAGAAGCGTGAAAACGAGGCGAAGCAAACTGAATCACTGATGTGACGTGAATCACACTGACTCGTCAGTTAGATGTACCTGGGACTTATTTAGACCTCACTTAGTCAATTAGTGAAAACCAGGAAGCACTAAATATCTGTTTCACCTTAGTATGGAACTTCTGAACAGCGCATATTCACATGTCTAAGACCTTTTCATACATCCACAACACAACTGCGGATCTGACAGAAAACTTCGGGATTCTCTTGAGAGGATTCAACCTTTAGGTCCAGTGATGTATGCGTCTAACTTCAACCGATTAACAATATCGCCCAAACATTTCTCATTGACATCAGGTATGTCTCAGATGGATTTGATTGTAACCGATTCGGTCTCGTGTGTTGTTACGAGTATGAGGGCGGATGTCACAGATGTCTCAGATAAATGGGTGCAGGCTGTTTCTAAGCCCTAGACTCAAACAAAACAGCTGTCCATTTCTTTCTAGTTTGCAATGATTATAAGGTTGAGGTCAGTGTTTAACGGAAACAATAAAATCTATTACTTTCAGTAAATCCACTGTTACCAAAAATATGTTCCTATATTATTTCAAATAAACATTAAACTCTAAAGCAATTTTCGGAGTAGTTACTCACATAATCATAACCGGGGCAGCCATAAAATCTTCCCAATAAAGCATCCAGCTAAGATAAGCACAAAACTACCACAGATATTGAAATGCAGTATAAATTTTATTGTACACACTTATTGTGTATCCTAATTAAAATTAAATAACGTTTTTATGTTTACATTAGTTAATATAATATAAGTCACATTCTTTTCAACCTATTCTAACAGTCTAAAGCTATGGGCGGCCAGACCAAAACATGGAAGAAATGCCTGAAGTCATTGACAAGGGGAGTGAGTCATGTCGGTAGATGTAGGCTACCTGGTTGGGGTCCGCGAGATGATAATAATCGATGGATAGAGACCCTGAATGATATGGCTCAAAACCGTTTGTAACGGCGCAGGTGCATCTTCTCTTTGTGTTCTATGAAATTCTAACCTGAATTCCTCATCACCTATGTATTTCTCTTTCTAAATTTACCTCACTGAATTATACTTCTTGAATAACATCTTCGAACCGTAATCTCTTCGATTAATTCTAATACTTTTACTACTTCTACTACTATGGGATTTAAATTGACAATTGTATCTCTGTGCTAACGTGTTGTGGTAACTTGAACTGCTGTACTTACATGCAAAGTTCTACGTTGCTGTTGATGATGATTCTAATAGTTTCATTGTCTTTTACAGTTCTATAAATTCATCTACTGAAAACCATACAGAATTAATAAGTCAAAATAAACAAAATTTCACAAACTTTTCAAATAACCTATCTAATTTACCCAAATCAAACTTGTCAATATTCTCATCGCCCACATCGACAACAAATCAAAAGAAAGAAGGAAAAGACAAGTGGACAGAAGTAGTCCCAAATAACACTACTGCTACAAACACTAATGATCATCATAATAACAATATGATTGGTTATAATTCAATTGGAACACTAACAGATGAATGTATCCTATTCCCTTTAATTCCATCAAGAAAAAATACCTCATTGAAATTTACATATTATTTAAAAGGATTAACTCATTTAGTAATAGAAGGATTTATTCCCAAAACATTATTCCAAGTAACAATTGATGCCAATAGTGATAACAATGATCATGGGTGTAAATTATCGAACACTATTGAAAATGTCAGTAATTCTAAGAAAAACGCAAACGAATCAACACAGCATGAAATTTATTTCGATCAATTTTCTTCACTAATCAATGATTTACAAAGTATTCAATCAAATAATAATGATAATAATAATAATATCATTATTATATCTAGAGATGATGAGAATAATGAGAATGAGAACATTGAAAGTAAAGAAAATAATTATTCATTAAAATTATTAAATTTGAATCGTATTTTGAAATTAACAATTAGAAATGTGAATTGGAATCTATTTGTCAATTGTATACACAAATTACATGAATTATTACCACAATTGAAGGTAATCACTTATTTGTTGCCATGTAATCAAGTAGTTTGTATTCATTGCCAGTGAAATAATGACATACGTTGACATGGAAAGATGAGAAGAGTTAGTCGTGGAGATAAGAGAGGTATTAGGGGGTGTAGGAAAGATTTGATTTTGACCAATTTGGTCTCTTGTGTGGTTACGGGATGGCGCAATGGCGCAGGTGCATCCAATTTTTGTGTTCTCTCTAATTCTAACCTTCTGACTTCCCCATAATCTCTACCTTTCCCCTTCTAAATTTATCTCACTGAATTATAATTCTCGAATCATATGTTCACTCCTTACTGTGGTGTGAGCTACTTATTAGTAGTATATGACGTGAGTGTCAACGTCGTGTATTGCAGCAGAAGATGGGGAAAGATCAAGAAAGGAAGAGTTAGGACACAATGGAATTTGTATGAAACGCGTGAATAGTGACAATGGATTGATGTTTTGCAACAGGAACAGTCCAGTTCGATATGATGGACCGATATTTTGCAAATTAACGATTTACGATATGGTTTTCTGATTTTACTGAGTAACTCTGTAATTTTCGTTAAATACAATCTGGTTGCCCCACCTGTGTTCTCCTTCACTAAACTTACTGCTAATACTCCTACTATCGTTATCACTCTTGGATTTGAACTGACAGTTACGTCTCTGTGCTGGTGTGGTCTGGCAACCTGATCTGATGTACTTACGTACGAAGTTCTGCGTTATATTCTGTCTGTCTGTATGGAAAGATGATCATTTCCGTTTTATTTAAATACTTTTTAAAATTACTTAAACGCGTTATTTACTTATGTTATTTATTTATGTATATAATAAGATCGGTGATTGTGAAGAAATAATTCCTATCTATTTAATTTATATCCTTGAATGCTATTACGAGTTCACCTTGCTCGGTAAACGGAGCGAAGACCAATAATTCATTGACACGATAGGCTATTCTAATCTGATCATCCCAGGCCTCACTAACTAGAGGAAGAAATCTTGATAAGACGTGGAGAGAATGTATTCCACAGGCACCCAGAAAGTACGAAGTTAACAAGCACACAACTGAAGCTTATTTATACAATGATAGAAACGCCCTTGGTGAGAGCCATAAGATAGTGTACTAAAACAATCCATCAGCCAACAATAGTCAAAGATTACCAATTTAGAAATGTAAGTTGAGGGTTAAAATGAGCGTCTTTGGCGCGAAAACACAAAACTCAAAATTTAAAAATAAAATTACCAAATTAGGACCTTTTCTGAGTGAGTTCTAAGGATCTAATGTCCTCAACAATAATATATTATGTTAATTAGTCTTATTTAAACTTACAACTCTGAATGAATGATTAATGTCATGATATTCTCAGTGAAAAGTCATAATATTTATGTCTGCATAATTAATTTACAATCTGAATAAGGTGAGTTCTGTGAATTGAATGGTTTGATTGTAAAGCTTTCATTATTCTTCTTAATAACACCATCAGTATTTACTTCAAAGAAAGGTAGACACTGATGATGCGAGACTATAACACTTTCAGGATTTTCATCTAAAGCTGCGAGTATTTTCCGTCATCTCAACTCACATCTCATGTAAAAAAAAAATGAAAACAACTAAATTCACCACACATTATCCCCTAGAAAAATCAATAACTTTTATATAACTGGTTGGAAATAGTCAGGAGCTGATACAATCATCATGAAAGAAGACAGTCGATAGAATTAATTTTGTTAAAAAGAACAAAGTAAACTTGAGTTATGAAATGTTTATGTAAGAAAGTCTGTAGTGCATACAAATCATTGTCACTTTTATCGATTTTGTTTCTCATCATAAAAAATTTTCAGCCAATAACTTCTTTTATTTATGTAAATTTATCAAAAGACAAGTATATTGCGTAATAGCTTATTGGCTAAGGAACAAAGACTTCATACTACCATACATAAAAGACATATCGCAACATACAGCACGACTACTGAAACCATTTGGAATAGGTGTGGCACACAAACCAACGGAATCACTTCAATCAATCCTATGTAGACCAAACGACAAAATGACAAATCACGAAAAACCAAATATCATCTACATGATAAATTGCTCGGACTGTGAAAAACACTACATAGGACAAAGTGAACGGCCTCTCCAACTTCGTTTACGTGAACACCAATTAGCAGTCAAACGCCACGACAACTCTTCCCTTATATCAATACATACCGACAATTATGGACATACATTCGATTAGGACAATGTGGAAATACTGGATAGGGGGAGGACAAAGAACACTAGGGAATTTTTAGAAGCTTGGCACTCAGGTCACTCAGCTATCAACAAACACATCGACATTGACCCAATTTATCAACCAATCAGGAAAATCATAGGTGACATAGGATCAAGAAACAGATCAAAAGGGGGATACAATCAAAACAAAGGTGCAAACAACCACAGGTTTAAAGTCAACAGCAACCAATCAAGATCGAGGTTAGCAGAACAAACTACAGGTCAAACATGGAGAAATTCGAATGCTTCACTTCTATCTGAAGTTTGTGCTGATGATGTTGTTCAGAAGAACAATGAAAGCTCCACAACCAAAACATCCATCTCAGAGAACCAAACACCACCACCACTTCAATGACAAATTTTCAGTCAGTGTATTTTACAATTCACTGTACAAATATTACAAACATTAATTGTACATCATGTTATATCTAGGTACATGTTTTCAAGTGATTAGTGTGGCCGAATACTCAACAAGATTTTGGACTTCTGTCTGTTGAGTCGATCAATACTCAAACACTTTACTGATGGTTAAGATATACTGGACAATATAGATTCATCAAAATCCAATGATCTTCATTTGTTTCAAAATAAATTTCTAGAACTTCAGGTGGGAAGATTTAAGACTTCAAACAAACAGAAAGTAAATCAGTAACTCGTAGATAATACTGAATGAAAATTGTATTATTTCATTATATAATTAAGATTATAAAGTATGGATGATTGAATTTTGATTGAGCAACTTAACAGTTTCCTATATGCACTATATATCCAAATAAAAAAAATTCTTGAATTCAACTCTTTGTGCGCTGAGAGTGATCATTGAGGAGAACTTCAGAACACTGAGTGATGTTTCGTTTTTTTGGACTGAATGAGTTAATTGTGAAACAAGTGGACTGAGTCATGTTGGTGGATGTAGGCTACCTGGTTGTGGTCCACCAGATGATAGTAGCCGATGGTTAGATACCTTGAACGACATGGCTCAAAATGATTTGCAATGGGCATCCACTCTTTCGCTGTCTCGAATTCTAACCTACTGAATTCCTCATCATCTCTATCTTTCTCTTTCTGACTTTATCTCACTGAATTATACTTTTCGAACCCGTAACTTCTCCATTACTGTCGCTACCACTATGGGATTGGAACTAACAGTTGCGTCTCTGAGCTGATGCGGTATGGCAACCTGAACTTATGTACTCATGTACGATGTTCTACGTTGTAACTGACTGACTGACTGAATATTATCGACCAAAGATTCAAATTGCCTCCATTTATTCAAAGTCTCCAACTAGGTTAAACTCACATTTCAACGTTCCTTAGTTTAAAATAATTTTAATTCATGATGACAATTCTCTTCAAAGAAAATAATAAATTTTATTTCATAATTATTCCAAGTTTCTATAAAAGAAATGTTATTTTATTTTTTTTGCATAATATTATGTATATTATAGGAATTAAATCTTCAAAATAATGAACTAAAATATCTACATCAGATTACTGATCTAATTGATTTTCAATATTTAAATGAATTAAATATCAATGGTTCCAATGGTAGTAATCCAATTGTTCAACAAGCTGGTCAATTATGGCGTCCATTTATTATTTGGAGTCTTGTTCATTCAGTAAATTTAACATTTTTAGATGGTAAACTTGTAAGTAATACATTTTGTTTGTCCAGTTAAAAAAATTCACTTAACACAGAACTATCAGTAAATAATAAGTGAATACAATTTGTCATTATCAGTTGAAGAATTAATATACGTTTAAAAATAAATCACCAATGAGATGGTAGGTACTCATTACTTTGAAGCGTGACATATTGAGATGAAATAACTGTTCAGAGTTGCTAGGAATATTTATGAATATCTAGTTGGAATCAACCCATTCAGTTAGCTATCCTTAAATCACAAAATATGAACACATTTCACATTCTCAAGTTTAAGAGTATTAAAGATTTCCATTGTGAAAATTAGAACAACACATATAAGCGAACAATATTGTTTTCGATTAGATCGTCATCAGGCTTTACTCTCTAATATACATGAATATTTAAATGAAGCTGTTAAACTAATCAAGGCAATTTGAGTGATGATCACAATGAAATGAAATAGAGATTACGTCACTACATATAATAGGCAAAAGTACAAGTGTATAGTAGGAAGACAGGTGTAGTGATAGTAGTCAGAAAATTATAAAATATGATAACTAAAGTTTTATCAATAGTAGGTCAAACGTGGATGAATAAACTTCAAATAATCATTACAAAACATCAAAACCATTACGTAATAAGCAAATGTGTAAAAATGAAAAATATAATGTCAATCGTTAGTTACGTCATATCCGGCCACGGAAGAGATAGGGGTATCACGAATTTCTTCTGAACACATAAATTGGGGTTGAATGTACGAATTCCTATGGCTTCTGCTATGTGTAGGAGACGGGGTCGAACTCCGTTGGGAAATGATTGAGGTATACGATAGATCACCCGAAAAGATCTAGACTTATCTACAATATGACCACTATCAACCAGGTGTGCTAAGATCGAACTGCGTATTATTTTTGACTGACCCTTGTTAAACTATGTTGGGAGATGTTCACTCATTCGTTGGGTAAGTTGCCTGGAAGTACGCCCGATATAGCTATCTCGACAGGAGCAGCTGAATTTGTAAATACACATAAAGGAGGACAACTCAGGTAACTTTTCCTTCGTTTGGGTAGACATCGCTGGTCGACTTGAGAAGGTCAGTGCAAGTTTGGCTGCATTGAATATTCTATTAATTGCTCTCATTAATCTGTCCTGCAAGGTATCGCAGGCCACATCTCTGTTGAATTGTTATTTAATAAATAATGGCTTCTTTCGGACGGTCGAAATTACTGACCTCTTTTTGATAAAACTTTAGTTATCATATTTTATAATTTTCTGACTACTATCACTACACCTGTCTTCCTACTATACACTTGTACTTTTGCCTATTATATGTAGTGACGTAATCTCTATTTCATTTCATTGTGATCATCACTCAAATTGCCTTGATTAGTTTAACAGCTTCATTTAAATATTCATGTATATTAGAGAGTAAAGCCTGATGACGATCTAATCGAAAACAATATTGTTCGCTTATATGTGTTGTTCTAATTTTCAAGTTTAATGATTTATTCCAGATTCTCGTTACAGAATCCGTAGAAATTCACAATCCATTAATCAGAATCAAGCCCAAAGTTACTGAATTTTGAAAAATAGGGTTATATTAGAGAGGGATTTTGTTTTAAAGATCGAACTTACGTCTGAAAAAGTTGGGAAGTTTCTTAATAATGCAATTCTTCTGGCATTACCAGAAGAAAGGTTGATCCTTCAAATACAACTAAGATTGGTACTATTTAGCTAAGCGGATTGTTTCTTCAACCAATTAATTTACTAAAGCTGTACAATTTTGCTTCATATCTTTTCATTACATATAAATCCATAATAAAATAAACAAGTAGTAAGTGATTTCAGATGTTGTTGAAATTGTTTTTCAAGTATTAAAAAGACATATAATAATAATAAAACTTCAAATTGAAAGATATTAGTCCAGTTGATAAATAATGCGAACAAGGTATGAATAAGAGCTGATAGGTTATCTAAAGTAAAAGCACTTGTTTTCAAAACAGAGATAAAATGAAGTATCAACCATGTTATTTCTAAATATCTAGATCAATCTTGAAATGATGAATTTACAGCTCTTCTAGTTTTAGTAGGTTTCTAATTTTTATTCCTGTTAACCTTTGTACTTTTAAAAACCTACATGATCAGAGTTTGAAAAGTGTTCCAGAACAAAAGTATTGATTGCTTTACACTAGCCTTTTAACAACTATGCAGTTCAACGTCATAAACAAGTTTGTGTGCCCAATATAAACTCTATGAGAACAAATAAGCTGATATTCTTATTCTAAACCATAAAAATTGATTTAAAAGGCCACCTAAATATTTATGCACCAAACAAATCAGCGAATTTATGTGTAGGGATGGATACTGTCCTAAACCAAGGCACGTGGCTTTACTAGAGTGATTCTAAATGAACCTCTGACCTGCAGGTCTTATCTACTAAACGGTGGGCAATGTCAGGAGGTGAGGCCTCATGAGCATCGGTGACGTCAGTAGGTTCGTACGCTATTTGTTCCTTCAGAATCAAGGTTTTCCAACCCATAGAGGTGGATCCCCCCAAACGCTAACTCGGTTTACAAAAATGTTAAACTATATTTATACATGAATGAAGATAGAAGAGATATGCAGAACAACACGAATTTATTATATTTCAATATTTCTCATCAGCTGCATATATAGTTATACACATATATTCATAACATACTGACGATCTGAATTTTGCGAAACAAACCATATTTGGTCATGTTTACAGAGGAATTTCGTTCCATAACTCTCTTGACTAAACAATTCTCATATTGGCTACTTAACAGACCTCATTTTTATAGTTTTTAAAACATGCTACTAATGGACTATTAGGTAGTTTAAGTATAATTTACAAATTGTAGACTACAAATAAAGGAACTAAATGTTACTTATTACTGATAATTCAAAATAGATTACACCAGATGAAGTGAACGAATCAAAAAATCTATTCAACTTATTCCATGAAAGATTAAAAATGAGTAACTCCTACTACTCAACAATATCAGACCTACCCGTTTATAAAAATTTGAAAACTATCAACAATCTAAGCAATATGAATAATGATAAAATCTTAATGAATATTGATAGCTTAAGAATGATGAATTCAATAATACCAAAATTAAATGTACATCATAATCCATACATTAGAAATAATAATAATAATAACAATGATATCAATAAATGCAATCACATTATTGATGCAGCAATCACGACATTAATGAATAAAACTTCTACGCTTGGTGGTAGCTGTAGTAATTTTGTTGAACAAAGAAATTTATTGCTTACAAAAACCAGACTTAATGACAATAATAATAATAATAATGGACTAAGCAGATACAATTCAATGGACTCAATAAAACAATCATCTTTTTGTAAATCTAAAACAAATCAACAATGTTCAATCAATGAATTCAAACAAACTCACAATGTATCTTCGACATTGAAACAAGTAAATAAAATAATTTTAATAGTTTCGATGTACATATTTATTTAATGGATTGGAAATAATTACAACGTTTTTGTTTGAATTTCTTTTTAAAAAATGTGTACTTAAGATGAAACATTATTTTGCATAATATTGTGTGTACTTTATTAAGAAGTATTAAAAATAGAGTTAAAAGTGTATGCATCACGGGGTTGTGAAGATTGTTAAATTACACATTTCAGATCATGAATCGATCTATGTTAGACTACCATTAGAAACCTACTAGTCTTCACAACCCCGTAATCCAAATTACCTGTGCTCACTAGTGACTAACTAGCTCAGTGAGGAATCTTCTCCGAGTTCTAGTGGGAAGACGTGACCAATGAAGTTCAACCTGTTCGGGTGTAGACAGTAACTACCGAAGATAGTGTACGAGGTTGCGCAACTCCGTAAATTGATTGAAGTTAGACATTAACACCGTTAGATACCGGCTCAGTGGCCCAGAGGTTAGGCGTTGGCACACAAGACCGAAGGTCCTGGGTTCGAGCCCCGCGAGGTACAGGAGTCGTGAATGCGCACTGCCGACGAGTCCAAAACCCGGACGAAACGACCATCTAGTGCTTCCAGTTTGAAAGTGTATGCCAATCAATATAATTTTCGAAGAAACAGTTTCCCCTCATACAGTTAAAAATATCGAATGTGAAGATTCAAGTAGTATCACATGGATTTATTTTATCTTCTTAAATTCTCATCAGCTTCCTACAACCTTAATTTAATATTTTTGAATCAATTAGGTTAAAGTATGCTGACTTTGATTTGTAATTTTAATTTTAATATATTGTAGCCAGCTAATACGGAACCTGATTTTTCTCTATCCCAATAAAACTTTCTCCTATCTTGTATGATCTGAGCTTAGTGACATCATTAAATAATTAAAGAAGTCATATCTAAAAATTCAAGAAGTAGACAATATTAGTAGGAAATTTATTTAGAATAATCATTCCATGGAGTAAAAACATTGATTTATTGGAAAACCTATTGACCTAGTGGTATTCAGACTTTAACTGAACTCCTAAATTAGATAATTAAACTAGAAATATTTTAAATCCAAAACTTTAACTATTTGAATAAGATAGCAGGTCAATGAAGTGTTAACTCTGTTTCTGTTTAAAGTGTTCATTCCTAAGATAAAAGCCAACTAACTGGAAGATTTACACTTAAGGTATAGTAAATAAGCTTATTCCTTCAAAGCGCAGTGATTGTTAATTATGATGTCTGAATTCTATTTAAATCCACTTATATTTATACTAAAGATTATTTATTTAATTCAATCTGACCATAGATCATTTATAAGCTACAATACTACTTAACACGTATATGTCGAACTGAGATGAATGCTGATTTTTAAATTAAGAGATCCAATTTGTAACAAATCCGTATGTTCTGATATGTAATTGTGCCAATCTTTTTATGAATTGATATAGATACAAGTCCCTGAAAAGAATGGATAACTTCAATAACCATTTAATTTTAATAATTTCTAATCTCTGTTGAGAATGTAACAATTTGTATTTTACTAACTAGAATTATCTTACTTAATATTTTAGGCGGAAACTTTCGAAAATGAAATACAATCAGTTGAAGAAAAATTATCAAGACAAAATCAACTTTTAAAAAATTGGCCATCGATACTAGAACGATTAATTCGTCAAGCGTTAACTGATAGTGATTCTACTACTAATATGCTTTAATTAAAAATAAACATCTTGTTGTTAAGTGGATACAATATAATTGTCCTGTGAAACATCTCATTACATTAGAATTTTTGTACATAAAACGGAACTTACTTTTTGATATAAAAACAGGAATTTTTTAATAGTTTTGTAATAACTTGAGGATTTTAATATAAATCTTTTACAAAAATGGTGTTCCGTTCCTTGTTGCTGGATAGTAACATGTGTCTTTCTACTGTGATGTAAGCTGTCTTTACTAACCTTTGGTAGGTATGGTACTATCGTGCCTCCTCGAGCTATGTTTTGCGATGTAGGAATAAGTTGGAAGATAGCTAGGGGCAGCCAAGCAAAAAGATGGCAGATATCCATAAAGTCACTGACAGGTGGACTGAGTCATGTTTTTAAGTGTCAACGAGCTGGTTGAGGTCTGCGAGATGATAGTAAATGATGGTTAGAGACCCTGAATAATATGTCTCCAAACCGTTTGCAATGGCGCGCATCCACTCTTTGTGTTCTCTCAAATCCTAACCTTCTGAATTCCTCATCACTTTATCTTTTTCTGTTTAAGTTTCTTTCATCAGATTCTACTTCTTGAATAATATCTTCGAACCCTAATCTTTCAGATTACTGCTAACACTTTTACTACCTCTACTACGATGGGATTTGAATTGACAATTAAATCTCTGTATGGTAATGCGGTATGGCAAACTTAACTGATGTACGTACGTATGAAGTTCTACGTTGTAAATGACTGACTGATAGTACCATCGTTTTTAAATCAGGAAACCTGAGATTTCGCATCACTAAGTCCTTGGAAGTAATATAAATTTATCGCATGTGACATGTTGATCTATTGATGTACTATTCAGGTTCTACTTAATTCTTACTGACATTGCAGATGCACATGTATAGCATGTTGGTGAACTTTGCTCTTGAGACCTATTTTCGCTTAATATGTACCAGATAAAGTATTCTGGGACTTTTGAATTTTTATACACAAGATATTTTAATAAGTTTATGTTATAACAATCTGCCAGCAAATAAATAATTAGTAAACTATGAATTAAACTAAAAGTATACATAATTTGATCAGCACATTATACAACTAAGATACCAACTATATGTAAACTGAAATCACGCAATACTTATTTCACCACTTACTCCCATTAATTCAATGCTGACAGTTTACCACATCATCAATGATACTACTACTACTAACACCACTATAATCACAAAACCCTTCATAAAAAGGTCATGCGTGACCGGCCTCAAGCAGTTGTCCCTTGGACTCTGCGTTCACGCACCCAGGTCTCTAAGACCAACGCTAATATACCTTCCTTTTCAGGTTCCTCAAGAAACAACCTTCTACGGTGTGGGCAGCCGGGAAGTGACAACCACCCTCATACCCGTAACAGCACACGAGACCAAATTGGTCAAAATCAAATCCTTCCTACACCCCCTAATACCACCACTATAACTGCATTTCCTACGTAATTCAAACAAGAAATTTGTTTAAACCTATACATAAATATATATATTTATATTTTTATAATTTATATTCACATTCAATGATTATGTAAAAACTTAATAAGATCAGTATAATTATATACATACATAGATAGATATAATATATATTATAATAGTGATGAAATATACATACTACTATTGTTTCGTTTACATAAAAAAAACCAAATGAATAATACAATTCGATAATGACAATAATAATAATAATAATATTCTTTTTTTTCAAAAAAAATTATGAAATGCACGAAATTAAAAATAAAAAAGGAGGAGGAGGTGATTTGTTGTAGCCTCATAATTTTTTGTACATAAAAAGAGACAATGATTTTTCAGTGGAATTTTTTCTCAATAAAATCTGACAAGTTATACATATGTATATATTTATTTATATATAACATTCAACCGGTAGATAAAATAAAAAAGTAACAGAACAAAGCGAAAAAGGCAACTAACTCTGTGTATAATGATTGAAACAGTAGAAGAATACACACACACACACATAAATACATACATAGGTACACAGAGATATTTATAATATATAACAGAAATTAAAAGTAGTATCTTTCCCTATCTTTTTTGCCGTATAGATGATAAATGATAGAAAGAATTAATTTAAATATTTTCTACAAGAATAACTGCCACAATTGCACGGTAATTTATCGGATTCTTTGGGGAAACGATAATCATACGTCAATTCTTCACCAGGATAAATTCTATAAGTAGATAGATAGATAGATAGATAGATAGATAATACAACATGTAGAGAGGAAAATAAAATATTAACAAAATAGAAACAATATTACTATAAATGAATTATGAATTTTAAACAGAACTATACCAAATTGTACGTAAAAATGTATAGTATTTTAAAAAACGGAAACCTAGACTGATAGTCTGATAGTTGTGTTGGCATGAGACAGACTTCTTACATGAAATCTGTAGGATATTCTTTACAGGTCCATTGACTAGATGAGTTGACTTTTTAGACCTATATAGTAACAACAATAATCTTTGGTCTTCAAAACAGAAATAATAAATTTATCTATATTGACCTACTATCCCGAATAAAACACTTAATGAGGAGGATAGTGTAGTATTATAAGACCGAAAATATGCTGATGACATCCGTAGTCGGCAAAATAACCGGGTTTTGATCATTTACGTTGGGAAAAACATTTGAAAATATTAAACGAACTGAATACAAGAAAAAAGGATCTTCCCAACATATGTAACTATCGTTAATACTCGTACACGTTTATACGATCGAATTTCGCATTAGGTCCAGGGATACTATACAATTGTCAAAAGTGAAATGTACGAGGGAGGATTGTGACTGTGAATCAGTAAATTTATTGATTGAAAGCTGGACCCACTTTTTCTATCACTAATAATATTTTAAACCAGTGATAATACGTAATAGATGAAGTACCGGAAGTTAATCGCACAAATCTTCTTCGTGTACAAAACTTTATTCATCACAAACAAATCTGTCTGATTTCTTCCATAATTCACACGTCCTTTTACATTCTATGTGAATCATATACTCATTAAAAAAGGCGTTCATCAATATACAATGACTAGTTTCGTTATACATCTGACGCGTCCTGACGAGAATCTGTGATCAAGACCGCGACAATATAATTCCAACAACAAGTAAAACACTACTATACATAAATATGTTCATTGAGTAACTTAATCAATGGTATTGTACGCAACACAAGATCTGAAATCTTTAAATTCCATTCAATTCAACATGTTGAAAGACAAGTTAGTTAGTTGTGTAACAGACTGAGACAATTCAATTGCTTAACTAACACAAACTCTCTCTAGTTTTCACCAGAGAGAAAGATAACCTCTAGACGTCTAAAGTCTATTGTTAAGGAATCTTCATACCAAAATTAATAACACGGAAAAATAAAGCCTTCTAAATATGAATACATGCATGTATTGAGTGAATTGCTTACTTTCGTTGAGCTAATATAACAATATGCTTTTTATCATCGATCGACACAACTTTAGCATAACAATTAGGCTACGAGGGAAAAACAGAGAGAGAGAGAGAGAAAAAAAAAAGAAACATTGAGAAAAGGCACACAGTTTTTTTAAGCAACGAATACAACAATATCACCATTCGAATCAATAGTGTACGAGCACTATTTCGTTTGTATGGCAATCGCATCATAGCTAAGCATTAATTATCGCTTGCCTATGTGTATTGTAATGAATTATGATTATAATTATGATTATCATTGTTCAGAATTTGTTTTATGCAAACCATAAAAAGATAAAAAAAATCAATCACAACTTGAATATGAATTGTAAAATCTCATGATTCATATATGATGAAGGCATTTATTTCATGATGATCATTGTTGACTAGAAATAATGTCACAGGGAAATAATGTTTATCATTTATATAAAGTATTCTTCTGATAGAGAATTCTATAACGAATATTATCAAGTTGTGGTATAATTTCCTTTCAAGCAGCGGATGTAAACACAGGCCAATATATACAGTTCAGTTGTAAGTAACCAATACCTTTACTATTCTAATAATGCATTGATAATTCTTGTAACACTAAAGATTGGGAATCAACAAAACTATTCACTAACTATTTATTAGTCTTTTATTAGTCTTTTTATTAGTCTTTTTTTAAGTCACAGTTAGTCAGTTACAACGTAGAACTGCGTACACACGAACATCAGTTCATGTTGCCATACCACATTAGCACAGAAACGTAATTGTCAGTTCAAATCCAATAGTGGCAGAGATAGTAGAAGTACTAACTGGTAATGGAAAAGATTAAGGTTTGAAGATATCATTCAGTGAGATAAGTTTCAAACAGAAAGGTGGTGGTGAGGAATTCAGAAGATTAGAATTTCAGAGAACACAAAGAATGAATGCACCCGAGTCACTGCAAACCATTCCGGGCCATGACGTTCAAGGTCTCTAATCATTGGTGATTTTCGTCTGTCGGACCCCAGCCAGGTAGCCTAACATCTACCAACATGACTCAGTCCACTTTTCAGTGACTTCATGGATTTCTACCATGTTTTGGTTTGACCGCCCCTAGCTAGTTAGTTTCAAAAAAATTTTTTTCCAAAATTGGATTTAATTAATTACTATTATTTTAAATATTATTATTTTCTCAAATAATGTCTTCTACATACTCGGCACCTAATTTTCGTTAAACTATTCGTTCCAACCAAGACCTAGCTATATGCGCAAAAGAGAGATAAACAAAATTCTACAAGTATCATGAAGTAATCACTTAAAGTTTCCTGTTTTTCATTCATTCATATAGTACTATTCATTATTATAAAACTATGTACATACATCACATGCATGATTGATAAATCGTGCAGCATTTCCAGCGTAAGTAGCATCAATCACCCAATCTGGATCTATTCTGAACATGTAACAATCGACACCAGTTGCTCTATATTTTAATTCACGAGCATCACAAATACTACTTCGTATTAATTCACCAGTATATTCAATAACCATTTCATCTTCACGAAATTCTCGTAAAGCAAATAAACCACGACCATGTATACGTGATGGATGTACAGAGACATGATAAAATCGAGCCAATGGTCCAGATAATAATCGACTAAATTGTGTAGCAACCTTAAACAAAAGAAACAGAAAAAAATAAAAACGAAAAACAATTTCAGACAAATAAAGTCAAATGATGATTTCCATTACGTCAGAGATTTTATATATAAGCGATTAAGTACAACTGGGAAATAATTATAAATAGTAATAAATATTATCCATGGTTTATGCGTAAGAGAATGGGAATTAGATAAGTAAAATATATAATAAATGTTAATATAGACACAATCAAGTTTCACAAGATTGAAGTAAACGTAAAATATTCTTTGAATTATTTATTCATCAAGAAAATGTCGTACTGTAAACTCAAATTCAGTAAGTCAGTCAGTCAGTCAGTCGGTTAACAACGTAGAACTTCATACGTGTGTACATCAGTTCAAGTTACCACACCATATAAACACAGAGACGCAGTTGTCAATTCAAAGCCCATAATAGTAGAGGTAGTAAAAGTATGAGCAGTTATATCAGAGAGATTAGAGTTCGAAGATATTATTCGATAGGTAGAAGAATCCAGTGAAATTAACTTAAAAAGAAAGATAAAGGTGATGATGAATTCGGATGAAACTCAAATTAAATTGTGTTATTTAAAAAAAATTAATCAGAATTGTGAAAACTGAAGCTAATCATAGAGATTTTAGTGGTAGCTACTTGTTGTCTTTAAAAAGTTGGATTAAAAAAAAGTGAGGGCAAATGATGTTTGTAACTTGTTAAGAGCAGAGGTAGTGTTATCATTGAAATCATTTTTCACAATTCTGATTAATTTTATAAATAACATAGTTTAATTTGAGTTTACATGGTGCTATCTTTGCAAACACTTGGCTGAACTGACTAAATTTTGTACTGAACTGACTAAATTTTGTAAAGATTATGATATTTTTCCCATTGTCGACAGTCAGGACAGAAATTAATCAGTTTCTATTGGTATAAATAATCTCCGGATGACTGTTTTACATTTAGTTGTGATTATAAAGTTGTTAAACCTACATAAAATCTAAAGAAGTAAAAGCGTATCTTTGAAATGCAATAAATAGAGCTCAAGTTATCCAGTTTCCGTTATCACATATCCGTTTCATCTCGACATCATTCTCATCCATATTTCTACAATGACATCATATAGTGCTATTGGATTGGTTGTCATTGCTTCTATTTAGCCAATCATATTTGCACCAAGCTTATCGCACGTTACTATACAAAACAGAGTTGTTTCTTCGTAATTTTTGACTTCTATTCGAAATATAAAATTATCCTGAACGTCCCCTGTCTTCTTTATCTCAGATTAGTGTGTGAAATATTAATGTTGAAATGTAATTGTTTGTCAGAAGCCCATTTTACTTGGATTAACGTTCGTTGTTGTTTGCATTTTTTAGAAAAGTGGACCCTCAAAAAAAAATACCATAAAATTTTTTATCAAGATTTCACAAACTGTATCAATGCAAAAAATGATGTGTACCCAGAGAGTTAATAATTCTTTTCTTTTTATGACACCAACCAAATTACTTTTTTCTAAATAAAGTATAGTTTCAACTAATCTCTTTGAGAGCGCTGTGTTCTTGGAGCTTATTATTCTGAACTTCAAATATCCGCAATAATGTTTTTGGTCATTTGAGAATGAAAGTACTTTGCTAAATAATAAGCTTCCACAAGCAAACAATTATATCTTACACAACTAAAACATCTAGCTCAAAAAACACAATCCTTTCAAATATTCTTAACTTAAGCTACAAATGATTTCCCTATTATTTCAAGTGAAAAGAAAATATGATTAACCTTGATGTAAATTGAGAATTGTCCACCAGATAAACACAAACTAAGTTCTTATTGTTTAACTTTTAATTACAAGTTCGTGCATGGAATTAAAACAGGTAAAAACATGTTTATAATGTAAAAATAATTGACATTGAGGAAAAATACAATTTAGGAGCATTAACACAGTTGAATGAGTTAGTGTCAGTTATAACAAGTACCATATGCATTGTTCAATTCTTGCTGCTTGACTTGAAAGATTCGATCAGCACTAAAAACTAGACAAACATGAAATGGTCACTGCAGTCCTATAGGAGATCAGTCATAGTGTAATTACCGCAGTAGAATTCCAAATACTGGAACTCAAGAAGTACTCAGCCAATCAGTTATAACGCAGAGTTTCATACGTAACGTCTGAACGTGTGTCGAAGAGTGAATATCTAGTCTATACATCCACGTCCAGGTCGAAAGCAAGCCTGGTTTTCCCTAGTTTGCTCTTCACGAGCTATAGTTAGGCGTCCGAGAATTATTGAGGCCAATATTTTAGATACTATATTAGTTAGACTTATTCCTCTGTGATTGTCACAAGAGGACTTTCGTCCCTTCAGTGGAACAATCAGTCATTGAGACCAGTCAGATGGGATTACGCCCAGTTTCCAGATTCTACCTAAGATCTCGGTCAATCTAAATGTTAGAACTGGACCACCATCCTTAAAAATCTCAGGGGCAAGAAATGCATATTTCCTGAAGATTGTAGTGAGCCCTTGCTGACACAAAATTCAGATTCAGGGTTTCCTGAGGGCTACACCTCCAACTGTCCAACATATTTCTCAACCCTACGAAATATCAATACGAACAGTAGACTATCGAAACGGAATAGAAAAAGAAAAAAGAAAATTGTCAAATTTACAAACTTACTGTTCCTACATCATTCTCATCCTCATCGTCTTCTTCTCCTCCTTCTTCATCGTCATATTTCGAGGATACTGAGCAGTTGTCTTCATCATCAGAATAATTTATTCCAAACAACTGATCAGTAGGATTGGTTGACTCGTTACCATCTGCTGATTTTGGTGGTGTAGACTGTAATGGTATGCCAGTTGCACGTACAACCGCTTTGGCTATACATGATTTACGCAAACGTTGAGGAAGCTTAAGTTGTGTTGCAACTAAAAGAGCAGCTTGACGAGCAGCTTCTCTACAAGTGGCTTGTTCGTTAGGAGATAACAGTTTAGTTGGCTCATTTGTACTGCCTAAGCATGGATCATTATAAGGAAGTAGATTATCATCATTAGCGCTAACTAAAGGTCGTGGAGGAGGATTAGCTTTACAATGAAGAAACCCAAGAGGGTCATGGGCATGGTTACGTGGACGACGAGGTTTAGTCCATGGGACGGCACGAGCACAACCTTCAGAACAAGGTACAGGAGGAGTGAACTATAAAATGAAACAAAAAAATGAATAAAAGGAAATAATGTGTATTTATCTATCATAGTCAAATATTTTACAATTACTTACAAATTTGAATCAAACACAGAAAAAATGATTAACTATTCCCAATGAAATGAAGTAACACTTTATTCACAATCCAAAATAAATGGAATATTGAAATATAAAAAGAGAAAATGTATACCTTTTGACGTAATCGATCGATCTTTTGCCAATGATATCGAAATCTATAACGATAACAATGAAGCGCTCCACGCATTTGTTCAATTAGAAATATGGCATAACGATGATTTAAACCAAACTGTGTCCATCCATCAATGGCTTTTCAAAAAAAATAAAAAGAATAAAGTATGATTATTCGTACGAAATAACGGACATCACAATAACGAATTCATATAGACAGTTTTTTAAAGGAGAATTTATCTAACAGTACAGATTTATGTAGCTCAGCAATAAACTATGCTTTTGTATATATATATATATATATATATATATATATATATATATATATATATATGAAAATTTACTACATCAAGCTATATACGTCATAAGGCAAAATCTTAGTGCTCTCACATAGTGTATAATTGAAATTTCCTAACAGGAAATATACATATATACATATCTATTCAAAAATGGATCAACACGAAAAACAACGTACCTGTACAAATAAGCGGCTTTAGTCCTTGTTTTTCACGTAGTGCTGAAACACGCATAATGACTGCACGCCAAGCAGCCATCGGACTATTAGCTGAACGTACGATACCATCAATGGAAAAGGTAAGACGAAATGATCTAGCCTGTTGAATAGGGAGGGAAAAAATGTGATATAAAGAAAATAGAGATAATGTATGTATGTTTGTATATATATATATATATATATATATATATATATATCGATAATGAGACGTTATCAACGCCATCACTCTCATACAATGAAAGAATATTTTTATCATTACCTAAAATTAGACAGAATGTAATTTGAAACCATAAACAAAAATAAACTAGGACACAAAATGATTGAGAAAACTCAATGATCAAGTATTGAACACCTGTCTGTAATTATATATAGGCTATATCTAATTCAATCTAATGAAGACCGATTAACCGAATTGCTGAGTCTTCAATAAAATAGAAATCTGTTATTTGAAAATTGTAACAGTTTAAGTGAACGTTAAAAAATTTTCTAAAGTAAGCTCAAAATAAACTAGATTTTAGTAAACTGTAAAACCAAATAAACACTTGAACCTACGAAGTTCCATGTTGGTGTTGTTGTTGACTGACGAAACATTTCTGAATTAGGTTTACCAATAAATAAAGTGAACATAAGTAGCTCGTAGAAAGCATATTATTAAATTCTATTAAATTTAGTTATTTAATTACAAATAATGAGAAAAAAACTCACATGTTTCTCAACTTCATTCTGATAAAGACGAGCATGATTAGCTTGTTTAGCTTTCGATACTAAATGAGCCAATTCTTGTTGTCGAATACGATCTTCAATCCAACGTCGTTTTCCTGAAGGTTTAGTAGACGAAGGATCAGGTGTTGTAACACGAGCATTTTTACTTGCTTTAATTAACAATTCATTTTTATGCAACCGATTATTTGGTAATTGTGATTGACTACGTCCAGAAGCTGCTGTTCTAGATGAATATGATGAACTATCAGAGGAGGCAAGTGAAGAGGATGAACGAGTTTTATGCAAACGTTTACGAATAGAACCAGATCGATAGTCTGGATCATCATTATCATCACCAGTACCATCGAATTGAGGAAGTAGTTGATGTTCCGGTTTGGATGATAAATTCTAATCATCAATAGAAAATAATAATAATAATAAAGAATCAGTATTTGTAGAAAATTTAAAAAGTATCCTTAAGAATCAACAACTGAAAAAAATGCAAATTCCACAGCGCCTAATAACAGCAAGCAACAAGAACCGTTTAAAATTCAACTATGTTGAAAGTTTTTTATTGATCGATGATCCTGGCACAATTTCTTTTTTAGAAAATATTGCATTACACTGTCAGTGGACATGGTTGAAGAACACTTGTTTGTTTGTTTGTTTGTTCAATACTCAATGTTCAAAGTTTTTTTACTGTGATTTCTGATTACATTTTAATATTTAGCAGTCATTTGACGTAATGATAAAAAAAGCCTGTACCTGTAACAATATAAGGACTCATCACAGAGGCGGTAATGCAAAGACTAGAAGCGTCGATTTTACCAGTGATCAAGCCAAGAATGTGAAGTCGCTATGTAGACGACACATTCGACATTATCAAAAGGAACGAGCTGGAGAACATCTACAATCAGATCAACAACGTCTTTGATGACATTAAATTCACGATGGAAAAGGAATCAAACAACACTCTATCATTCCTGGATGTACTAATCGCCAGAACTAACACAGAAAAAAACTGGAAACTCAAGTATTTCGGAAGCCAACCCACACAGACGTCATTCTCAACTACGATAGCAACAACCCAAGAACCCACAAAACCAACTGCATACAAACTTTGTTCAAGAGAGCGAAGACAGTGCAACACATACGAAGCACTAAAAAACGAGGAAAGACACCTTGTGACTATCTTCCAAAAGAACGACTATCCACGCAACTTCATCAAAAAACATCAACCGAAATCATCAACAGAAGCGAAATCAAGTACAGGAACCAGCAAACGGATCATCCTATCATACATAAAAGACATATCGGAACATACAGCACGACTACTGAAACCATTTGGAATAGGTGTGGCACACAAACCAACAGAATCACTTCAATCAATCCTATGTAGACCGAACGACAAAATGACAAATGAAGAAAAACCAAATATCATCTACAAAATAAATTGCTCAAACTGTGGAAATCACAACATAGGACAAAGTGAACGGCCTCTCCAGCTTCGTTTACGTGAACACCAATAAGCTGTCAAACGCCACGACAACTCTTCCCTTATATCAATACATACCGACAATTATGGACAATTAGGACAATGTGGAAATACTGGATAGGGAGATGACAAAGAACACTAGGGAATTTTTAGAAGCCTGGCACTCAGGTCACTCAGCTATCAACAAACACATCGACATTAACCCAATTTATCAACCAATCAGGAAAATCATAGGTGACATAGGATCAAGAAACAAATCAAAAGGGGGATACAATCAAAACAAAGGTGCAAACAACCAAAGGTTTAAAGTCAACAGCAACCAATCAAGATCGAGGTTAGCAGAACAAACTACAGGTCAAACGTGGAGAAATTTGAATGCTTCACTTCTATCTGAAGTTTGTTCTGATGATGTTGTTCAGAAGAACAATGAAAGCTCCACAACCAAAACATCCATGTCAGAGAACCAAACACCACCACGATAACAAAGTAATTAATAATTAAAGTAAAATAAATAATTAACCAGACAAATATGCACTGAAAACAGCCTAAAACTGAATTGACTCTTGAAAAAAACAATAAACATAGCATACAATGTAATAATAATAATAATAATAACAATAATAATAATAATAAGCGGGGAGAAAACAATTAGCTTACTGGTGAAACTATGGTTCGTTTATTTTGACTAACACCACCACCACCGACATGACTAATACTGAAATACAAGTTTTAAAGAAGAAGAAAAAAAGAATGTAAACAATCACATAATGGTCAATCGATTTGATTAGTCAATAATTTTGTTGGATTCATGATTACAAAAAATAATAAGTATTAAAGAATAAATGCTCGCTTATTGATATGCTTGAATGCTATTATTACGAGTTCACCTTACTCGATTAAAACGGAACAAAGATTAATGATGCAGTGACATGATAGGCTATTCTAATCCCAGACCCTGCTAATTAGAGCAAGAAGTCTTGATAAGGCATAGAGAAAATGTATTCTTCTACAGGCAATCAGAAAATTTGAGTTTGCTAAGCACACAAATCAAGCTTATTTATACAATGATAGAAACGCCCTTGGTGAGAGGTACAAAATAGAGTACTAAAAAAATCTGTCAACCAATGACAATCAAGGATTTTCCGAGTGGGAAATGTAACCAGTAGGTCAGCGAAGTGTCTCTTGGCTCGAAAACATAAAAATTTAAACTTTCAGAAATAAGTTAAAAAATTAGGCCGTTTCCCAAGTGATTTCTGGGGATCTAACGTTCCCAACAAAAATATAATCATTCTATAACTGAAATAAAAGCTAACACCGAACCTCTGAACCACTGGGCCGGGATCTAACGGTGTTACTGTCTAAATCTGATTGATCAAGGGATTTTGCGCAACCTCACCCATTCGCTTACACCCGATAGGGTTGAACTCCTCCACTGGTCACGTCTTCTCACTAGAACTCCAAGAATTTCCTCACGAGGCTAGTCACTAGTAAACACATTTTACGATTTCTCAATTAGAGTTATGGAGATTAGTGTGTCATCAATCAATCATTGATTGATAATTTCAAAATGTGCAAAAATACTAATCTCCATATCTCTCTAATTATAAACATGTTAATAAGATTGCATGTAAATTAATTACATCACTACCAGCGATCGATTACTAATTTTAGTGTTGTATTGTAGTATAGGTGTGGTAACAAGTTTTATATAGATAGAAAACATTTTAAATTTACTACTTTTTTTTGTTGTAAACTTTCAACATGAATTATTTTAGCTAAGTTATTTCTGTCCAAACAATACAAAGTGTAAAGATTGTACTATTTATTGAAAATAAAATTGTGCATTGTTACAAATCAATAAAAAAATGTATGTATATGTATGTATATTACAACTCACTTTTCGAATAAACCATCTAATTGTGTTGCTAATTGTGTATCTTTTGTTGGTGTAGTTAATATGCTGCCTCTTTGATTAGAATGAACATTTTGTATACGTATAACAGTGGTTCCGATAGGTTTATTATGTGATAAAGTTGATGATTTATTCATAGTTGTATTAATTGTAATCGGATTGACAGGAGTACCAATAGGACATGTAACAACCATATTATCACCATTATATTGATGTTTAGGGATTAGTGCAGGAGATAAAGTTAAATTACTAGTATTGTTAATATGATTACTACTATTAACAGAGATAATATTTGACTGAAATTGATTAGGTAAAATAATTGTTTTTCCATTATATACATTCTTTGATTGAGATTTTTGTTGTTGCCGTTGTGTTTGTTGTTTATTGACAGAAATCATATTGATACGATTAGTTTTATTGAATTGTGCATTACCAGGAACTGTTATACATAAAAACAGGAAGGAGAGAACACGAAAAACAAGAATGCAAATCAGTCGGTTTTCAACAACACTAGATAGTAAATTGTAATAGATCTGTAACAAATGCTCGTAAGTACCACTAATAATAACAACAAGAGTAACCGAACACTTGGAGAGGCAGTACTTTATTTACTTGATAGCCCTGATAGCAAATATACAGGGCTTGTCTAAAGAAGACAGGAAACTTAAATCCTAGACTAGTAGGAATCTAAATGCAACCGCAACCGTCTACTGACTTGTTGGTTTTAACATTGACATTACTCCACTACTGCACATACTCTAAAGAAACTTTTTATATATCAGATCAAATCACTTGATTTATGTTACACTCCTCTCCTCACATAAGACTAACGTTTTTATGTTAAAAACTACAGATAATAAAGGGTAATGTATAAACATAAACTTTGCAACAAGTTTGTTTGTGAAAGTAACCAAGAAGAGACTCCCAATCTAAAATTCCAAATCAACCATCTGAAGGTAGATTAGATTAGCGTTTGTCATAACGATCTGAGAACGTGACCGCAGAACCCAAGGGACAACTGCTTGAGGCCGGTTACGCATAGCCTTTTTATGAAGGGTTTTTTGAGTATTAGCTCCGCTCTTAAAAGCCCTTAGTGGGCACCCTTACCCAAGGAGACGGAAATCCGTGAGGTAGGGTGAGGTGTGACATTTCTAGGGTCGACCTTTTCTAACTCTTCCTTCCTTGCGAGAAGGCAGCATCGGTGCAGATGCTGGTTGTCCGAGGGAAACAGCTCACTACCGTCACACTCCTCTGCAGTCAGCAGTACGACTTCGCCCTCAGACCTTGGGTAGCTGCTTTTAGTCTCGTCGTTCTCCAATGGACCTGTCTAGCATGGTAGAACCTTGAGGAACATATGTTCCAGCCAATATAGCTCGATTGGGTCATCACGATAGGCAAGCCCGACCACCATGTCAAGGTAGCAACTTCAGTCGGGAATCAACCATCTGATCTTTCTTTGACTACTAGTTAAACGAACAATTAGGTATTCAGGAGTCCAATGAGTTGGAAAGTATTATTATACAATAAATGGTTTTACAATAATCCACCCACTCATCCTCATGATTATAACAAAAATATGATAACTTCATATTCATGAGAAACGACATTCAACAACATAAACAAAAAAATTTTTACCTATAGCAGAATCAACTCCAATTTTGTAGTTTGATTCCGTAAGTGTATTACTATTTATACTATCGAATGTAGTAGGTGTCTGTGACGTAATATAAGCTGGGCTCATATGCTTTTGCGGTGTTGGTAACAGCTGCCGTTGTTTCAAATTCTGTTGTAAATTTGATGGAGGGCAAAGTGATACTATAATAAATAAATAAAATTACAATATCAAAAAGACGTAACAATCGAAGTGAAAAATACATACAAAAATTATGCAACAGACAATACGTCATTAAAAAAATAGCTTTCATATAACACAATTCATGAACAGTATCATACAAAACAAAGGAAAAGAAGACGGCAAAAGGATACACATGACGAGAAATGAAGACAGATAATAAGAAGAATGAACAAAAATTGGATAGAACTGGAAAGGGAGGCCCAGGACAGAGTAGGTTGGAGAATGCTAGTCAGCGGTCTATGCTTACACTGTCAATATTGTTGTACATTTTAAAAATATAATAACCATGATATAAGTAAGTCTAGAAAAAGAATAATAATCATAGAATTCATCAAAATAAATGGATTGAAACTAATTTGGATAATCCGATCCGAACTGGTGTTTTTATTTACTCGACTTATTTTTTAACTAAGTACAGATTAATATACTTACTAGGTTTTGAATCACACTTTAAATTTTCAAATTAATGTGATACTACTTAATAACAGAAAGACGAACAACCTAACCACTGAGTTATCAGTTCATCGACAGTAACAAGTTTACAGTATGTGTATTCTCCAATAATATAATTTGTTTCTTTTCAGAATATATTTCAATACCGTTAACACTTCTACTACTATAGAATTTGAATTGACAATTCAATCTCTCTGTGCTAATGTAGTATGACAACCTGAACTGTTGTACGTACGTACGTACGAAATTCTACGTTGTAGCTGATTGATTGAAGGTATTTTCTGTGTATACAAACAGAATACTTTTATTCACAGGTAACAGAATGTGGACTCATTGAAAATTATAATACATGGATTGATGATAATAATCACTAGCGGTTTATCAAACCACATGTTATATTGTTGAATAAGCATTCTATTCTCGCATCATATTTAAAAATTTGTATCATCAATCTGTGATAATAAATAACGGCTAAACTACTTAAGTCCCTAAGTAAGAAATAAGATTCAACCTTCCAAAATATATAGAACACATACAAATTAGATTGCAAGTGTTGTAATGGTACCTACACTTCCGTACATATAGGAATATGTTGAATGCAAATATCTCTATCAATGAGTGATGTGTACTTTAGTGATGAACCGAATCCATCTCCCAAAAAAAATACCAAAAGTAGTTATTAAACCTAAAAAAATAATATTATCATACATAATGACGTTGTGATGAAAATGAACAACCAACCATAACTGTTACATGAAACAAATCTTCTATCTTACCAGTGTTGAGTATTTTCAATGATGAATTTTGACCAGTTGCTAAATTAGACGATTGAATGATTTGTCCTTGATTTATCGAATTGTTCATTGTGTTCGATACAAACTGATAACCACTAACTGGTAAACTTGAATAGGATGTGATATTCACTAAATGACCACCAATAGGATGATGATGACCTATTGCATAAGGTTGTTCATAACCAGTTTGAGAAGAAATAACCGATGGATTATTAGTTAGAATAGCTGATAACATTTTGGAAGAATCTTGAACTGAAGATACAGTTTTGTTAATACTTTTAACATTATTGTTAATATTATTACGAGTAATGGAAAGAATAGAATTAGTACTAGACGGGAAGATACGAGGTAAAGATCTATTATTGTTTAATGAAGGAGCTAGCTGTCTGAAACGATGATCAATATTCACTAAACGAGGATTTTTATGAGCTGGAGTTAGATTAATCGAATTTCCAACAGGCAATTTGGACAATAGAAAAGATTTATTAGAGTTGGCAGTTGTATGAGAAGATGGATGCGAAGTAGGACATGCTTCCATGTAACCAGAAGTTGTATGTACCGTTTGACTTTGTTTTACTTGAAGAGTATACGGTATACGAGAATCCAACTTTGACCAACTCCAATAGATTCGCCTTGCGCTATAATAATAATGATCATAAAGAATATTGATAAACATCTAGTTTGATAATCTTAAAGTAACAATTTTAATATGAAGTATCGCATTCATTTTAACAAACAGACATATGAAAATTTCAGAATCGAACCCTGTAGTGACGACTAACAGAATCAATCCTACCAAAGACATAAACCAGTTGTACAGCGCAACTACATCCTCCTACGTATAGTTGAATAAGTTGACACTTATAAACTGAAGACGTTATTTTTTCTGGCTATAAAGAATTCTGTTGCTCATTAATAATCTTAATAGCAAATGCGAAATATGCATTTCTCTCTTCTTTTTTATTTTACCTATGATATTCTTAACATGTGCTACATTTTTCTTATTCAGGTGTCAGGCAAGGTTCCTTACTCTCACCCTTTCTCTTTCTCCTGGTCATCGACTGCATTATGAAGACGTTGACATCTGGAGGGAAGCACGGTATCAACTGGACAGCTAGGACGCAGCTGGACGATCTGGACTTCGCAGATAACCTGGCTCTTCTATCTCACACGCAACAACAAATGAAAGAGAAGACAGCCAGTGTAGCAGCAGCGGGTCTCAACATACATAAAGGAAAAAGCAAAATTCTCCGATACAACATAACATGCACCAACCAAATCACTCTTGATGGAGATGCTTTCGAGGACGTTAACAACTTTACATATCTGGGCAGCATCATCGACAACCAAGGTGGATCGGATGCGGATGTGAGGGCGCAGATTGGCAAAGCGAGGGCTGCATTTCTACAGTTGAAAAATATCTGGAACTCCAAACAACTTTCAAACAAAACCAAAATCAGAATTTTCAATACAAATGTCAAGACAGTTCTACTGTATGAAGCGGAAACATGGAGAACTAACAAAGCTATCATTCAGAAGATACAAGTGTTTATTAACAGCTGTCTACGCAAAATACTTCGTATTCGTTGGCCAGACACCATCAGCAACAACGAACTGTGGGAGAGAACAAGTCAGATTCCAGTGGAGGAGGAAATCAGGAAGAAGCGGTGGAAGTGGATAGGACATACACTACGAAAAGCACCCAACTGCGTCACGAGACAAGCCCTCACATGGAACCCTCAAGGTCGAAGGAAAAGAGGAAGGCCAAGGAACACACTACGCCGAGAAATAGAGAAAGATATGAGAAGAATGAACAAGCATTGGACAGAACTGGAGAGAGAAGCCCAGGACAGAGTTTGTTGGAGAAAACTGGTGGGCGGCCTATGCTCCATTGGGGGTAACAGGCGTAAGTAAGTAAGTAATGATATTCTTAACATGTGCTACGTTTTTCTTATTCATGTCTAGAAAAATGAATTATTTACGAAATAAGTCCACAAACATCATCTCTATGATACATGTTTACAAGAAAAAAAACACAATGTTCCATATGTATGTTTGAGACACTTCAACAAATATCTTAATTGTTAATAATGTGATGATTCTCACCCGGTCGAATATGAAAGTAAAGAGAATTCAACACGGTATATCAAGGTAGTATACTCTGTAAACGACATAATATTTTAATACTAACAATTAAACATCAGTGTGAAATTATAAGAAATATAACGAGAATCTTTAGTAACTTACCGATAGTTTATAGGGCACAAGAAATTACTTTGTGTGACTGTATTACGTTCTTCCAAAGAGCCTGGAATCCATCTAGCCATGGCCAAAGAGTCTGAAGCTTCACGAACCTCTCCCAATCTATCAACACGTAAAGATCCTACAGTGATGACAAGATTGTTTGCAGAAATTCCATTATTACGAAGAAAGGAAAGTGAATTTGGTGAGACTGAAAGTGTAGATACAGCTTCTTTTGCAGCTCTTATTAATTCAGAATGTTCATTATCACTCATAAGTAGATTATTTGAAATAAGATTTCCACTTATTGACTGAGGATACACTGATGCTGCGAAACAATCGGATGGGACAAATACACGACGACAAACAAGTAAATCTCCTAGACCAATTGGCTGAAGAAAAAAAACATAATATGAGAAATTTTGAAGGTAACTTGAAAACTGAACAGCTAAAAACATAATAAAGGTAAAAACAAATATATGTACATGATATATATATATATATATATATATATATATATATATATATATATATATTCTTACTTCTAAATCATCAGCAATAGCTTCTTCCATTGCTGCAAATGAAGGATTATCTATAAAATCAGCTGGATTACATGAATCAATTGAAAACTCTTCATCAGACGAATGATCCCATGATTCAGGATATCCGAATTTTCTGTCATGATTTCCTTTAGATGACTTTTTTAGTGAATGTAAAGCTTCTGCTAGGCGCTGATTCATAACTGTATGATGACAGACTGGAGAACAAAACCAAGAACGATCAGCAGTAAAAACACAACGTGGCAATGGAGGACAACGTCTGAGAGCACAAGAAAAATGTACAGCACCAAAGCAGTCTAAATCACAATTATTGGATGACACTAACATTGCTAGAGGACAAATCTCCGTTTTCGGATTAGAACAATAGAGTGTTGCACCATATTTACCACAATCGGTACATTTGCTGGTACGACCTCGGCGAATAGCATCTGACAAACCAATTAGCTCGCCGGAATCCTCTTCATAAACATCATTACACCATAAGGCACAATTTATATGTACCTACGTATTACAAATAATAAAAAAAAGAGACGATACATTTATAGAATACGATCATATTAACTGTTTTATACATAGACTGATAAGTGGTCCGTACTTTCAAAACAATCGCTACCTGATGAATGACAGCGGGGTTCAATCTGGTTATCAACTAATAGATATTTGAATATTATGAATAACTGTGCACTATTTTCTCTTAATCATCTGGATTGTTTGTGTTGATATAATCTTAAGAAAGATCATTTATTTAGTTCGTAATCTGCGTGTCTGAGTTATTCCCTTTGTAATATCGAATTATGGGAGTATATTTATCTCAATGATAGTAACTTGTCACTGCAATAGTTGTTTATCGTGAATCACTGAAAAGAATCGGCACATCAAGGTTGCTGTGTTCTACATGTTAGTGATGAACTGGCAATAATTAGCATAGAGAACTATAAATTAAGACATGACAGAGTTCTGAAAAACAATCAAATTCGATAGTATTAACAGTGAGTGAAAGCTTCCAATTAACATTAAAAATGATCTCATATCAGTTTTTAGGCAATAACAAGATACGATTTTATCAATACATGTTAATCGATACTAACAACAACAAGTCTTCTGATTACTGTAAGCAACAATGCAAGCATGTTCGGGATGCGGTTTTCTCCCTCGAAATGCAAAATGTTGCTTCAAGACTGGGTTGTATTGGCACCGGAACTAGTGAAAGGGAGTGAAGTAGTTGAGTGTGTTGACCGCTTCACTTATTTCGGGAGTCTCATCAGTGCTGATGTCCTGGTGTGTGACGAGATCTCTGCACGGATATATAAGGCTCAATTAGCTTTTGCCAACCTGCGTCAGTCAGTCAGTCAGATGCAACGTAGAACTTCGTACGTAAGTACATCAGTTCATGTCGCCATACCACATCAACACAGAGATATAATTGTCAATTCAAATCCAATAGTAGAAGAGGTAGTAAAGGTATTAGAAGTAATCGGAGAGGTTAGGATTAGAAGATATTATTCATGAAGTATGATTAAATGAGATAAGTTTAGAAAGTAAAAACTAGAGGTGTTGAAGAATCCAGAAGATTAGGATTTGAGAGAACACAAAGAATAAATGCACCGGCGCCATTGCGAACGATTTTGAGCCATGTCATTCAAGGTCTCTAACCATCGATTATTATCATCTCGCGGACCCCAACCAGGTAGTCGACAATTACCGACATGGCTAAGTCCACTAGTCAATGACTTCATGGATTTCTGCCATGTTTTGGTCTGGCCGCCCCTAGCTTTCTTCCAACCTATTCCTACACTACAAAACAAAGCTCGACGAGGGAGTCGCTGGTTAGGCATACGCAACACGTGTCCCAACCACCTCAACTGATGAAGTTTCACCACTTCATCGATTGGTCTGCCATTCTTACCTAGCACCCGATTCCTAATAACAGCGTTGCTCACTCGGTTGTCCCACGATATACGAGCAATGCTTCGAAGACATCTATGATCGAAAACCAATAACCGACGAGTATCTTCTACTCTCATTGGCCATGTTTCACAGCCATAAAGTAAGACGGAGCGAACCACTGCGCAGTACACTCGTCCTTTAGTCAGCAAACGGTTATCTCGCCTAAGCCATAAGTGACGCAGGTTGGCAAAAGCCAATCGAGCCTTCTGTATCCGTGCCGAGAATTCGTCAGTCACCAGGCCATCGGCACTGATGAGACTCCCAAGATAAGTGAAGCGGTCTACACGTTCGACTACTTCACTCCCTATCACTAGTTCGAGTGCCGTTGCAACCCAATCTTGAAGCAACATTTTGCATTTCGAGGGGGAAAACCGCATCCCGAACATGCTTGCATTGTTGCTTAGGGTAGTCAGAAGACTCTGCATTTTGTCAGCGTCTTCACCAAGTAGGACTATGTCATCGGCATATTCTAAGTCAATAAGCGAGCCACCTGGTAAAAGGTCTACTCCAGAAAATTCAGACGAGGATAAGGTTATTTCTAGGAGCATGTCTATGATAAAATTAAAAAAGAATGGAGAGAGTGGACATCCCTGACGGACACCACTTGATGTAGAGAATTCCGGTGACAGTTCGCCATAAGCTCTCACTCGACCAGTGGTGTTTGAGTAGAGAGCTTGTATGAGGTTAATGTACTTATTTGGTACACCTTTCAATGACAGACACTGCCACAGAACCTCACGATCCACAGAGTCAAATGCCGCCTTAAGGTCCAGGAAAACAACTATTGTAGGACGCCTAAATGTGTGTCTGTGCTCCAAGACCTGTCGTAGTGTGAAAATGTGGTCTATACAGCCACGTCCAGGTCGAAAACCAGACTGGTTTTCTCTATTCTGCTCTTCACGAGCTTTCGTTAAGCGTCGAAGTATTATTGAGGCCAATATTTTAGATACTATATTAGTTAGACTTATTCCCCTGTGATTGTCACAAAAAGACTTCTGTCCTTTCTTATAGATTGGGACAATCAGTGATTGAGACCACTCAGATGAGATTACGTCCAGTTCCCAGATTCTACCTAAGATCTCAGTCAACCTAGCTGATAAAACTGGACCACCATCCTTAAATATCTCAGGGGTCAGTCTATCAGGACCTGCAGCTCGTCCTCGCTTCAGATTTCCTAAAGCTTTTTCAACTTCATTAAGACTAGGGGGACTTACGTCGATTTGCCATTCAGGATGACTGGAGATCGTGGGTAACCGAAGAGTGGCTCGAGGCCAGTTGAACTGATCCCTAAAGTGTTCTGCCCATCGATCCAGTCTCCTGGATTGAGAATAAATAATAGTCCCGTCATTTTCTGAGATAGTCTCGCTTACACTAGGATTCCTAATACCAGTTTCCTTGATAAGTCGGAAAAGTTGTCTACTGTTGCCTATCGCCGCTGCCTTTTCCATCGCTTTTGCTTTCGCCACCCACCACTGTTCGCGATCGTTACGTAGGCTTTTTATAAGTCTGCGCCTAAGTTGACTTCGTTCTTCATCATGTTCAGAGCCAGGTGGGATGAGTTTTCGGGCATCCATCAGATCGGTGGATGCTACTGAGATCCACGGTTTCATTCTAGCCTTATGGTCAACCTTACTAGCAGATATCACTGCTGTTTCCACAGCCTTTTTGATATCATTCCATCCTGCTTCCGGATGGGAATCGCTTAATTGGTCGCCTAACTGTCTTTCTAGTTGTTCCTGAAATATATTTTTCGCCTTATTATCATTAAGTAAAAGTTAGTGTTTGCTAAGAATAGGCGGTTGTCTGAACATATTTGCAACAGACGGTCACCATTGTCTGTTCTCTGAGCCGCGACACCATAACATCCACCTAGGTGTCTCTCCTGCTCACTTAGTCTACCTACTTGAGCATTAAAGTCACCAGCCATTATTACTATATCAGAGCGCCTAGCTTTTTGGAGGAGGTCCGAAAGCTTTCTGTAAAACTCATCCTTAACCTCGTCTGAACTGCATTCAGTGGGGGCATAGGCAGATACGACGAAGAGGCAACGGCGATTGTCCCTATCTTTCCGAGTCCTTACTGTCCCGTTTAGTCGAACAGCGCACAATCGACTATCTATTGGGATCCAGTCAAGGAGAGATTGTTCTGCCCTACGACTCAATGCTATGCCTACGCCAGCAAGACCCCGGGAAGCAGCATCACGGCTACCGGATACACGAAGAGTAAATCGAGCTGCTTCTTTATTTTGACATGGTGTGGTCAAGTGTATGACGTGACTCGGATCCTGTATGCGCGTTTCCGAGACGCAGCATACATCGATGGCACGAGATTCTAAAGTCCTAGCTAAGGAAGCCTGTTGCCCTATTTGAAACAATGTCCGTACATTAAATGTTCCAACATGTAGTCTAGAGCGAGGTTTAAGGAGACCAGGAACGACGTTTCGCGAACTCGTATCGTCTGCATTAGCTGTACACTGTGATGAATGAATGTGAGAAGAGTTAGTCGTGGAGATAAGAGAGGTACTAGGGGGTGTAGGAAGGATTTGATTTTGACCAATTCGGTCTCTGGTGCTGTTATGGGTATGAGGGCGGTTGTCACTTCCCGGCTGCCCACACCGTGGAAGGTTGTTTCTTGAGGAACCTGAAAAGGAAGATAGATTAGCGTTGGTGCGTGACCGCAGAGCCCAAGGGACAACTGCTTGAGGCCAGTCACGCACGGCCTTTTTATCAAATGTTTTTTGAGGATTAGCTCCGTGAGTTAGATTAGATCCGTGAGTTAGGGGAGGTGTGACATTTTTAGGGCCGACATTTTCTAACCCTTCCTTCCTTGTGAGAAGGCAGCATCGCTGCAGATGCTGGTTGTCCGAGGGAAACACCTTACTGCTGTCACACCCCTCTGCAGTCAGCAGTACGACTTCGCCCTCAGACCTTGGGTAGCTGCTTTTAGTCTCATCGTTCTCCAACCGACCTGCCTGGCATGGTAGAACCTTGAGGAACATATGTTCCAGCCAGTATAGCTCGGTTGGGGCATCACGATAGGCAAGCCCGACCACCACGTCAAGGTAGCAGCTACGGTCGGGGCCAACCTGCGTCACTTATGGCGTAGGCGAGATATCCGTTTGCTGACTAAAGGACGAGTGTACTGTGCAGTAGTTCGCTACGTCCTAATTTATGGCTGTGAAACATGGCTACCCAGAGTAGATATTCATAGGTTACTTGTTTTCCATCATAGGTGTCTCCAAAGCCATGTTCGTGTATCCTGGGACACCCGAGTTAGCAACGCTGTTATTAGGAAACGGGTACAAGGTAAGAGTAGCAGATCAATAGATGAAGTGGTGTAACTTCATCAGTTGAGGTGGTTGGGACATGTCTTGCGTATGCCTAACCACCGACTGCCGCGACGAACTTTGTTTTGTTGTGTAGGAGTAGGTTGGAAGAAGGCTAGGGGCGGCCGAACCAAAACATGGCACAAATCCATGAAGTCATTGACAAGCCGACTGAGCCATGTCGGTAATTGTCGACTACCTGGTTGGGGTCCGCGAGATGATAATAACCGATGGTTAGAGACCTTGAATGACATGGCTCAAAATCGTTAGCAATGTCGCCGGTGCATTTATTCTTTGCGTTCTCTCAAATCCTAATCTTCTGGATTCTTCAACACCTCTAGTTTTTTTACTTTCTAAACATATCTCATTAAATCATACTTCATGAATAATATCTTCTAATTCTAACCTCTCCGATTACTTCTAATACCTTTATTACCTCTACTACTACTATTGGATTTGAATTGACAATTAAATCTCTGTGCTAATGTGGTATGGCAACATGAACTGATGTACTTACGTACGAAGTTCTACGTTGCATCTGACTGACTGAACAACAACAACAACAACAAATAACAAAATAACTTACCCAAGTATCTGATCCTGTGTATAACAAACGTCCTTCAATATTATCATCTCCATGATAACCGCATAATAAACAACGTCTTGGATCTTCATCTGACAAATCATCAATTAAATGTTTACGTAAAGCATCAGCGGTAACTTTTTTATTCAACTCTTCTTCTTCATCAAGATCAACTAAACGAAATGATGGAATATGACCAGATAAAACAATTGGTTTTCTTATCTCTTCTTCATTCCAAAATTTATCCAAAGCAAAATAATAACGTTCACAATTTAAAGTTAACAAATCTGTGGTGGATTTATTTTCACCACTATCATCTTTGATAAGTGATAATGATTTTACAGGAATATTAGAATCTTGTTGATTTAATTCTTCTTTATTTATTATTACTGTATTTGTTTTATCGAATTCATGATCATTTTTATTCATTTCATTAGGATTAAATGATTCTAGATTGTTATCTATAATAGCGGTGTCAATTGTTGAATTTAACTGAACTAATTCAGAATTACTATCACTATTCGGCATATCAGTTACATTGTCTGAAGAAGAATTACACACAGATGTAATCGGTTTACATTCATTATTAGTTGGATTACTACTTTCTATACGTTTGGATGATGATGTGATTGATAATTCATGTAGACGTTTTCTGTACAATTTGATTAAATGATTTTGAAATTTCTTTACAACCACTAAAAACAAAATGATAGACAAAAGAAGATAAACGAAACTGACGCTGCATTAATTTCAAAATTTCTAGTATACAACATAACGGAAATACAAATACAAGAAAACTAATCATTAATCAATAAACATTTGTGAAAACTGTTAATTAGCTATTGTTACAACTTTTAATTATTTTGTTCTTAGTAAATATCAAACGCACAATTCTCCTCACCTTATCCACCTTTCACTCCCGACCGTACCTTCTACCTTAACGTGGTGGTCAGGCTTGCCTATCGTGATCACCCAATCGAGCTATATTGGCTGCAAAATATGTTCCTGAAGGTTCTACCATGCCAGGCAGGTCGATTGGAGAAGGATGAAACTAAAAGCAGCTACTCAAAGTCTGATGGCGAAGTCGTACTGCCGACTGCAGAGTTGTGTGACGGCAGCGACGCTGCCTTCTTACAAGGAAGGAAGGGTTAGAAAAGGTCGGCCCTAAAAATGTCATACATCACCCTACTTCACGGATTTCCGTCTCTGGCGGTAAGGGCTGCTGTTAAGGGCTTTTAAGAGCGGAGCTAATACTAAAAATACCTTTCATCAAAAGGCCGTGCGTGATCTGCCTCAAACAGTTGTCCCTTGGACTCTGCGGTCACGCTCACAGGTCTCCAAGACCAACACTAATCTATCTTCCTTTTCAGGTCCCTCAAGAAACAACCTTTCACGGTGTGGGCAGCAGGGAAGTGAAAACCGCCCTCATACCCGTAACAGCACGCGAGACTAAATTGGTCACAAACAAACAAACCTAACCACTGCCTGACTACACGAGTACACTAGGAAAAAATTAGGGATGGTCAAACTAAAACATAGCATCCACCTAAGGAAGTCACTGAATCGAATTAGTTAGAAAGTGCATCATTTCAATCGCAAGCTCTTACAAGTATAGCTTCTCACTGTCTCTTCAACCATATTGCTAGATTTAAGTTAAGAAGTAAAATTCAGTGAGATAACTGTAGGAAGAGAAAGATAGAAGTAATGAGGAATTCCGAAGATTAGAATTTCAGAGAATACAGAGAATGGATGCACCTGTCCATTGCAAACGATTTTGAGCCATGTTGCTCAATATCTCTAACCAGCGGTTACTATAGTCTCCTGGATCCCAACCAGATAAGTCTACACCTACCAATATAGCTTAGTCCGCTGTGCAATCTTCTTACCTTACAACACCAAACTTTTAAAATTCCAATTAAAAATACACATAGCCTGATGATAAATTCGTTCGTTCATCTTGTACCAAAACGATCAATTTTGTAAAGTGATGTTGACTTTGCAGCATTGACTTTCAGGTTATTTATTGATTTATTGATTATTAATACTATATACTATCAGTTGGTTAGTCAACTGGGATTGAGAGTTCAATTCCATGCATAATTAATCAACTTGCAAAACTGAAATAATCGAATATTCCACTAACCAATTGTGCGAATATAAAACCAAATCTTTTGATTAATTTACGATAAGCACAACAACAATGAAAAACAAAACAGAAAACTAACTTTCTTCTTCAATTGAAGACCAATGTTCAATCCATTGATCATCACGAGCACTTTGTTTCATTTGTTCAAGCATTTCCACTTCATGTGGACGTTGACAACGAGACCGTTTACATACAGACAAGAATTGTTTAGTAAATTCTAAAGGATCCATATCTGATGATTCATACAATTGATATTTTGGATGATATTCTTTTAAATGTTCACGAATGTGTAAATAACATGTTGAAATAGAATTTACACTATTCACAATTTGACCAGATGTAAGATTTCGAATACGTGAACAATTTTCATTTAAACGAGCTATAACAGGACAAATTAATTCATGAATTTCAATTAATGAACGTTCATGAAAATGTTTAACAACATCACTGAAGTTGCCATTGGATTGACGTAGAATATCACGAACTAAAAAATAAATTCATAAATAATCGATTCTGATTAGTTTGTTTAAATGATTCTTTTTGATAATATCATTAGTAGAAAAAATAATAACCAATTCAGTAAATAAAGACATTTTGATGCCCTGAAATATAACTTCGGCTATTATTTGTTAGGGAATAAATGAATTTGTCTTCAAATAAAGATTACCTTAGAAGTTTTATCATATCAAAACATAACTTACCTACTAATTACAAGTTCACTTACTCTGTGACTAGAGCCCCACTATATTCATGAGGGCTACCGAAACTAACCGGCAGCTCTAACCGGTGTTAAGAGGTTCGAATTTCAGATCGACTGATGAAGATCCGAGCGCTTTCAACACTAAACTATACATCAATAGCAACTTCCTTAGCTATATAGAGACATAAAACTCGCCTAGGCAAAAAGCCATATTATGTCAGACACTTCAAGGACATCTGTTAATGGGATTATTTTACTAGTAATACTAACCACAAAAATTTAGAATTAAATATACGCTAGTTTTAATCAAACTAAAGTTTTCTATAGCAGTCTTAGTAAACTAATTAGTGTATCTTCTCAAAATGAACTGAATTCATCATGATTATAATTTTACACATTGAAATCATCAATCAACCAATCAATGTTAGACCACAACTAAAAACTTGAAAGAACTGGACGACCGTTTCGTCCTGGCGTGGGACTCATCAACAGCGACTATCTACGACTCCTAAACCTCGCAGTATTCGAACCCAGGGTCTTTGGTCTTGTGCGTGAACACCTAACCTTTGGACCACTTGGCCGGCATCTAACGGTGTCGGTGTACTCTGGTTCAGAGGTTAGGCGCTAACGCGCAAGACCAAAGGTCCTGGGTTCAGATCCTGTGATGTGGAGTCGTGGATGGGCACTGCTGATGAGTCCCACGCTAGGACGAAACGGCCGTCCAATGCTTCCAGGTTTCTAATTGTAGTCTAACAACGACTGATTGGTTGATGATTTCAATGTATAAAAACACTAATCTCCACAACTCCAATTGAAAAAAAAGATTACATTTTTACATTTTTCAATTCCCTATTGTATCATGTTACAATTCAATTTTTTTCTATTCCATTCCGCTAAAATAATGTTATTTGGATTTGTGTGGTGGACTTCTTAGTGTCTAATAGTATCAGGAGATTTCCAGTGCCAGGCGGAATCAAATCCATAAAACCTTCACAGAAAATACACTATAGATTATTAAAACACAAACTAACCAGCCAACCGAAACACAACTGGATTGATAGTTCCAAACAATTTTCACAGTGAACTAACACTACTAATAGATTTTATAAGTAGAAAAATCTATTTAAATTATTGGTAATAAACACGGTTTAATAAGTGAATACAATTTAAAAAGTTCTATAAATATGAAAAACGATCCACACTAAAATAGTGTTAAATTGAATTAAACCTAACAATTGATAACATCATGTGGATACATTTTTTCAACTTGAAAAAGAAACAATTTCTAGTGAATTGTACAAATTAAATTAGACCACTTCAGACATTATCTTTAAAAATAGTGCTCATCAAAAAAAAGAAGATAGCTAATAACTTACCATCACTAGCCATTTCATTTATATTAAGCCATGGAAAAAGAATATCTGTCATAGAAGATAGCCAACGAAGAAGTCTTCTTAATCCGACAGCTGCTGGTGAACTGACTGGATGAGCAGACAGACGTTGAAGAATTCTCGTAAGTAAACGATAAATTAATGAGCGCTGTTCAATAAATCATAAAACAATACCGTAAACTAGGTATAATAAAACAAAGTATGCAAAAAATGAACATGGTAATTACTAGTGCATTAAAAAAAACATGCTAATCAAACCAACATTGCATTCAGGTCACTGATTTCATGTTCAATGCATCATCATTAAACATAAAAACACATTAAATGATCAATTGCCCCATTAAATTAGAGTATACTTTGTTAGATCCTATTTTACTGACAATCGGTTTTGTTCACATATTGAAAACTTGTGATCATTTCTAAAGCTAAAACTCTACACAAGTTAACATCGAAATCGTAGATTTGAATGAAATATTTGAATAAAATCACTTTTTATAAAGCATAGATTTTTTATTCAATATGAAACTTGTTGACTAACCATAAGAACAAGGTATCATAACAGATTTATTGAAAATTTACAGTACTAGTAGAAATTAGAATACAACGAATCATATTATTAAACATATATTAGAAGATAGATTGCTAACCTCATCTAACAAAAAGACTTCTATTCTTATAAAAGTAGAACAGATTAAAAGCTTTTTTTTTTATATTAAGGTCCTTAAATAATCAACTCCTGAAATCTGGATACTTTCAATGTACATGGGGGTTTCATACAACAATGTTGTATTTGGAACAACACATATAAGCGAACAATATTGTTTTCGATTAGATCGTCGTCATCAGGCTTTACTCTCTAATATACATGAATATTTATATGAAAATGTTAAACCAATCAAGGCAATTTGAGTCATAATCACAATGAAATGAGAAAGATTACGTCACTACATATAATAGTTATATTTGCAAGTAATAATATTGCAATATTCATCAACATATTATGGATATTAAAGTGTAAAATAAATTGAGCATTAAAAGGATTTGAAATCATGAATCGATCAATGTTAAAGCACCATTAGAAACCTAGAAGAACTAGACGACCGTTTCGTCCTGGTATGGGACTGATCAATGGCAGTGCGCATCCACGACTCCTACACCTCACAGGATTCGAACCAATGGACCTTCAGTCTTGCGCGTGAATGTCTAACCTCTGGGACCAATGAACAGGTATCTAACGGTGTTAATGTCTAAGGATTATTTAAGAAAGTAGGAAAAACTGACTAATACAACAACACATACCGGACTTGTCCAAAGTTGTTCTGATTCATTATCAACCAACCAATGTGCATTGATCGGTGGTGGATTTGAACAAATTTGATGATAATACCGTGAATTGGATGAATTCGATGAATTATACCGTTTACGGCTAGTTTGATGCAAATTAGCATCATTCATTGATGATTCTTGAATTAGACTAGATTCAGTTCTATGTAATGATGTTAGTGATGGTGATGTATTCACAGTAAGTGGTAATTGTTGACTTGGTATAATAGATAGAGTTTCATTTGGCGGAATAGAATGTTCACATGTATTTCTAATGGCATCCATTATTATATTGGATGTTTTATAAGGAGTATCAATTGGTAAACATAATTGTGGTGTTGTTGTTGTTGTTGTTGTGGATGATGATGATGTTAAATAAGATAATAAGTTATGATTATCATCAATTGGATCTGAAGAAACATCAGTTGTATTATTATTATTATTATTAAACGTGTCATTATTGTAAACAGTTTCACATGATAAATTATCAGAATGATGATGATGATGTTGCTGATGATGATGATCAACTGATTCGTTTATTAAATTATCTGATGCTGCTACAATAGGCATAGAATTAACTGTAATCGAATCGAATTTTGCATGTTCTACAACAGTTGGTTCCCATAAAGAAGCAGCAGCTTCAACGGCAGCAGTTAATTCATCGCCAGAATCGGAATCACATACTCCATCATACTGTTGTAAAAAAATAAATAGATTGTTTTTTTTATTTGAAAAAAAAGTTCAATTTACAAATGTTACATTTAACTTATCTATAGACTAATTGTATAGACTAATTGTTTTTTTACATAACCGAAAACGCATAACACAAAATTTATTTTTGAAAACAATCACATGGTGATATTGTTTTTGAATGATGAATTCAACTCTACCAGTATAAGCAAATAAATTGCCGAATCTTCAAAAGGTATGATGTAGGTAGAATATAATAACAACGAGTCAATTTTATTCTGTTAGATTTTACATATCAGCATCTTATGTGTGTGCAAACTGTTCTTTTTTTAAAAAAATTGGCAAGACTAGAATTTATGAATGAACCAATCAAATCAAAGAGAGTAAGTCTTGGATTTACACTAATTAACATCACTCTGAATTCATTACATCCTATTTATTACTAATCAAGTTTGTAAATAATGCAAGACACCTGTTGTATCGTGGGAGAAAAAAATAAAAACACTTTAATGAAGAGAATTTTCTTTTTGAAGCTGAATTGTCTTTACTCTTGTTTAATCAAATTTAACTAATACATTTCCCTATGAAGATAAAGATATTTATTGTTAGACTGATACGTTGACTTAACTAACTACTAGACTTTGTGTATATATTTATTCAATAGATGTCAGTCAGTTGATATTATACTAACTGACTGACTGTATTAGCACAGAGAGATCTATCGAACTGTCAAATCAAACTCCATAGTAGTAAAGGTTGTGGCAGTGTATTAGCAGTAATTGAAAATAATTAGGGACCCAAGATATAAATTTGAGAATTTAAGAAGAGAAAAAAGGATATACGGAATTTAGAAGATTAGAATTTGAGAGAAGACAAAGAATGGATGCATCTGCGCCATTGCAGACAAGTTTCAATCATATCATTCAAAATCTCTAACCATGGGTTACGATTGTCTCAGTTGATGTAAACTATACACTTGTCAGCATAGATGGATAATGGCTAACACAGTGAAATCCGGCAAGCACGTTTCGTCCCATTCGAAACGCGTCAACTGGATGTACCTACATCTCAGAATTGATTTTCACTCCGTGACTCGTACACTTATTGTTAGAAAGTAAAAATAATCCTGTTAAATGATATCTTTCTTTCCAACTATTAAGCGCTTAAATAAACCTGTTTTTTTAGTTCATTATATTAAACAAAGAAAAGTAACCATACTTTTAAAAACAACAATAATAATAACAATAATACGAGTATTATTATTAGAACTAAGCTCAATTTACCTGAGGTAGATATTGTTTACCTGTTGTTGTATCATCTTTATAATTACCATTATTACTCCAATAACTAGGTGATTTTCCACTGGAACTAGCCATTGTATTCGTTGGACTATGAAAAAAAATTGAAGATGGTGAATTCATTGATGAATTACTGCCACCACCACCACCACCACCACCAACACTATGATGATCGATACGATTCGATTTACGACAAGTTTGCACTAAACCAGCCATTCTTTCCATTAGTGTATCTTGTGCTAAAATACGTAATTGACTTGCACCATTATGATTAGGATTAGAATTATTATCATTGTTATTATTATTATTATTATTATTATTATTATTATTATGGGAAGAATGTTTACTTCGACTTGTCATTGACACGTCATCTGCATCATCTTTATTCTCATCACTCAATTCACTTTCATTATCATCATCATCATCATCATCATCCGATGCAGTTTGATCTGTAAAATCTAATTGTTGTTTAGATGAAGCATCAGTATTATTATTACGTGAGGTATTTGATTTGTTTTGTTGAGATTTTTGTTCTTTTTGACAAATAGAACAAGTGACAACAAATTTACTCAATTGTCCAGCTGGCATTCTTGCAATTAATTCATATTCATCAACTATGTCAACAAAATAAAAAGATTATATATTCGTTAGGTTTTTTTTGTTGTTTTAGGGAAAAAGGTTTAAGAAAAAAAACTATTGAATTATTTTGATTGGCAATTATTTTTTAAACTTGCTGCAAAGTGTAAACGTATAATAAATGGTAGAAAGTCAATACAACGGAACAAAATTGTTCTACATTATGTGATAAACATCTCAGATGTTATTGTAAGGCTTTTTGAAAACCTTCGGGATTCAAGTCACTCGTAAGACAGAAGAAACACAATTAAACATTATGAAGACCCAGAGATACAACACTGAAAGGAGACAAATGCAACATCAATTACAAAAATGAACTGTATCAACTGCGAAAAACATAGAGTTGGACAAAACGGTATCCCTATCTTCCTACGTATGCAGAAACATGAATCAAAAGTATGACGATATAACAAGTTATCACTGACAACAATACAGCTAGCCAATCACAAACACGAATTAGACTCTCAAAAAATCAAAATTTTGGGTTGAGGGAATTCAAGGGTTTATAGAAAATTTTCAAAAATATGACACTTAGGTCAATCCACAATCAGTAGGTGTATCGACATAGACACTATTTACAAACCAATGTGGAAAGGTTAACCACTCATGTATGTAGAAGTTAACAGAACAAAACGCGCAACAAAAATTTAAAGGTAAGCAAAGTTGACAAAACCTACGAAAACAAATACCTACATACGAAGTTAACAGAATCAGAACTTATGAATTAATTACCAGCTCACTTCTACATGTACGTGCTTCGTAATTAAGCCAAAGCTAGGAGAATACAACACAACCGAAATTTAGAACGACATATATGATAAAACAATATTATTTTCAATGAAATCGTCACCAGGCTTTACTCTAGGATACATGAAGTTATATGGATATGTGAAAATACTGAATTAATCGAGGCAATTTAAGAGCCAACGATAACACCGAAATCAATGGTATAACTAAACATAACGGGCAAAAAATACAGTAATAGTGAGAAGACCAACATACCAATCGTGACTAGAATAACAAAATAATAAAAGTTCTAGACAATAATTCAACAAAGAAGGTATATCAAACTTGAATAAATCAACTTCAGAATAACGATCACAAAAAAGTCATTAAAATCACGTAGTAAAAATTGTAAATACTTAGATAGTAAAGAATATAAACAGGAGGTGGAGAATGACAGACAAATACAGGACGTAAGAAAATTAGTAAAATCCTTTATAAAATCATATCCAACCAAGGGAGGAACAGTGGGTAACAAATCTCTTCTGAACACATAAACTAGGGTTATAGGTTCGAATTTCAATAGCTTTTGCTATATGTAGAAGACAGGATTGAATCCCATTGGCAGATAACAATGTATACGACAAATCACTCGAAATGATTTGGTTTCATGCATTATATGATCACTGTTAACTAGATATGCTAAGATAGAATTGTGAACTATTCGGCTATCGGAAACCATGTAGGTTGCGATTAAAAGCATTGGATGAAGTAGCGGTTCAAGTTTAACTAGTAAGTTGCAAGTGAAAACAATGAACACTTTACATAGTTCTATTTAAATGGTTAAGTAATATCAGCATTTTCATTACATGAGGGAAATTTAGGACTCAAGATAGAATGTATGTAAACCTGTACTAGGAAAGTGAGTTACTTATTCCGAAAAATCCCATTATTTTAAAACACAATCCATATTCTCTTCATTTATTTACTACCTTACTCCTCCTTTTTGTTTACTTTAAATGACCTCAATCTTGTTCACTCACAAATATATATATATATATACCCTCCAAATGTGAGGGTAGAGCAGTAGGTGAGGTTGCAATTTGAACACATTAACCCTTTGACCACTGTTCTATATCAGGATTTAGACTTCGGAGTCTGAATTCCGAATTAACAACATAAATTGCAAGACGCAATATCAACATTATCATTCAAACTATGACCAACAGAATCACTTTACTGACAAAACTGATCTAAACAATCAGGAATAGAGACTACAATCAAATTAATAGCTTATATACAAAGGGTAAAAGGAAAGCTTTAAACAAAACACCATACCAGTTAATTTTGTACATGTTCGATGCATCCAAAGTTGACAGCTATCACATTGGATCATTTGTTTAGTGGTTGGTAAATAAGCTCGATCACACTCTGGACAAACATCACCTTTAGATTCTGCCTGACTACAAGCAGCACATTTATTTGTTTCATGTGACCAGGCTGTATAACTTCCACGAACTGTTGAAATAGGTGTAGTACCATCACTGGTTTCAGCTGGTTTACAAGCTCTAACTCCACAATGTAAACAAATTGAACATTCAGGACAAGTCTATATTACCACGAAAAGAAAAGATAAGATTATGATGACGCTTTTATTTCAAATGAACAATAGCAACTATAGCAACGTAAGAAATAACCTTGTGTAAATAAGTTTCCCATCTGTATTGAATAAAGAAGAACAAGTGTTTACTTTGTTTACTCATTGCCTTCACATTCACAGGAGTGCCTTTTACGAAAGTGAGGAGGTAAAACGATCGGTCATCACTTAAAGTGGGTTGGTTGGCGAACTTTGATTAAGAAACCAATGGCCCCCATTGGCTCCCGGATATTTCGAATGAGTTTGGAGCAACTCGTTTTTATATAAATCTCCTCTATTATAAACTTTAAACTCTCAGCTTGATTATGTTCACTATTCGGTGTTTCTCATAACATGTTACCTATCATTCAAATAGATTAGCGATTAATTATGGTCAATGCTTTCTTTTTATTAATAAATTTCGAACTTCAAGTCGAATAAAGAACACTATCGCTTAATAAATAGTTGAGTTACTGATTGATTTACAGAAATATTTAAGAATATGGGATTCTAATAATGGCTAATTAAATTATGTCATACGTTATCGATTAACCAAGCTGGCAAAGTGGTTTTGAATTATGATTTTTCATATTAAATTCACAATTTTTAGAGAATCCATTCTAAGGACAGTGTTTTGCAACCAACTTCGTAGAGCACAAATACATCGGTTGTACACAAAAGTTTAATAAGGATTATCACAGTTATATGAATAAAAGTGTTGAAGAAAAAAAATAAACATATCATGAAGCGGATACTAATGGTAACACACAAAATTTTAAACAAAAAAAAATAGTCAAAGAAATAAATTTCATGCTGAAAACAGTTAACCTACCCAACACCCTCTTTGACTAGTTTTAGCTGGAGGAAAATCAGCTAAACAATCTGGATGATAACCAGTAGAACAACGTATACAACGTAGATCTGAAGCTGGACGACGACAAACTTTACATGTAGTACAATTTCGGCATATAAAATGTTCTTTTCTACGAGGTCTGAATTGTCGTTCAATACAGTAGAAATGGAAAGGTTCAGCACAGGATACACAGAACAATAACTGAAAAAAGAGCAATACAGAAAAAATAAAAAAATACCATACATTATTCTGTTTATCTATCCAAAAGACGAGAGAAAAAAAATCTGAAATCAGTCGGTTGGCCTAACAAATTGAACTAAACGTGGGCATCAATGATATTAGAAAATAAAACATAAGGAATAATGTTCGAGAAAAAAGAGTGAAATCAATGCATCAAAATTATAAATATTAAAATTCAAGATCTAGTGTAACCAAATAGTATGGGTCATGATGTCACAGCCTAAGGTCCTGAACCACAGATGAGGATTATTTCGTGGACATCAACGTTCAGTCCATTTGGTGAACCGACTCCATGTTTTAATGTAGCCATCCTTAGTCTTCGTCCACCTTATTTATATACATGCCGTTATTTTCCGTAACTGAGTAGACAATCATAGTGGAAAAATAAAATATAAATCATGTGACCCCAAAGATAAAGACATTAACCTGAAATGATCATTTTCACCTGTTGTGTTTGAATATGCAACCGAGTCATTAGTAATGAACAATGTTATTTAATAGACTATAAATAAATAAACCAGAATTTTCAAACATACTAATGATTCAAACAGAAAAATGTACGTTCAATGAAGAAATTACACCTAGTAAAATCATAAAATCAGAAAGCTGGATTGAACAATTAGTAAAGAAATAAAAACAATGCGAAAAAAATTTAACTACTACCAATTTGATCATAAAATAGGTTAACAAATTAAAATACAATATACGGATTTTCATTAACTAACCTGACCTCCACCGCTGCCACACGCGTAACAGATTTCTTTGGGTGGGGCAGCTGCCAACGTCGTTACGATTGCATAACCTCCTTGGGTTGCTAAATCACTGTCAATTACTTCCTATAAAACAGGAACAATGAAGTGATAAAACACAAATATGATGAAACAACTAAGTGAATAAATTATTGCTCTCAATGTTTGGAAAAAATTTCGAGATCGAGCAAATCATGTGACGATATTTTACGGAGTGAAAGTCCAGGATACGGTTTTAACTCTCAAAATGCAAAATGTTGCTTCAAGATTGGCTTGCATCGGTACCTAAACTAGTGACAGGGAGTGAAGTAGTCGAGCGTGTAGACCGCTTCACTTATCTCGAGAGTCTCATTAGTGCCGATGGCCTGATAACTGACGAAATCTCAGCACGGATACAGAAAGCTCGATTGGCTCACTGACAACTGGACTGAGTCATGTCGGTAGGTGTCGACTACTTAATTGTAGCCATCAACATTTTGAGGATGAGTTATATCACTAACATTGATTCCTGTAAAAGCTAAAATGAAGTTGGATGAACCCATTGAATTAAAAGTTTTATCTGACCAAACTTTTAAGATGATCTGTTTGTTAGTAATTCTAATACACAATACGGAAGACCTAAAGGCTAATTAATCCCCATGAATGTGGATTTACAGTGAATATAAACAAAGCAAACATATCAAATGAGTATAAACAGTTAGATTGTTGAAAATCGTAATTCAATGTAAACAGGTTGATGTAGCAAACAAACATTGAACTGGCCTATGATGAATTTGATGTAAAATTCATGAATCATCACACTTTATATTAAGTAGGTAAAAATGATCTTACCCCTTCAACTGGACGGACACGATCTAAATCTTCATTCTCATCATTCTCTTCAACAATTGAATTGAAATGCATACCCATATCTCCACCACGAACAGGTGTGACTTGAAGCTCAGGACCAACATTTATATTGTTTACAGGATTTCTATGCTTACGACGATATGAATGATTTAATCCATTGGCGTGAACTTTTCGAGAATGACTAGACGGTAACCATGCATCTAGCTCAAGTTGTTGTGCTAATCCAGGTACAGTTTGTAATAAACTAACTGATTCATCAGGTTCATCTTCAGATTTACTAAGATTAGATCGATTATTTGTATGATTAGTAAGATTCATTGATAAAGCACCTTTATATCCACTGATAGGTAAGTTGGAAGTTGAACCAGGTGAAGGATAATTTGATGGAAATTTAACCTGAAAATATACGAACAAAAAAAGGAGGTGTAAAATAAGTTGCTTAGAATTAGTGAATATAGAAGAAAGATATATCTTCATGATAATAATATTTCTTATGTATACATTGAGAATTTTATAGAAATTTGGAATGTACCCAAAATTATGTACATTTTAAATAGTTATCATTTTCTCATCTGAATAATTATTTAAAATATCAAAGGTGGATTACAATATAATGTTGTATTCAAGTTACCCATAGTATAATTTATAAGAATTTTTGTCTAATTTTAAAAGAATAATTTCACAGTAGTTAGGCATCTGAAGAGGAAAATTACATTTTTAAGTCTCAATGATTGAATTTTAAGCAAAATCCAACATTTCACTCAACAATCTTGTCTAAGCTTTTTCAACTTATCACCTCTATCTATCTCTTTCTAAATTTATTTCATTGGGTTATACTTCTTTAATAGTATATTTAAACCCATTACTGTTATTATTTATTATGTTTATTATTATTTATTATTATTATTATTATTATTATTATTATTATTATTGAATCCATTACTGTTAATACCTCTTCTATCTCTACCACAATGGGATTTGAACTGACAATGGCGTCTCTGTGTTAATGTGGTATGGCAACATGAACTTATGCCCGAATGTACGAAGTACTATGTTGTAACTGACTGACTGAAGCTTTTTCAAGGAAATATAATCAAACAACAAACTTATCGAATAAAAATACATGGTTCAACGATTAAGCTAAGCTCCATAGGAACAACAAAATTGTATATACGCGATCAAATGTAATGACTATAATGAGAAGTACGTGAATGAAGTATCAAGACAGCTGAATGTGAGATTGAACAACACAAGATTTCTTTAAAACACATTCTTAAATATTTAGAACAATGACGGCTTTCACTGACTCAAATTGTTTGGTTTATTTGAATATGCAATGAACAATCAGTTTGATGAACACAATAACACATATTTTATTTGTTCATCATTTCCATGCATGTTGTGACATGTGAGACACACATATCATTCATAAAATCATTTGATTTCATCAGAAATCTTAGGAGTATTTTTTTATATTTCAGATTCACTTACACATTTATATGTACCAGGATGAAACGACTGTCTAGTGGTGGGTTCCAGGTTTCCAATAGTGATTTAACACTGATCAGTCCATGATTTCAATGAAACTCAACGATCTCCAAAGCGCTATATTGACTGACACATTTATACATCTGTTATCTTAACAGACACTTCACACTAAACGCCTCATAGACACACTACAATTAATCTCATTTTCTGCCTTATTAACATGACTCGATGATTTGTTTAGCTTGCAGATTATCAGTGAACCATGTATTTATATTCGATAATTTTGATGATTGACTATATTTCCTTGAGAATGCTGTGTGAATCTATGAGCTGTTAGCTGAAATCAAGTCGAGAAGCACTCCTATTTGAAGTTTGTGCTGATGATGCTATCCAAAAGGATAATTGACAGCTTCAGGATTAGGCTACCCAACTCAGAGAACGAAACTCCACCACAATCACTCACCCGAACTACGCATTTTCCCCACTATCTTAACAGCAAACAATTAAAAATAGTACGTAGAACTTCGTACATACGTACATCAGTTCAAGTTGCCATAACGCATTAACACAGAAACGCAATTGTCAGTTCAAATCCCATTGTGGTAGAGATAGTAGAATTATTAACAGTAATGGAGACGATTAGGGTTTAAATATATTATTCAAGAAATATAATTCAGTGAAATAAATTCAGAAAGGCAAAGACAGAGGTGATGAGAAATTCAGAAAATTAGAATTTAAAACACAAAGAATGAATGCAAATGCGCCATCGCAAACGATTTTCAGCCATGTCATTCAGAGTCTCTAACCATCGGTTATTATCGTTTCGCGGACCCTAACCAAGGAGTCCACATCTACCAACATGACTTAGTTCACTTGTCAGTGACCTCATGGATTTGTGTCATGTTTTGGTCTGGCCGCCCCTAACTTTCTTCCAACCTACTCCTACACCACAAAAACCAACCAACAACGACAAATTTTCTGAGGAGAGAAAACAAAGAATGTACAAAAAAAGAAATTCAGGAAATCAAGCATACAGACTATTAGATGTTGGCTGGATAGTCTAAAAGTTAGATACTCGATGAGAGACCTGAAGGTCTTGAGTTTGATCCCCAGTAGGGTCACGAATGTTCATCGCTGAAGAATTTCGTAGTTCGGCGAAACAAATGTGCTACCTGGTTAGAAATCGTTGTTTAAATAGGACCAGTCAGTAATGTAAACTATGAAATGAAAATAAGATACTCGTGAGGACGAATATGCAGTTATTAAATTCCTTAACCAATGAAACGATTATGAAAACTCAGCTAACTAGCCATGTTCAATGTTAATTGATGAGGAATAGTCTAGCGACACAGTGCCTGATAACCTAACATAAAATAACAATAAGACAAAATTACAATTTATAAGATTAAAAACAGGGATGAACAATCTTACCCTTGGACCTGACTTTATATTTTGATCAGAAGCGGCAGCTGCAGCACGACGTCTAAAACATATGAGTTCCCTGCAAAAAATAAAAAGCTTAGTAAGTAAATAAGATTAATACACAGTAAACATAATTTTTTAAATTACAAAATTAAAGTTTAATATAAGAACATTTTATGAACTCTGACAATTTGTTTAAGATCTATACAGTCAGACAATTTGATTCGAGAGGAGCGCAAATGAATAACTTAAGCACTGCAGAGGCGTTATCAATGCCTCATTTTAAACCTGAACTCTGTGTCCAAAAGAGACACGCGCAAACCAACGTTCTTCCTTGGCAGCGACATTTAATTTCCATTACTAGTAATTGATTCTATTACCTTTCTCTTACTTACTTACTTACGCTTGTTACCCCCAAACGGAGCATAGGCCGCCCACCAGTTTTCTCCAACCAACTCTGTCCTGGGCTTCCCTTTCTAGTTCTTTCCACCAGTAGATCCTTCGGGGCTACTGCCGGTCCCAAGCCCGGATAAAGGAGGAGAGGCTGGACATGGGGTTGGCGCCCCCTTCCCAACTATATACTAACTTGCCAAAAAAACGCTAACCAGAGAAAAAATTACCTCCCTCTACTTTTTCTTAATCTTAACTCTTATTATTAGTTATTAGCACCACGTTTCGTAATTTATTTTTCACTAATCTCGCACTTGTCGAGTAGACAATTATCCTTTTTCCCATTTCATTTCATCTCATTACCTCTCTCTTTAATTCTTGGTTATTAGGCAAGCTTATTGATACATAATATGACGTAATCTTTCTCCCCTACCTACTTTAAATTAAACATTCTGTTGCGTTGTCTAGTAGTATCTCAACTTTCGTACGTAAAACGCAAAACAGAGGTGACAATTATTACAAGGTTCAGTATCACCTCATACATCTCCAAATTAAACTCGTAAGACGACATGGATATAACTAGACCGGCAATATTTACAAAGCATCAAATATTCAACTCAAATTTAGACATTTCCGACAAACCTAGTTTATATTTGTGAATTCTATTGAAAAAAAAATAGACTAATTACAGGATAGATTACTCCTAATGTGAAAACAATAGTAAAATGTAAAATTTTACAGCACACAAGTAACAAATATCCCACAGAATATATACAATACAATTAAAGACAAAATAGAACACAAAAAAGATTAACCTGCAAGGTCTTCCTCGTGGATCATTACTGTCAACCAAGCTGCGGGAAAAAGAATAATTAAAACATGTAGTTCCATAAATGAATAAACATTAACAATAAAATCGATGTCACGATTGCATACAGAAACCGTCAAATAAGATAAGATATCTTTGCTACTGCTCTTCGAATTTAAGTAGTGTCAACTATAGGTATAGAAAAGAATTCCTCCAGTAACGGGAATGCTTGCTTATCATATAATTACAAGTTGAGTTCTATGGATTACACCGGAATTATAGATTTCATCTCTACACTGAAATTACAGTATAATATTACACCAATGAATGGCTAACAGAGATACAGCAAAATGCACTTTTTTATATCCATATATCGAAATTCTTCAATAACCACTGCAATTAAGCAATGTTTAATCTACCACCTAGTCGAATAAAAATCTCAACAATTACTTAGAGATTTTCTATTGGAATTCTTGATAAACTTAATTTTTAAAGCTAAGATAATCAGGATGTATCATCCATGAGTAATCAAACTCATCAAAACCAAAACTACTGCAAGTTCCGCAGATGTTAAGAAAACATACTTTACAGCTTATACACGACGGACAAAATCTAAAGGAATTTAAGTATTTCGATGTAGCTTAGACAAAAAGTGAGAGAAACGATTGAAGTTCGACAACAAGAATATCAAAATAAATCAACAATAAGCATCTTACTCACCGACAATCATTACAACGTCCACACGGTTGAATAAGTCCTAAACATGCTGGACATTGTCCGCAACGATTCGGTAAATGCGTTGAATGTTGACTAGTAGACCCAGGTCTATTAGGATGAAGTGCATTTTGTAGAGCAACTGATTGACCAGTTACTTGAGCATCGTCCTGTTTGGAAGCAGGATGCTTCTCTTTCATCCTATTTGAATGAGCAGCAGAAGCAGCTAAAGCTGCATGCACAGGACTAACACCTCCAGGAACCTTAGCGCCAACAGCGGCTAAACGCGCAGCGTGTATCATAGCCGATAAAGTCGATGAATAACGACTGTCTTCTATGATTACACAGCAGAAATAGAATAACCAATTACCAATTACATCAAAACTAACAATTTGAGGCTATGACTAAACGAAATACGGCAGTGAAAAATGAAATGACGCAAAAGAACCTTTTTCAACTGGATTGATATCTAACTTCGGAAAGTATACAATGAGAGAACTTAAGACAAAAATATATAGAATAAGTGAGTGGTAGATAATTGGAAATATTGTCACAATTTATACAATGGCGAAATAAGGTTTTTGCAGGGACAGTTTAAAATATTATGATAATATTATTGTTCTGTCATTATTTCTATTCAACTAGCTGATCTTTCTTCGAACCCAACCACTATATCTGTTGCTCATCACTCTATTATGAAAGTAATCTAAAAAGACTTAAGTCAGTTTATGAAAGAAACAGAAATTTCATATGTTGACTTCTGCTTCTGAGAATGAAATCTGTAGAAGGAAGCCAATTGTCTACGAAACAAATATAACGCTTACTATTCGCAAGGCATACAAAGGAAAACCAATAGTAAACTTTTTACTGGTTGATGTTTCGAGATAGTTCATGTAAGGTCTGAAACTACGTCTAACTAGAAACTACTTGCCCTCAATTCAACTTATAGTGTTGATTCTGACCGTGAGATACTCAATGCAAACGAATATTGGATATATATAGAGGTAGAACATCCTCAATAAAAATAATGAAGGGTTTGTCAAGATAAAGTAGAACTTTCGGCACCTCATCACTATACAAAAACTTTTATGGGGAAACTAACATCTGAAGGATCCCAAAGGTGACTTAGATTATCTTAAGCCTCCCTAAAATCGATCGTATCTTCTACACTAACAACGAAAATCCTACAACTAACCCGTAAGTCCAACATCTTGCCACCAAGGATATGTAGGCAGACAGACTGTAAGCTGGTTGAATGGATTCGAGATAGCTTATATTGTCACCAGAAGTAAACCGCTAGTTATATATACAAAAAATTCAGGTGATGTCACATGAAGTCAACCAAGGCTAATATATAAAATGGTTCATAGAAATAAGGTTTACTGAATTTGTCACTTAAATACCAAACAGCTAACATAAAAATAGATGTGATTAACAGTCCGAAATGTGAATCAATGTGTAATTGTTGAATTAAATCCCTATTTTCTTTGATAAGAATAATAAATAATTGAAGGGTGCAGTTCAAGTAGTTTTAAGAAAATTGTATAACATATAAAGAATATCCTATAAAATATTTTGAAACAAAAAAACTTACCACGATTAATAGATGGTCTGCTGACTTGCTTTACACGAGGTCTAAGTCCTGTAACTGGTCGATTTCCATTTTTGTCTTCGTGTTTACTATTCATAATATCATTTGATTTATATCCTTTAGATGATTTAGTTGAAGTTTCAATCAAATTCCTATGACTGACTTTCTTCACTTTCTCATTTGAATTCTTCTTATCGTGACATAAGGCTGTGTGAGTAGTTCGTGTGGAATGTTCCATATTCCGACTACTACTACCTTCAGAACCATTACTTACCTCTGAGGAAGCTCTACTTCGACGTCCACCACTTATGAAGCCTAAGTAGCCATCATAATCATCCAGAAAACGATGCTGTTCGAAGGAAGGTATAGATTTTGGCACCAAATGAGTAATGGGAAATTTAAAGTGAAAAAAAATTAGTACCTAAAAGAATACAAGCTATTTGAGTCAGTGATTACAACAACTGTAGTCGTCTGAATTACGATCATTATTAGTATGATCAAGTTCCATATAACTACCAGGGACTATTTCAGCTCATCCGAGCCATTGGAAGCAAGTATGGTGTGAATGAAGCAATCTGTGAAGCTGATGGGCAGTCCTTCGACGAACAGATCAGCTGATCTGCCACCCCAGCAACATCGATCAGAGTAGTCGAAAAGTTCATGTATCTGGGTAACTGCTAGTGGTAGCGTGAGTGATGGGATCAATTCACGTATAATAAAAGCCAGAGGCTTACATCGATCCGGGCCATCCTTGGCGCATTCATCATGGTAGTCTGGTTGTAAAAGATCAAGTCTGCAATCCGTCGGTGAGAACGGTTTTACTCCATGTTTGTGAAACCTGGCCTTCCCGAGTTCAGCTTGTCAAGCGACTTTCAATGTTTGATCATCATTGTTTTCGAAGGATTGCTGACATTCAGTGGCAACACTAAATTAGTAATGTAGAGGTTAAACGTATGTTCGGGACACTGGTGACAATGCGACTGGTAATAACATGTTAAAACACGAACCTCAGAGGCTTGGATATGTACTACAAATGTCGTCCCAGAAAATTCTATATCCTGCATTTCTACCCACTTGCATTTTTTCACTTATTATACTCACCGTTCTTTCACAAGTTCACTATGTGGCGAATATATTTTGGTGCTCTTTTGTATCAATACTTATAAGTTTAAACAAATAAATAAAATTGATCAGTACAGTTAAGTAATTTTGTTAGCTTTGTGTGAAGCATAGTTTAGTTCAAAGATAAATAAATGATGACCAACTTATCTCTGACAGACTATCTAGCTATAAATTTAAACAAGGTATATCTGGATTAAATCAGTAGTGAACCTTCAATAAACTGAAGATAAGTAACTTTCTCTACTTGTAATATAACCATACTCAAGAGAATAAACTTGAAAGCCAACACTTAACCATGTTTTAAACAAAATAATCAAATTTTGTCACAAAGATAACTTACATTAACTTTCAAACGACGTTTACTCCGAATAATGGGTACATCGGTTGGAGATGGGCTACGTTTATGAGCTCTAGATTTGGTAAGCTTAGTAGCTGTAGGGACCTGTACATCAGATTTCATTGGTGGTGTACTTGCGGAATCCTCAAATGAATTCGACTCCATATTTTTGTCATTTTCATCATTCACTTCAGCTTGCTCTTGACCATTAATATCTGAAGCTTCATCATTAAGCTTAGTTTCTTTAGTTTCAAAGTTTACATCTGTTTTAACTAAAACCTCTGATTCTTTTTCTCCAAGCGATTCCAGTTGAATTTTAGTAACAAGATCATTTTGAACGAGTATTTCGCCTTCTACTGTTGTCTTACTGATCAACCCATCGGACATCTCTGCTTGATTTCTGCTTTCTTTGGTTATTAAGGTATCGGAAGAGGGCTGAATGTATGGACTTTTAACCCCACATATCTCCTGCTGTTCGACTGGATTACTTTCCAAAACTGTCAGGGTTTCTTTAATTAAATCATCAAGAACACCTAACGATTCGTTGTGGCTTTCTGATTTGCGAATATCTGGCAAATGTTCGTTATTGCTAGATGGATTTGTCACTAAATCGTGAAGTTGGTCTTCTGTAGTGGATTCAACCGTTGTGATTTCACTAAAACTCTCATTTCGCACAAGGTTTAATGATATGTCTTTGTCTATGTGAGACAACGGATCAGGTACAATTAGGGTTTCATTACATGAGCTTTCTGGTGCGGAAGTACACTCACCAACTACTGTAGGTGTAGGAGAAGACACATTTTTGCTGGTCGCATCCAAAGATTTATTATCTTTCGTTTTCAGGTCGATTTTTCCTTCTTTTGAAGGTAATATGGCTTTACCGCATGGACTTGTGGCAGGAGGATCAAACTGTTTATTAGGAGTGATGATGTTACTTGCTACTTCCTTAGTGGTAGTTTTAAACGCATCCACAGTTTTGTTTTCGTTCTCTGATCCTGGTTTCTCATCATCGGAAAAGACTTTACTTTTGTTGCATGAAATTCCGGCTAAAGATTTTCGAGACTTTCGCAGAGACGCTTGTGCTATTGCTTCAGCGGCTCTAGCCGTGAGACGTCGTTGGCGCTTCCCAACTGAAGAGGATGTCAGGTCCTCAGATACATTATCTTCAGATACAGTTGGTAACTGACGGCTCACATTTTTTGATTCTACAACAAAAGTAATACTTATGAGAATTTTACAAACGTTCAAACAAAACACAATCAGCCCACTTAGGCTTCAAATTACTAAAATCTTACCTTAATGATATGCAACCACCATATAATCTAATTATGTCATAAGCTCCGCTTTTTCTATCCTGCCATTTGGTGTCAGGAGAATGTTCAAGCATAATGGCATTAGAAATAAGATTTATGAGTATAGAAACTTAGAAGCATGACGTCTATGAAGATATTCAAGAAGTATAACTCAGTGAGATACTTTTGAAAGATAAAGATAGAGATGATGAGAAATTCCGAAGATTAGAATTTGAGAGGACACAAAGAGTGGATGCACCTGTCCATTGCAAACGATTTTGAGCCATGTCGTTCAAGGTCTCTAACCATCGGTTACTATCGTTTCGCGGACCACAACCAAGTAGTCTACATCTACCAACATGACTTAGTTCACTTGTCAGTGACTTCATGGATTTGTGTCATGTTTTGGTCTGGCCGCCCATAGCTTTCTTCCAACCTACTCCTACACCACAAAACATAGCTCGTCGAGGCAGTCGGTGGTTAGGCATTCGTAACACATGTCCCAACCACCTCAACTGATGAAGTTTCAATACTTCATCTATTGACCTACGACCCTTACCTAGTACTCGCTTCCTAATGGCAGCATTGCTTACTCGGCTGTCCCACGATATACGAGCAATGCTTCTTAAACATCTATGATCGAATACTAGTAACCTACGAATATCTTCTACTCTTACCGGACATGTTTTGCATTCATATCAGTGTACACAGAACAAATGAAAGAGACAGGAAAACATTAAACAAAAGTCATACGTACAGAAGCAATATATAAATGAAACGTACTATGTTTAAGATTTGTATGAAGATAAGGATTCGGGTGGTCGTAACACTTGTAAACGGCACACAATCTTGGTACCTAGTGTCAATTCAGTACTAAGTGGTTTAATTCTGAGTTTCTCTTTGGTGTATTATGGCAACGATATCATTTTAGAAAGTTGCTAAGAGCCTAAAAGTCTGTGAGTCATGTAACCTTCGGAAAATATTCATCTAGCCTAGAAAAAAACCCTTGTCGTGCGTTATATGGGAATAAATCGGAAAAGAAAATTAGACCACATGAATTTACCAAGTCGATACAAGTCCTCAGAGTCTTTATGTAGTTGAAAAAGCTATAGGAAATCTGAAGCGATGGAGAGCAGTAGGGCCTGGTGGGCTTACTCCTGAGATTTTTAAGTATGGTCGTCAGTTTTAGCAGTTAGATTGAATGAGATTTTAGGTAGAAACTAGGAACTAGGCGTAATACCATCTAACTGGTCTCAATCACTGATTGTCCCAATCTATAAGAAAGGACAAAAGTCTTCTTCTGACAATCACAGGGGAATAAGTCTAACTAATATAATATCTAAAATATTGGCCGACGCTTAACGAAAGCTCGTGAAGAGCGAACTCGAGAAAACCAGGTTGGTTTCAGACCTGGACGTGGATGTATAGACCACATTTTCACACTACGACAGGTCCTGGAACACAGACACACATTTAGGCGTCCTACAATAGTTGTCTTCCTGGACCTTAAGGCGGCATTCGACTCAGTGGATCGTGAGGTTCTGTGGCAGTGTCTGTCATTGAAAGGTGTACCAAAGAAGTATATTACCGTATACAAGCTCTCTACTCGAACACAACTAGTCGAGCTAGAGTTTATGGAGAACCGTCATCGGAATCCGTTACATCAAGTGGTGACCGTCAGGGCTGTCCACACTCTCTATTCATTTTTAACTTTGTCATAGGCACACTTTTAGAGTTAATATTATCTTTTGAGGGATGGACCTTCTACCAGGAGACACGCTTGTTAACTTAGAATATGCCGATGACATAGTTCTATTCGATGAAGACGCTAACAAAATGAAGTCTTCTGACTACCCTAAGCAACAATGCAAGCATTTTCGGGATGCGGTTCTCACCCTCGAAATGCAAACTGTGGCTTAGGATTGGCTTGCATCAGCATCTGAACTTTAGAGACTCTGAATGACATGGCTCAAAACCGTTAGCAATGACGCCGCGGCATTTATTCTCTGTGTTCTCTCAAATCCTAATCTTCTGAATTCTTCAACACCTCTAGTTTCGACTCTCTAAACTTTTCTCACTGAATCATAGTTCTTGAATAGTATCTTCTAATCCTAACCTCTCCGATTACTTCTAATACCTTTACTACCCCTACTACTATTGAATTTGAATTGACAATTATAACTCTGTGCTGATGTGGTATGGCAACATATTGATGTACTTACTGACTGCATCTGAACTAGTGATAGGGAGCGAAGTAGTCGAATGTGTAGACTGCTTCACTTATCTGGGGAGTCTCATCAGTACTAATGGCCTGGTGACTGACGAAATCTCAGCACGGATACAGTAGGCTCGATTGACTTTTGCCAACTTGCGTCAACTATGGAGCAAGCGAAATGTCCGTTTGCTAACCAAAGAAGTTCGCTTCTTCCTAATATACGGATGCGAAACATGGCCGGCGAGAATAGAGGACATTCGTAGATTGCTTGTCCTTCGATCATAGGTGTCTCCGAAGCATTGCTCGTGTATCGTGGGACAACCGAGTAAGCAATGCTGTTAGGAAACGAGTACTAGGTAGGGATGGCAAATCAATAGATGAGGTATTGAAGCTTCATCTTGGGACACGTGTTACGTTTGCCTAACTAACGACTGCCGCGACGAGCTATGTTTTGGGGTGCAGGAGTAGTTTGGAAGAAAGCTAGAGGCAACCAAGCCAAAACATGGCACAAATCCATGAAATCACTGACAAGTGGACTGAGTCATGTTCGTAGATCTAGACTACTTGGTTGTAGTCCACGAGACGATAGTAACCGATGGTTGGAGACCTTAAACAACATAGCTAAAAATCGTTTGCAATGGACAGGTGCATCCACTCTTTGTGTTCTCTCAAATTCTAATCTTCGGAATTTCTCATCATCTCTATCTTTATCTTTCTAAAGTTATCTCACTGAATTGTACTTCTTGAATCATATCATCGAACCATAATCTCTCCGATCATTGCTAGTACTTTTACTACCTCTACTACTATGGGATTTGAACTGACAGTCGTGTCTATGTGCTAATGCGGTACGGCAACCTGAAATGTTCTTACGTACGATGTTCTACGTTGTAACTGACTGACTGACTACCAAGTGTACTAATAAAGTTTTAGTAATAGGAGCATAATGGGAGAACTTGCTTTGTTACCTGCCACCGTAGAAATGATTTTCCTGACTGAGTTACTGTGTAGTTGATTAAGATGTTGAGTAAAAGATTTAGACACGGCCTCCTTTTAAAAGCACAACATGTGTACATCCCTAGCAATCTGAAACAAAAAACTAATAAACTGGCCTTAAAATAGGAACCCACAAACTAGTATGTCATTAAAATAAGCTGCCATTTCCGTTTCTAAACCAGAAAGGTGAAAGTTAGCTGAAACTAGTGATGGAGATTGTCTGTTTATTTCTGTTCCTCTTAAGACAGAGTGATGTGGTTCTAACCAAGTTTCCCAACTGAACGTTAGTCTTAACTAAGTACATTTTAAAGACACTAATGTTAGTTGAGGTTCAGAATGTAGACGAGAACTAGTCAGTTAGACGAAAAATTTAACAACCATATTTTAAAAACTACATGTACAATCAATACAGGACCTAAAACAAAATCACTTTCATGAGACATTAAATTCTATAGTTGTCGAAAACTAACTGTAAACAAGAGTAAATCACTTATTTCGATCTGACAATAAGGACTTACCGATATTTTTGACTGCAATAGATTGTTTAGAAGTATTTGTGTGCTTTTCAGTTGACTGAGGGAGTACGTTGGCATCCTCTGATTTAATAAACTTCTTTTTCTCTTTGCGTTTTTCCCTGAAATTAAGATATTAAAAATAATATCAAAGGTATTGCTATTTGCATAGCTAACATTCTGTGACATTGCTATCACAGGAAATCTAAAGACGAGATCGTTGTTTTTAATTCCAGAGAATAGGTATACAAATGGCATTCAGTGGGATTTCATTTAAATCTCACCTAGCTTATGACTGAATGAGACACTGCTGTGTAACATGTGGCAGAACGTTAGAGTGTTGTCACAACTAAACTGATAGCACACGAAACTGAAACTTTCGACCTTACGCCCCAAGTCGATGCCCACGTAAAGCTCACTGTGAATTCAGTTTGATAAACTGGACATCATACAACTGGTCCTACTTACACTTTTATATTCCCGACAAATCTTTTCTCTTGTAAACCAGTTGGTCATTTAACTAAGATAGATTGCATAAAATTGGAGATTACGTTACTGGGGTATAACTTACCGACCTTACAGTATAAATCAAATTTTAATCGGGTCTAACCAGTCTTTCACAATTTGATAGCAGTTATGCACAACTTTGAAATCAACATTAACAACTTAAAGTTTTCCACAACACACTAAATTTAGCGAATCTGTACTTTAGAGGGTACGACAGCAAAGCAAATAGCTGCTGATGATAAACAGATTATACAGCAAACAGCAAGCAGCAAACTTAGAGATAGGGCGATATCTTCAATAGGTTTCGACACAACTTGATGCTCATTGATTTGGAAATTCGACAGTCAACATCATATTTGCAAAAAGGATTTACAAAATATGGATAAGTCATTGAACTTTACAGTTGCACATGATAAACAAGGTCAAACTTACACTGATGTACGTCCGGAAATAGAAGCTTGAGAGGTCTTTTTGTTCTTTTTCCTTTTTATTACAACTCCACAAATAGCAGAATTGTGTTTGTTCTTAATACCATAAAGTTGAGGAACAGATTTCCAGTGTATAGGACTAAGATTTAGAGACTTAGATATTAGTGAAAAGTTTATAAGCTGATGCAATTTCGCTGTAGCGTCTTCATCTATGTGAAATAGAGAGCTATGTTGAGAAAAGCTGCCCTCTCTTATTTTTCCAGCACCTGAGCTATTACCGATCTCCTTTAAAGCGCCCTAGAGAATAAGAAATGTTGAAATGCGAAAATTTACTTGTTGGTTCTGAGATGAACTGCATAGGGTATTCAATTTGATGTCACTCGCACTGTTTTCACTATATTCCGAAGACACCAAATTATGATTGTGAGCAATGTTGGAAAAGTAGACTGGTAACAACTTTCTTAATTCTGAATTGTTTTTGCAGAGGTTTAACCAAGGGTGACTTCTTCCACCTGGGCCTCCTCTTTTGGCCCTCCTCATCAGTAGCGCGTTTTGCCGTCAAACCAGATGTGCCGCCAAAAATTTGAAATCCACTCTTCAACAAAATAGTTAAATAAGCGTTTTAAACTACTAAAAAAGAAAGCCTTTCAGTATTTTGGTGACTTTTTTATTAATTTTTTTGTGACCTCAAATATGCAGGTCAGCACTTTCGATTCATTGTCACCTTGGTTCCGTGACTCGCTCCAAAGTCGTTCGGTAATCTGTAAAAAACTTGCTGTCACTGTAATTATCACCTTTACCGTAACCATTTCATTGGTAATTAGCTTTTTCGATAGGATTTCTCCTTTTGGACGCAAAATACTTCGACTGACATATTACCATGGATACAAATCGCTGTTCAATTGAACATATCTCATTCTCTGCACTTTTTACCTCCATAAACCATACATTCCTGTCTTCGGTTGTGATCCGTCTGTTAGAATGTTTCAAAGAGCTGAATTTGTGAAGATGTGTGTTTGATGAATGATGCATCATATGCACTCGGAATTCCTATGTATTTATAATTATTGAAGGGTTTTGACTGCTAATTAAAGGTCTAAATTCTGACACATTCATGACAAAAACCGAGTGTATTTGGCTTATAACTGTGTAAATATTCTTTATTAACTCGTTTTTAGATTCGTTTTCTGTGTATTTCAGATATTTGAAGTAATTGTGTGTTGTGTAAGTTAATCAACGGTGAAATACAAATAAAAAGTAGAAAGTCATGGCCCATAGAATTAATGGGGTAGTTTCATTCATCCATTTTTCACTTACATTTATGGAATCCATCTCATTTCAACTTGTGGTTACTCGAAAGTGAACCTTTTACTGAAATTTCTCCTGTTTTTACAGAAAGTATTAATGGCCATAAATAGGTTGTACACGAGCCAAACAACAAATACCTGAAAATATTCTTTCTTTACTTAGTAGGAATACAAACTGAAGGTCATACATTTATAGTGTTAAAACTGGATAGCTTGTATGTATTTAATGGTTTGGTTTTAGGACATTGGGTTAGTCTCTACTAAACTATGTGATACAGTATCAAGGGGCTTTTGGAATCAACCCCATAAACAATAGTGTTTATACTTGGAGAAAGACCGGTCGAAATTTTTAATGTAATCATAACTTAAAATTGATTGAGATAGCCCTTACTGCAATATTAATGTATGTATATTTATATAGCTCTACTGGCATCCAAAACTTGGCTTTCAAATCATTTTCATTGATATAAAGACTTAGTACATTATCTCTGAGCTAACGATAATTTTGGGACACGTCATATGGCTTAATCTACTCTTAATCATCAGCTCTTTCTCTAAAAAAACATAGCTTCAGTGAACGGCTTCCTTGATACATACCTTGAAACTGGCCAAACGCAACGGTTTACAGTCATGTTAGTTAGTTGGTTTTATTCCATTGTTGTCAGTCCGTTTACCGGTGAAAACAGGGACGTATATCATTTATGACTATTTACAGATACGTATTTAGTAAAACAATTTACTTGAGACACAAGTCATCAAATGATACTCGACAGTTCATGTAACAACTTCCTAAGAATCAAAGTGCATTTACTTTAATATAATTCAATAAATGAATGCTTTGATGTTCATCATAATAGTTGTAAAATATCGAAAAAATCCACATGAATACCGTAATTGCAATATAGTAAATCTGTCTTTCACTTTACTACATTTCATTTTGTAAATAAAAACGCAAGCGTAATAATCCTTAAGGTTATACCGTTTCACATGTGAATAGGATATTCTACTCACCATCTTTAAAGCAGCTTATTCAAAGAATGTATAACTTTAGTCAGTTTTGTCATTTATCCCCTAATACTTAGGCAAACATTTTCAAATAAACAAGGATGTTTTGCCACCTTTCTGCAGCGTTCATAAATTCCCATCCTTTTTATTTTCTAAAATCTTTTTATTGGTGATTATAAAATCTGTTGAATCCTTAGTATCACATTAACTTAAATGGTCTCTTTATTATCTTGTGAATAAATTTTTTTCAAATGCCTAAATTACTTCCAACTGTGGTTTGAAAAGTTGTTTCAGATTTCTGAAATAATATGTGTAGCAGTTATGCTACAGTAGTTTGAAAATAATTCGGCATCATACTGTGATGTAATATATTGGCCAGTGTAATCCCTATACTATCGCAATTATTTCGACGAACTTAAAGTTAGTTTTGTTATCCCCTGCCGATCCCTAAACAACCGTCCTTGCATAATTATAAAAAGAAACTACTATATTTGTTTCCAACCTAGTTGTTTGCATATGAATCTTCTAGTAATATCTTGGAAATACATCGGTATAGTCGATACCGAGAAACACTTCTTGAGAATTTTAAGGTATCAGTCGGTGTAAGTAAGTAAATACACTAACAAACGATCATATAAAACCAGAAAAAGCACGAAAAGTAGATAGACTACGCATCATATCAATCATCTCTTTTAACCTACAACATCCAAAACTTGCTTTAAAACATTAATCGTGAGGAATAAGCAAACTATATGTTGTTTGCATACTCAAGCTAGTTTCTTTATCTTGAATGGTAAAAAATTAGATCCACCAACTTCATGGTTCTGTGAATCTACAAAGAGATTATATAATAAATTTATTGAGTAAACACCTTTTGATTTTACAGTTATATAACTTAAAGCATTTGGTCCTGTGTTTTTAAAACAAGATAAAACGTATACTTGCAGTCTTAAAGAAACCGATCCTTTACGTGTCATTTAGAAAACGGCGTTACCAGTAAGCTGTTACTGAAAGCATAACAGAAACTATACATTCCAAAATGAATAACTTCATTTTTAATCATCAACGCTAAAAAGCCTGTTGACCAATTTTGATGTGCCGAATAAACTAAATGGCTTAAAATCATGGTCGTAAGAGGCCAGAAAACCAAGATTCAAGATGTCTAAATAAATGTTTTTAATTATACAGAACACTGTGGCATCACAGTCACTTCAGAATTTACCAAATGAATTTTATAAGTATTTAAAATCAAATGATATAACACTAGTTGCTCTTCAAATATAAGCTTGTATGAATTCGGATTTTTTTTCTCTCGATGGTCTCAAAATGTTATAGATTTTTGAGGACTTCTCTTTGTTTTCGAGAAAGCGAATGACTAATAGTGATAATAATCTGAATAATGTACTTTTCCTTAAGTATAAACATAAAATAAAGTTTCACCTTACTGGTAATCCCTTTTCTTAACTCAGCGAAGTCGTATGTTTAGAATCAACTATAAGATAGATTCACGTCATCGGATTCATGTATTTGATAAATGATTTCAAACGTCATAGACATTCCATTTTAATTTCACTTTGGGAGACTAAATCAAAATTCAATAGTTTCGTTTCGGTAATTAATCCAGCCACTCCTTCACTAGTACTGTTTAGGTTGAGGCAAACAAAATCCGATTCATCATACTCTATACTGGTATCCATCGGGCATTTATAATATGCTATTCACTTTTTCTCCGAAAATTCCTGCGTTTCATGACCTAAATTTACCAGCTTCGGTTGCCTTGTTAATTCAAAAGTGATGAGATAAACAAGTAAAACCATTAGAAATATCGGTAGAAACAATTTAGTCTTATTTTTCACTCATTGAGAAATACAGATTCACAATGTAAAGCATCCCATTGGTAATCCAAAACTAAATTCCTTGAATAAATGTACACTACTCGTGAGTAGTTTACTTTTCCACTCTAAATTTATTAAGACTGATTGTTTTTAACCTTTAGGAATCCAGAATAACTCATATCCACTTCCACCATAGTTAATATGAAGATGACAAAATGTTGACTTATAAAATATAGTCTTCTTTATATCTGAGCATTATGTGACACGATAATTTTAAAATTCACTTTATCTTTTGATTGTCTCATACCAAATCGACAAGCGGCATGAAGAAGTCTTTGACCAATGTCCTTCTCTCATGGAGTTCATTGCCTTTTTAAATCACCACCTTATGTACTTATTTACAATTTATATTATTCTGTTACAATTCAGAACCAATTTTATACGTACTGAAGACAGCAAGAACAAGGATTTGGGCAGAATAACATGAGTTTATTTTATTTCATTTGATTCTCGTCAGCTGCTTACAACCTGTAATACATTTAAAACTTTCTCACACTGTTTATCTTCATATTAACTATGGTGGAAATAAATATGAGTTATTCTGATTTTCCGGAAGTAAAAATAGTCAGTCTTTATAAATTAAAGTAAGGAAATGTTGTGCATTTCAACAATATTCCAACTTTATTTCTACAAGAGCATGGGTACAATAGGCAGGATGGTTTTAAACGATATCGTAGAATTTGTACAACAATTCTTATTCAACCAATGAGTTGAGCATAAAAATTCAGAAACCGAAAGATATCACTCCTCTGAAGATGCAGTACGATCATAGAGAACAGACAAATATTCGGAACCTCAAAACCTTTAGGAGTAAGGTTTCTGAGAGTCAGTTATTATGGTAAAGATCCAACCAGAGCAAAAGCGTATTTTTTAAATAACTGACAGGAATGTAATTACTCCACTACTACAAATTAAAAGCAAGAT